TATATTCTATGGGTCTGTAGTTATCTTTATTCCAAATAGGATGCTATTTTGATTATTATAGTATTGTAGTCACTTGATCACTTGACATCCCGTTACTCATCGATTTGCTCAAGCAGGAGCCAGTAATGTCTCCATTCATCCCTGTTGCGTGCTAGTGTAGCCCAATGGCGTCTGTTCACTCCAGGAATGCAAAGAACATCAAAGCGTTCATTCAGGGTCTTGATGAAGAAGTCTGACCATCTTGTAGGTGGGTGGCCACTCAGTCTTTTGACGGCAAAAGACCGAGTGGCCACCCACCTACAAGATGGTCAGGCTTCTTCATCAAGAAGTGGAATCTAGTCGGTAACGGCTCTAGTCGAGCCGTTGTCTCCAAATCTCATTACGTGTCCAGCACATCTGATTTACAACACCTTGGCAAATGAGACAGCGTCCCTGATTCTTGATCATCGATGGAGGTCGAAACTCTGGATTCTTTTTCTCACTTGAGTGAAACATGATACTCCAAGCATGGGTCTGGGTCTTTTGATTCCTCTTTGGGAGACCCAGGTAGCGGTCTCATCCTGTTTTTGTAGGGCCCAGATCTCTGAGGCATAAGTTAATGCAGGAATAACAGTGGAATCGAAGAGATGTGCCCAGAGCTGGAGGTTCTTCATACTCTTAGTTATTTCTTCCACGCATTTGAAGGCTTTCCAAGCTACTCTCTTCCTCCTGCGCTACTCAGGTGCCAGGTCATTTGTCATGTTGACTTCTTGACCTAGGTATACATAACTGTTGTATTCAGAAATGTTTGTTCCGTTGAGAGTGAATGGAGCATCAGGAACAAGACTGTTTCTCATAAACATTGTCTTCGTGAGATTCAGCTGGAGTTCGACCTTACCACACTCACGGTTGAAGTCGGCCAGAATTTGTGCTGCTTGGCTAATGTTTGGTGTTATTAGAACGATGTCATCAGCAAAGCGGAGGTGGTGTAGTTGCCGACGGTCTATCTTCACTCCCATTCCTTCCCATTCCAGTCGTCGCATGACGTTCTCAAGCAAATTAATGAATAATGGGAATGAAGAGTTTCAGTGAAATGGTATCACCCTGCTGAATCCCTCTCTTGACATGGATGACCACTTCCTTGTAGAATGGTGAGATCCTGGTAGTGAATCTGCAATACAGTTCATGGAGGATCCTGATGTATTGAGTTTGGATGCCCTGTTTGGCTAGGGCTTCAAGGGCAAACCATTTCATCAGTAAAGAACTGAACAGAACCCGGCCCAGGCAGGGCAAGACCTGAACACCTGAAGAAACTGCCATCAGTACTCATCAATACACTGGCTCGGCTCTTCACACACTACCTGTCTGAATGCAAGGTTCCGTCCCAATGGAAAACCAGCAAGACTGTACTACTGTACAAGAAGGAAGACATCTACAACATTGGCAACTATTGCCCAATCTGCCTGTTGTCTATTGTCTACAAGCTGGTCACTCAAGTCATCCTGAATAGGATTGGCAGAACACTAGATGAAGGAAAGCCATGCGAGAAAGCCGGGTTCCACAAAGGATTCAGCATGATCAACCATATCCACAAGATAACCAAGCTCATTGAGGTTTCTCGGGAGTTCAAGATGCCGCTCTGTCTAACGTTCATTGATTTAAAGAAGACTTTTGATTCTGTTGGGACTGAAGCAGTCATCGAAGCCCTAGCCAATAGTATTGTAGTATAGTTCAAAATTGGGAAAATCAATGCCTTTTATCTTCTACCTCCTCTCCCCCCAGGATTGTCACTGTCACTGTCACTGTCCTCCCATTATTCATTAATTTGCTTGAGTGCGCACAGTGACATTGTGAGACTTGTTGTTACTGTGTTTGGCATACCGAATACATAACGGGAGCTTGCCAGTTTTGCCCTGTGGGCGAGATACTCTTGGTAGTTTTCTGGGCTCTCCAATAGGGCAGAGGAATCGAAGTCGGGTTGGCCTGTTGGCGTATGCAAGGCAAACGCCCTTCTCTCTCGGCTATTTAGAAAGTTTCATGGTTCCATAAAATTTTAGTAGAGTTTGTTCCAACTCCTTAAAGAATGTCATTGGGATTTTAATAGATATTGCATTGAGTCTATATAATACATTGGGACAATCCTTTTAACAATGTTTATTCTTCCCATCTGTGAACAGGTCATATCTTTGCATCCCCCTGTGTCCTCTTCTATTTTTTTTAGCAGTGCTTTATGGTTTTCACTGTATAAATTTATTCACTTCCCTTATTAAGTTGATTCTTTAGGTATTTGATGGTTTTCTTTTTTATCGTTTTGTTTTTGGGGCACACCCTGTGGTGCTTGGGGATTACTCCTGGTTCTGCACTCAGGGATCACTCTTGGTGGTGCCTAGGCGACCATATATGGTTCTGGGGATTGAACCCAGGCTTGCAAGGCAAGTGCTCTATCTGTTGTACTGTCACCCCAGCATTTGAGGTTTTGGACACAATTTTGAAAGGGATTGCCTTTTAAATTTTTCTTCTAGTTCCTTATTTGCACACAGGAAAGCCTCAGATTTTTGTGTATTAATTTTGTAACCTGCTATTTTACTGTGGGCTGGAGCGATAGCACAGTGGTAGGGCGTTTGTCTTGCGCACAGCCGGTCCGGCTGAGTCGGGTTCGATTCCTCCGCACCTGTCGGAAAGCCCGGCAAGCTACCGAGAGTATTTCGCCTGCATGGCAAAGCCTGGCAAGCTACCCGTGATGTATTCAATATGCCAAACACAGTAACAACAAGTCTCACGATGGAGATGTTACTGGGCCGCTCGAGCAAATCGATGAACAACGGGAGGACAGTGATCATGAGTGATTTTTTTTTTTGTTGTGGAATGACAGTTTTAATTTGATTTTTAAAATCCTATTTGCTGCTCCCCTCAGCTATGAAAGTTTAACCATTATGTCACTGTAATTACATCTGCTGTACATCTCTTCTTTCATGCTTCTATCTTAGTTTGCCGCAAACTGAGGCCTGCTGGCATTAGACTTGGAATCAGAAGACCAAAGGGCTCTTCCTCAATCTGCTAAATTGAATCTAAGGGCATAATTTAAATAATTTCTAGTTTCGTTCTTGGCTGTTGAATCATGCAATTATTATTTTTTTTATTTATTTTTTTTACAGTTGTAGATTTACAATTTTTTTTGTGCTTGGGTTTCAATTATACAATGATCAGATACCCATCCCTCCACCAGTGCCCTTTTTTCACCACCATGGATAATATCCCTCTCACCCCCATCCCCCCATCCCCTCTGTCTCTGTGGCAGGGCAATCCCCTGTGTTCTCTCTCTCCGTTTGGGTGTTGTGGTCTGCAAAAGAGGCATTGAGTGGCAAACATGTTCAGTCCATAGTCTACTTTCGACATGCATCTCCCCTCCTGGGAGGATCCTCCAAACACCCCCCATTTGGTGCTCCCTTCTCTATCTGAACTGCCCGTATTTATTCATTGTTTTTAAGAGTTTTTTTTGGTGCAGTCTTTGGTGTTTTCAATCTATATTATCAGGCTGTTTACAAATAGTGATAGTTTGACTTCTTTTCCAATTTATATCTCTTTGATAGCTTTTTCTAGTCTGATCGCTTTGGTGAAGATTTCCCAAATTATGTTGAATAATAGTGGTGACAGGGACTATCCTTGCCTCATGCCTGATCTCAGGGAAAAGGCTTTGTTTTTCACCACTGAGTATGATATTAGCTGTAGGTTTGTTGTATATGACCATATACATATACTTATTGTCTTGAGATATGTTCCTTGTAGTCCTATTTTTTTGATTTTTTTTAATGTCGTGAATGGGTATTCTATCTTGTCTTCTCTGTTGGTCACACATGTCACCATCTGAGATAACATCCAGGCTCTGGTCTATGTGGTTATCCAGACTCCCATATTTACAGTTTCTTTACCTCTAATTTTTTTTGCTTTTTGGGTCACCCCAGCAATGCACAGGGGTTACTTCTGGGTCTGCACTCAGGAATTAACTCTAGTGGTGCTCCGGGGACCATATGAGATGCTGGGAATTGAACCTGTGTTGGCCACATGCAAGGCAAATGCCCTACCCACTGTGCTATTGCTCCAGCCCCTATCTCTAATTCTAGTGTTTTGTTATTTCCTCTAACTTTGCCTCTAGACTGCAGTCTACTCTGATAGCTGTCAAGCGTCATAGACTCAGTTTCTATGACATATTATACCATTTTTTAAGTTGTTCATGTAAATATCCCTTTGACACCTAAGCAGGAACTGGGAGCCATACAAGTGTGTTATCTCCATTGCCCCTCCATGTCTTCTATCTGTGATCTCTATCCTAATTCAGGCATTCATAGTTTCTTATGGAAACTATTTCTAAAGTCCTCAATGGTCTTCAATCTGGTATTTATTATCTTAGAATGCTCTTTCCCAGGGCTGGAGCAATAGCACAGTGGGTAGGGCGTTTGCCTTGCATGTGGCCAACCCGGCAGACCCAAATTCGACACCTCCGCCCCTCTCTGAGAGCCCAGCAAGCTACTGAGAGTATCTCGCCCGCATAGCAAAGCCTGACAAGCTACCTGTGAAGTATTAGATGTGCCAAACACAGTAACAGTAAGTTTCACAATGAAGACGTTATGGGGCTCCCTTGAGCAAATTGACGAATAACGGTAGGACAGTGCTACTGTGCTACAGAGCTCTTTCCCATTGCTGCCAAGATCCGAAAGGCCTCTCAAGTCCTTGCTAAAGCACCCCAGCACATCTATTTCAGTTCGAGAGAGTTCACTTTCCTCAGAGTACATACCAAGGAAGGACAAACCACGTCCTGGCTTGCTCTCTGGACTCATCTTTAACCATTTTCTGTATAAACATTATGTTCTAATAACAACACAGAGAGTCTAATCCTTAGGATAATGTCCTAAACTTAGTCATTGTTAATTTCTAACTAAGTCAATCAGTTCATGAATCAGAACTGCTTGCTAAGTTTTAGTAGAACTAATTATAATATGACCTTTAGTTAGAAGAGAACTTACCTTTTCTTCTTTGGAACATTTAGTAAGAATCAGCTTATGGAAAGGACTTAAATGTTCAAGCCAGACCTGGAAAATTAAAAACTTTTCCTTTTCCTCTTCTGTCGCCTGCTCTTCCTCTACTGAAGCATAGCCTTCCCACTCACTTGGGTTAATATCCGTCTCAAAAGACCCTGAAAAAATATTTTAAAAAGATGTTTTAATTAGAATCACTTTGTCTTTGAAACTAAACGAGAATACATGACAATTAAAAATACCTCTAAATTCACTGTTGGTTTTTTACTATAAATGCAATCTGCCTTTATAAAAAATAATAAAAAAGTGAGGAATTTAAAATTAGACAAGAAAACAAATTCAATGGCAAACCATTAATATGCATAGCTAAAATAATTCGGGATGCCTGTGGTGCCAGGCATGGAATCTAGGTTGGCTGCACATTAGCTCATGTCCTAACCCTATTATATCTCTGTTCCTACTGTTGTAGTTCTTAATTATAACTGGTGGAGATGATTTGTAGGCACTGTAAGTGTCAGAGAGCTATCTAGTTTTGACTTGGGCACCATTTTGTATGTATATTTTACTTCAATAAAAGTTGAAGAATTCTGGGGCTGGAGCGATAGCACAGTGGGTAGGGCATTTGCCTTGCATGTGGCTGACCGGGTTTTGATTCCCAGCATCATATGGTCTCCTGAGCATCGCCAGGTGTGTTCCTGAGTGCAGAGGCAGGAGTAACCCCTGTGCATTGCCGAGTGTGACCCAAAAATGCAAAAAAAATAAAAAAGTTGAAGAATTCCATGGAATGCAATTAATTACTCAGTTAAATGCATACTACTTAAAATGGGCATAATAGTAAACATGAAAAAAATAAACATTTCTTTTATTTTGTTGGTTTTGGGACCACATCTAGCGATGCTTAGGGGTTAATTCTGGCTTTGCATTCAGAAGTGACTCCTGGAAATGCTCAGGGGACTATATGTGATGTAGGGATTGAACCCACATGCAAAACAGGCACCTTACCTGCTTGAGATCTTAATATCTCTCCAGCCCCAAATATGAACTATTAAAAATTGATGGGTCAATTTTTCAACTCAAGAAATTAAGAAAACTAGCTAGTTACAATTTTTTAATAATAAAAGAAATTTTCTAATAAAAATACTGACATTGCAAAAGAGGTTAAAGGAGATACTGGAGTTAGGATCCATGAACTATTAATAAACCACCCCCACCAGCAGATCCCTGTGGACATATTACCTATGGTTATGCTAATAGGATATGTTACTAAATATTTTGTTAGTCCACTAAAATTGGGAAGTGATTCTTCTAAGTCACAGCAAGCAAACCATGTGGCAGTGGACAGCCAGGGAACTTCAGGTTTAGGTGGACGTTCCTATTAGAAGACAAAAAGAAAATGAGAAATGATTTATAAAGATAACTGTAAAATATGTTTTAACCTTACCGAAGTGAAAAATTCAGCTCTTAACAGCATGTTCAAAATAACCATCGACCTAGGACAAGTAACATGATATGGTGAAATGGAAGTGTTGGATCAATTCTACTGGTAGATCTCTATATAGAAGTACAACCATTGAAAGTTCTTTGGGAGTACAATTACAAGAAACAACTGATCAGCTGAAGAAATAAAATCTGATTTCCTGAGTACTCTTAAGATAGTGAGTACTCTCATGGTACATGACATTCCTTTTTTCCTTATTAACTTGATCGGATTAGCAGATATTCTTAGCTCTGAGAAATGGGGAGAGCTGAATTAAGTGGCAAGTTCCTCCCAGCAGGGTTGAGTGTATACCTAACCATTTCATACATTCCTAGAAATATTTTGGAAATATCTTACGCAATTTAATAATATTCCATGACGCATGTTCATGTGGGTAAAAACAATTTAGAAAGAAAACAACTATGACTACAGACTAAACCAGTCCTTAAAAGTTCCACAAATATTTGCATGAAGTTCAATGCTACATTTTAAAATGTTTTATTTGATATAACTCACATACCATGTAACTCACTGATTTACAGCATACAATCCAGTGTATTTTAGAAAACTTGCAAATACCTGCAACCATCATGCAGCCAACATCTCATTGCTCACTCCCCCTCATTCCTTGCACCTTTTTGCTATGACCCTCCTGTCTACCATCTCCCTTCCCCACTCCCCCAGGTCCTAAGCTACTATTCATTTTTTCCAGATATAATTTCCAGAAGCCATTTTTTCATAACTTTTCTCATGATCCACCATTTCACTTAGTGTTTTAATGGTTTATTCATGTTGTGGTATGTCTCAAAGATTCATGCTGCTTGATGATTGCATAATGTGTACAGACATACATAGAACGTGAAAGCAGTTCTCTGTATTAACTTTGATTATGAAGCTTTTAAATAGCATTAATGAAGGGTTGAGAACATGTATATGATAAAAGATGGATGGGATCAGAGGGAGGAAGAGGTAAAGAGATTTTATCTGGATTTTGTCTAGGAACACAAGGGCACTGAAAGTCAAATCTAAAGCTCAACCTCCCAGAGCAACCCTAAGGCTCAAATATTGTCAAACAATGTAGGTTCTGATTCTGTAAGGCCCATGGTAAGGGCTGAGATGGGTAAAGCAGAATTGAGAATTTAGAGTGGGACTGATATAAAAATGCAAGCCAGATGGGACTCACTTATGTCAAGATTTGTCAAGATTTGCAGTACATGAGTGAGTTAGGAAAGCTAGACAAGAAAATGTACATGAAGAAGGGAACTAGAGTAAAACTCCTATTGCAACATTACTCAAGCAACAATAAAATGATATCACTCCAAGTGTTTTAAAAGAAAAGATGTGTCCAGGCAAAAAAAGAATCACGATTTTACAACAATCAGTCATTCTGAGCTTTTATTGTACTTCGAACACATCATATTTGTAAGATAGTCAATGTTTCAAAACATGGTCACATCGACTAGCTCACTGGAGAGTACCAGCATCTTTTTGGGGGTGGGAGGGTTGTTTTGTTTCCTTGTTTTAGGACCATACCTGCCAGTGTACAGGGCTTACTTCTGGATTTGTGCTCAGTGATCACTCCAGGTGGTGCTTGAGGGACTATATGGGATGCCTGGAATTGAACCTGGGTTGGCAACATGCAAGGCTGAATCCCCACAGAATCCCCTTTGCATAGTAATGACACCACAGCATGAAGAGATTAAAAATCACCAACATTACACAGCTACTGGGACAGAACTAAGCTATAGCCTGGGACTCCTGGCTCCCAGCACCCTACCCAGTGGGTCAAAGAACCAAATGTGTAACCTCCAGTCACTGGGGAGTTTGGCAGGTGTTTGTGGCTCCCATTTAGAGTAACTTTATAATCTGAACTTGAAACAGGTACCTTTTCTAATCCTGCAGCACCTCGGAGAAAGAAATTCCATTCAGCATCATTTAAGCGCTCATGCTGACGCATGATTTCCACACAGAGCATAAAGCTGTATATGAGTTTATGTTTTTCAAAAAGTCCTCTTGAAATATTGGTATAAGCAGATAATAGAGTTTGTTCCAGCAGTATTTTCATGCGGTATTCCAGATATTCTGACTTTTGGGAAGTTTCAATTGTTGTATTGAACAACTGTGCAAAAGAGAGTTTTATCAATGTTTCTGATTTAATTAAATTTGCTTAGAAAAAAGTTCTTGCTCTTCATCTGCCCTTACCCCCATATTCAGTGAGAAAACAGTTGCACAAAAGTGCTGTACTGTGAAAAGTCTAAAATTCATCCCGAATTGATATGAGAGATTTATTTCCTGCATGTCCCTTTCACTCTCCATTTGTATAAAAATGGACCAAATGCCATTTATATTCATGATATTAAAAACTGTCATCTCAATGTGAGACAGAAAAAGTTGAAATATGGAGTTAATCTGTCAGAGTCTCTGTGTCCTCAATTTGGATTTGATTATCACTTTGGGGTGAGAGAATAAGGGGAAAGGCAAGGTTATATGATCATCTTGGCACTTCTCCCAGATAATCATGGGGTGTGGAAAGAATGAGTTAGGATTTCTTAAATTTAAGAGGATCCAATTAATTATATTTTAAATATATAGTTTACTTGTTACACAAACAAATATAGTAAGCACAATAAATAAACTACATTCTGAACAGAGAAAATGGAAATTTCATTCATTCAGGAAACCAGAACAGTGATAACTAGAATGCCAATTTTAATTTTAAATTATTTTTGTTTCTAGCCACATTTGGCAGTGTTCAGTGCTTCCTCCTGGCTTTGTGCTCATGGATCATTCCTGGAGGTTCTTGGGGGACCATATTGGTGCTGGGATAGAACCTAGGTCACCTGTGTGCAAGGCAAATGCCTTAACTGCTGTACTATCCATCTCATACTATTTTAAATCATTTTTAAAATAAGGTATACTGTTATTTACAAAATTATTGATTGTTGAGTTTCAGGCATAGAATATTCCAACTGCAAGCCAGTGTCAACTTCTCTCCATCAGTGTCTGCGGCTTCCCTCCCACTCTCCAGCCTGTCTCTATTACAGGTACTTTTCCTTTTTGATTTAAGACACTATGGTTATAAGACTGTTACAGGTAGGTCTGTGACTGACACATTCCAGCTCCATATCTTCCACCAAAGTGACCATGCCCCTGTCCTCACTGTATCGCAGGAAACAAACAAGTAAAGGAGGCCAAGAGAAAAATGCAGCTGGCAAGTAAGGAAGCCCATGTTTCCTCCTCTACAGAGTGTTTTCTGAACACCTACCACTTGTGTTTTTAGGAGACAGTCAGTCCCATTTTCTTTTTCTTTTCTTTGTGGGTCACACCTGGCCATGCACAGGGGTTACTCCTGGCTTTGCACTCAGGCATTAACTCCTGGCGGTGCTCAGGGAACCATATGGAATGCTGGGAATTAAACCCAGGTCGGCCGCATGCAAAGTAAATGCCCTACCTGCTGTACTATTGCTCCAGCCCCCAGACAGTCCCATTTTCTAATCACATATCTGACCCTGAGGAACTCAACAGTGATCAAAGAGAAGTAAAGAGAAATTTCATTAACACCACCACCACCACCACCACCACCACCACCACTCACCTGTTTAAAATATTTTAATGAATACTGGTACATGGGGTCAATTTCTGAGAGACTTGCGATGACGAAGAACATCACAGAGCCTTGAGTGGCTACTGGGCGGTACTTCTCCCGAGCAGAGTTTATCATAATTTCAGTGGACTCTGCTTCCTTCAGCCTGGTCTTGATGGCACCAGAAGTGATCTGAGTAAACATATAAAAGTAAATTCTAAGGGATATATTCTTAAAAATATTGTGGTGGGGGGCTTGGGCTATATTTAGTGAGGCCTGGAACAAAAATAAGGACATGATGAATTAGTGATCGCTACAGTTCTGACAGGGGGTTAATATCCCAAATATATAAATATCCAAAATACATACTCAATAACAGAAAAGCAAGCAGCCCATTATAAAAGTAGACAAGGGATATGGACAGGCATTTTTCTCAAAGAAGACATACAGCTGTCCCAGAGATACATGTAAACATACAAAAATAACTTCTTAGGGAAATAGAAATCAAAATCAGGGGGTTGGAGTGATAGCACAGCGGATAGGGCATTTGCCTTGCACACGGCTGACCCAGGATCGATTCCCAGCATCCCATATGGTCCCCTGAGTTACTGCCAGGAGTAATTCCTGAGTGCAGAGCCAGGAGTAACCCCTGTGCAGAGTGCAGAGTCAGGTGTGACCCAAAAAGCCAAAAACCAAACCAAAACAGAAACCAAAATCACAATAAAATCTGACTTTATACTCGCGAGAATGGCCTATCAAAAAGTCTGGAAATCACAAATATTGAAGTGGATGTGCGGAAAAATATTTCTGCTGCAGTGTTGGTGGCAATGTAAACTGGTGTAGCTTCTGTGGAAAACTATATGGATATTTTGGAGTAAATTTCTTAAAAAAATTCTATATGATCCAGTAATACTATTCTTTAGGCATTTACATAAAGGTTACAGAAACACAATTAAAAAATTTGTATATTTTGGTTCATAGTAGCATTATTTACAATAGTCAAAAGATGGAATCAACCTAAATGTCCACTGATAACTGTCTAAATCACTGTAGTATACATAACCAATGAATTACTACACTGCCATTAAAAAGATAAAAATTGGGGACTGAAGAGATATTTGAACCCTGTCAGTCCATATGGTTCCTTGAGCACCACCAAGAATGATCCCTGAGTGCAGAGTCAGAACCAAGTCCTAAGTATCACTGGGTATAGCCAAAAAAACAAAAAAACAAAAAAGAGGAATATTGTATGCCTGAAACTTAATAACAAATATCTTTGTAACTCTGTAATTCACAGTGATTAAGAATGAAAAACTTACAAAAAATGAAATTGTGCCTTTTTGTGTAAAGTGGATGAAACTTGAGGATATTATACTAATTGAAATAGTAAAGAAATGAAAGACATACTGGATGATTCCACTCATATGTGGGATACAAACAGCTAAAGCAAACACACTGCAAAAGACAACAAAATAATTCCTAGACTGTGAAAACTATGGGGATTACCTAAGGGAAAGGGAATGGGAAAAATTCGTAGAAGGATTTATTTTGGGGATGATATGGCATTAGAACTTTGGTGGGGTTTGCGGTGAGTCTAGTATAGTCCTATACAGAGGTATTAGGCCGTACCCCTAAAATTTTATAGCATCGTAAACCAGTGATAATTAAATAATTATAAGAGAAAATTAGGTGTCTTTGGTGGATTCCCAGGTTATCTTCCCCACACCACATGGCAGAGAAAGTAATAGAGAGAGTACTTTTTTTTGGCTTTTTGAATCAGACCTGGAGATGCTTAGGGGTGACTCCTGGCTCTGCACTCAAGAATCACTCCTGGTGGTGTTTGGGGAACAATACAGGATGTCGAGGATCGAACCTGGGTCTTCAGCATGCAAGGCAAACACCCTACCTGCTGTTCTATCACTCCGGCCCAATAGAGTACTTTTTGATGGAAAAGATCCAGGCACTCTAGAAGGCCTGGCACTATAATGAAAAGAGGGAGAGAATGTGAAATGTATTCACTGCATGCTGAGATCCTGGTCTAGCCCTCTCTCACTGCATGGTAAGATCCTGGCTCTGGCTCTCTTCTTAGCCCCCAGATTTCTCAGACTTCTGAGCAGTGTAAACTTTGAATGTTTAACTATAGTCAGGATATAACTCCAGTGGGAGTCTAAGGGATAGGAATGGTGTGTGTGTGTGTGTGTGTGTGTATAAAGGTAGGAAGCAGCAATACAAGACTATTAATTAGACAGAGATATAAAGTTGAAATAACCAAAACCAAATGAGAGGTGAAATTACAGTCACTATGGAGTCATGGCTGGGTCATGCACCGAGAACTCAGGTGTATTATTTTTCATAACAAACCTTGTGGAAATATTTAATCATTTAAATATTTCCCATGTAAAACTCTGATAAAAATTAAAGTACTTGGGTCAATAACTAAGTTCCCAAATTAAAAGCTGATGAACAAATAAACATCGAGAAGAGAGAAGTAGGATACCCAGAATTACTTGGTTATTTTTATGCTTCACAGCCAATACCTCAAAAGGCAACATGAAAGGAAAGAAAATTTCTGACAATAAAGGCAAAGAACTCAGTCTGTACCCACCCTACAAAGGGAAAACGCAAAAGTCAAAAAGTCCCTTAAAAATTGAAGTGTATTATTAGTAAACTATGTTCTGTATTCTTATCAGTGGATGGAAATGATTTTATCAGTTGTATTCTGAGTAACTTTAAGAATTATAACTTTAATCAGATAAATTATTTATTGCAGTATAAATTACATTAAATGCAAAAATTATATCTTGCTATTCACACTTTTTCATTGAGTACCTGTGGTCTTAGTCCTTGGAGAAATAATCTCAGGAGGAGCTATTCCAATTTCAGTTGCTTAGAAGTTAACAGAAGAACTACGCTTGTAATCAGACAACTAGGACATAGGGTTACCAATGACAAGTGCTGTAATAGAGCTTGAGGTAAGATGCTCAGGTGTTCCAAAAGGGCAGAGTTTAATCCCAGCTCTAAACACTAACCAGGCTTCCTGGAGAAGATGGCTTCACTCTGACTATCTGTTTTTCCTTCAATGCATGTATCTTGTCCCAATCTTTACAACTGTCCACTGTCCACTGTCCTCCCGTTGTTCATTGATTTGCTTGAGTGGGCAAAGCCTGGCAAGCTACCCGTGATGTATTCAATATGCCAAACACCATAACAAGTATCAAAATGGAGACATTACTGGGCCCGCTCGAGCAAATCTTTACAATTACATGCTTTATTTTTAAAATGCACACAAGAACAAGAGAAGCTGTTACCTCCAGTGTCTCCATTCTTCTTTTGGTAGGGGTGAGGGTCTATACCAGCCAGGAACCTTCTTGTGTGGACATGTGGCCACCATTCTTGTTGCAGAAGTGTTCAACCAGGGGCCATATGGCCCCTTCACCTCTTTGGGCCTCCAGGATATACCAAGGGGGCTATCACGAGGGGCTGAGATCCGAGACTAAGAGGTCAACTCGCGAGAGGAGTGGGGGATGGTGTAGGAATGAAACAAGATTGGAAGGGGACCAAAGTTTGGGAAGGTTGAGAAATTTTAATTTAGGAGTCTTTGCAGGCACTTCAAAGACTGTACTGTAGCTTTAGAAGCCAGATTATATAATTCTGGGAAGTTGTCACACTCAGTGATACTGTGGTGCTCAGGGTGTACTCCTGCTCTGCACTCAGGGATCTCTCCTGGGAAGAATCAAGGGGGCTACAGAAGGGGGGCTGCTGGGAATGGAAGCTGAGTTGGCTGTAGCAAGGCAAGTGTCTAACCCACTCTACTATCTCTATGGCCCCAGAAGCAACATATTTTCTATCAATAACAGAAATATTTTACTTGCCTTTGAATCCTGGAGAGTTTCAATTAGTTCTTCATTGTCCAGAATATTTCCCTCAGATTGAAAAAGCATTTTCAGAATTTTATCTTCTATAGCTTTCAGCTGGTTTTTATCCGTGTTGATGCTCACGATGAGCTTGTTTCTTTGTTCTTCCAACTCAGGTTTCTCAAGTCGCACCACATCACTAGATCCAAAGTTCCATTACATAAATAAAGTCTCTTTTAGTGCCCTAAACTGCTTTCAATTTTTTCTTTCTCCATTCCTAATTGTCGTATTTGGAAAACTAAGCTGAGTACTAATGCTATTAGCGAAGTCCTAAGGCACAAGGTCCCCTTTCGCTAATTTTTGTGTGTGTACAGTAGACTCTTCATAGAACTGCATATTGGTTCGGATTCAGTATCCTGTATTTCAGAGCCCTACACTGCTGTGTGACTGAAACCCAATCATGAACAACTTTTTGTGTATATCATGGCAGTTCAATGAAATAAACAAATAAGTAAGTGGTATTGCTTCCTAGGCTTCTGGTTAATTTCAATAGTGAATACAAACAACTCATAATCTCACTTTGGGGAAATGGAATTGAGTCACATAGAGAGTATACTGAGGGAGAATTTTTAAAAGTGAATAAATGGCATATCAAATTAAGTACATGAAGAAAACTTCTAGAGAGAAATGAAATAGAAAAAATATATTTGGGGGTAGCAGTCTTTTGCATGTTTTGGAGCAGTGTGTCTCCAAGAACCAGGCAAGTCCTGGGGACCATATTTAATGCTGGGGATTGAACCTGGGTTGGTTACTTGCAAGACAAGTTCTTCGTCTCTTGGCTCTCTATTGTCTTTCTGACCAAAATAGTATAAAACTAGAGATCAGCCATAAAAATAAAGCTGGAAAAACTTTAAATATGTAGAGGATAACTGATGTTACTGAGTAACTGTTGGGTCAGTGAGGGAATGAAAGGGAAAATAAAAAAAATTCCTATAAACAAATATTAGAACATATGGAATGTAGCAAAAAGCCCAGAAACTTCATAGCAATACAGGCCAATACCAAGAAAAATCTCAAATAAAAAACATAACCTCACATCTAACAGGACAAATGAAGCCCAAAGTCAGTAGAATAAAGGAAATAATAAAAATTTGATCAGAAATAAGTGAATTGGAAAGAAAAAAGACACTATAGAAGATGATAAGATCAAGAATAGTTGTTTGAAAGAACCAAGACAAGATCACAGTTGGAAAGGATCAGCACAAGATCACAAAGAAAAAAGAGAGAAAATCCTATTTAATGGAATCATAAAAGAGTGAGTATAAGTTACTATTCCACAGAAACACAAAGGCTCATAAGAAGCTACTATGAATAACTTTAAACTATTAAACTTGTTAAGATAGAAGAAATTCACATATTTTTAGAATCATTCAACTTCCCCAGACTTAATCAGGAAGAAATAGAAAACTGTAACAAACCAACTGCAAATAAGAAAAGTGAGACAGTAATTAAGTCTCTCACAAAGCAAAAATCTAGTGCCAGATATTTTCATCAGCGAGTACAACCAAACCTCCAAAAATTGTGTACTACCTATCATCTCAAGTTCTTCCAGAAAAATCAAAGGAAATGTGTTCTTTCAAACACATTTTATGAGGCCAATATTACCCCAGACTAAAATTAGAGAAGTACATCACATATAAAAGAAAACTTCAGACAAAGATCCCTGGTGAACACAGATGCAAAGACCCTGAACAAAATCAAGTGAAATATTCATTATACATGACAAGGGTCCTACTTCAGGACATGGAGGGGTTTATGGCAAGGATGGCTTGATAAACACAATTTAATTCATGCAATATGAAAGGAAGAAAAGTTAATTTAATACAGAACAGGTAAAAATCATGTGATCATTCATCCCTGATACTACATATGGTCTCTCCTGAGTACCTCTGCAGTGACCCCCGAGCACAGAGCCAGGATACCTTGGGGTGTGGCCAAAGCACCCTTCCAAATCATGTGATCACAAAGATTGATAAGGTACATCTTATTTTAGTAATTAAAAACTTTCAACCAGGGACGAGAGAGAGAGGGAGAGAGAGGGGGAGAGAGAGAGAGAGAGAGAGAGAGAGAGAGAGAGAACAGCACAGCAGGTATGAGTCTTGCCTTGCATGTGCATAGTCCAAGTTTGATTCCTGGCACACCATATGGTACCTGGAACCTGCTAAGAGTAATCCATGAGGACAAGCCAGGAATAAGTCATGAGTACCAGCAAGTTAAAAAAAAGTGGGTAGAATAAAATAATTCAATAAAAATAAAAAAGTAGGTAGAATAAAATAAATCAATAGAGTAGCACTGTAGCACTGTCCTCCCATTGCTCATCGATTTGCCCGATTGGGCCCAGTAACGTCTCCATCACGAGACTTGTTGTTACTGTGCCTGGCATATTGAATACATCACGGGTAGCTTGCCAGGCTTTGCTGTGTAGGTGAGATACTTTCGGTAGCTTGCCGGGCTCTCCGAGAGGAGTGGAGGAATCAAACTCCGGTTCGCTGGGTTGGCTGCCTCCAAGGCAAATGCTCTACCCGCTGTGCTATCTCTCCAGCCCAAGTCAATAAAGATCTTATATATGATAAACACACAGGTAACAACATATTGAATGGTGAAAGTTTATTCTCTAAGATCAGACACCAGACAAAGGTGTCTATATAGTATACATAATATAATCAACACTATAATTCAGCATAATATTGAAAGTCCTATTCAGATAAATCAGGCAAAAAAGAAAGAAGAGGGAAATAAGAGAATGACCTATATAAAAGAAATCAGAAACAAGTGATAGTGAGGTTGAGAAGAAAAAGGAAAATTTATACTCTGTTGTTGGACCTGAAACTGGTCCAGCCTCTAGGGAAAACAGTATGAATGTTTTTCAAAACAATAAGACTAGTTCCCACATATTATCGAGCAATTTCACTCCTAAGTGTATATCTGTAAAACACAAAAATATGAATTCAAAAAGATACATGTGTGCTTATATTTATTGTCATTCTACATTTAATATTCACATGGGAGAAACCAAAGTACCCAATTACCTTAATAATTGATCCTCCAGACCTGATTTGGTGACAGTGAAATTGATGATGGTAACTTTAATGCACACCTAGAAGAGATGCATAGAGTAGATGTTCAGACGCATACAATAAGAAGTGTTTGCTTTATTAAAATACTACTCATTATTGCTCAATATGCCAAATACCAATAACAATAATAGGTCTCATTCTCCTAGCCCTGAAGAGAATTGAATATGGCTCTTTTAAAATCTCAGGGCTAGGAAGAAGGAGACGTTACTGGTGCCTGCTCGAGGCAATCCACGAACAACAGGATGATTGTGATCGTGATCTTGATTGCCACCTGAGTACTGTATATCAGGTCTACTTGTCAATACACTCAGTCTTTAGCTTCTACACTAAGCACACTGGGTCTTACACATCCAAATATGATTTTTCCTTATCATGATGAGTGACAATTTTATTCTTCAAATGCTGCAGTTATAGCATCCTACACGATCTTTTAAGGAAAGATGAGTCAGTTCGTAGAAAGGCTATGGGGTTACCAACCTGGGTTCAGCTATAATTGTACCTAATACTGCAAGTGGGATATTGGATGAATTATTCACCCAGGCTAAGCGCAGTTCAAATATTTAAAAATTTGAGTAATAATTGTAACAATTCAAAGGATATTGGGAGACTAAATGGAGAATTGAAATCACTCTGACTTTTTACATGATTTGTCCTTGTTAAAAATAAGCTATTAATAATAAAAATGTTCATATATTTTGCTTCATCATAACATTTAATGAATAAGTCAACACAAAAATTGATAAATACAATAAAGATGTTTGTGTGTCACATGCTTTACATAAAGTCTTCCTTTAATTTAAAAAAATTAAATATTTTCACAATAATTCTTTGTCAACTCTTGAGCTGACTGGCCTGGGGATTCAGGAAATAGAACAATTTACCTACAGTTACAGAGTCAAGGTTGTTTGAGGTGTGAGAAATCAAGGTTTAAGTTAGTACAAGACAAACCTTAAATCAAGGTTAAAGTCAGTGGTCACTTTCCCTTTTTGTTTTGTTTTTGTTTTTGTTCCGTTTGGGGGTCATACTTGGTGATGCTCAGGGGTTATTCCTGGCTCCGCACTCAGGAATCACTCCTGGAGGTGCTCAGTGGACCACATGAGATGCTGGGAATTGAACCCACATCATCTGTGTACTAGGCATGTGCCCTACCTGCTATACTATTGCTCCAGCCCCTGTTTTTCTAAAATCTAAAGTGGAACTTGAGATGTGAGCTCTCACAGTGGCTCTAACAGTAATTAGAAGGTGACAAGGAAAACTCTGCTGCAGGCTGTTAATGGCAATTCCTTTATATTTTTCAAGACGTGTGCCGATTTCATTTAAATCAACATATGAAGACAGGGAGTTCTGAGAAATTCTGTAAAATAAAATTAAACTGTAGGAATGGTCTATGCAAGGATTTTTTTTCTTTTTAAATGGGGGGCGTTATGGAGAAACACACTGATTTGTGAAGACTTTTCCAAGGGCCCTATGCAGGCGGTGGAGATGGAGGGCTGCTAGACCTGAACATCCTGTGGAGACAGCAGCTGTGTCAGCATGAGTGCTTACAGGGGTGGAGGGGTCCCCTAGGGTCATATGTGGTCCCCAGGAAGGACTGGACTACTTGCTGTCTTCACTTCTATTACAACTGCTTAGGACCTGCATAAGGACCTAGGTTCTGCTGACTCAGGGACACGAGTGTGAACGTGGGATTCACACGGTTCCTCTCCTGTAGTCTAAGAGCACAAGGAAGGGGCCACAAAAACAGAAATTCAGTTACAGACATTGGCCATTGGACACATACTTTTCTAAAGCTGGAAGTTACTGGTTTTTTTTCCTTTCTTTCTTTTTTGGGGGAGCCACACTTGACATTGCACAGGGGTTACTCCTGACTCTGCACCCAGGAATTACTCCTGGTGCTGTTCAGGGGACCATATGGAATGCTAGGAATCGAACCCGGGTCAGCTGCATCAAGGCAAAAGCCCTACCCACTGTGCTATCGCTCCAGCCTGTTTCCAGGTCTTCTTAAGCAAGCTATCTTTTCATTTGGGCAGCACAATATGATATGTGCATAGCACATTGAAACAGCTTCCTCCTTCCCCTGTGGATTCTGGATTTAGGTGCTGACTCATTTCTCAGTCACTGTAAGAGGGGCAGCTGGACTTGTGCTGAGGGAAGAATGAGTGTGTGTGTGTGTGTGTGTGTGTGTGTGTGTGTGTGTGTGTGTGTGTGCATTGCTCCATGTTGGGAGGTGCCAGGCCCCTGATTAGTGCCTGATGGGGAGGTAACTGGGTTCCAACTAGATGGCAACAGAATGGCAACAGGAGTCACAGCCAAGATGCAGAAGAGAAGCAAGAGAGGTGACTGGTGGAAGAGAGGCTGTGGAGAGGGAAGCCGAACCAGGGCAGAGCTGCTTCCTTCAGGTGGGAGAAGTGATGAACGTCAGAGGCCCATCACAGCCTCATCGTTCACTTGCGCTAGGAATCCCAGAGCACCAGCTCTTACCTCAGGCAGGTAGTGGGGATTTGGCAGTTTGGTTGTCATATAGAACTTAAAGTTTTTATCGTAATCAATGTCTGAGTCACCAAGGCGAATGAGTACACGGCCGCCACTAATGAAGATCTGTTTTAGAAGAATTGGTTCCAATGCTGGATCTAAAGTTTCTTTAAGCTGAAAAATGAAAGCAAGCAAACAAAAACCACAAGCAATGAGAATGGATGTCATTGACTTCAAATTTCACTAGTCTTAAGATTTGAACTTCGAACAAACAGTTTTCAGTGATCTTGCGAGTGTTTAAAAATGTCCTTCTACTGCCTCTAACAGTGTAGTGTACATGTCCCAGTGGTTGTCTTACTAGCAGTCTAAGTAAATAGGAGCATCTGAAGGCACAGTACCCATTTAGACTGATCTAACCTACTAAATTTCAGGCAAAAGCAGCCAAGGAAAGAGTCTGTAGGGTGCCCGATCGAAACACCCTTTCTAGTGTTGTTCAGGGCCAGAGGCACAAAGAGATTTCTTGTGCTCTCTGTTCAAGCTAGAATATGGTATTTTTCTAAGCAGTTTTCTCAATAGCTAAGCCTGCTCAGTCCCTTGCTTCAAACTTTCTGTGCCTCACATTTCTCATTGCAAAATGGGATAATATTAGTAATTAGTTAAGTTACAGTGAAAATTAAATAGTTCATGCATGTTAAATACAATCTGTAAATTACAGATTCTGGGATATAGTGGGTGGTGAATAAATGGCAGTGAATACTGATTAATTTATTCTGGGACATTGCCAGCTCCAGAGCTCAGTTGCTATTGTCAATGGCCTTGTTTTCATTTTGTGGTTCCAGGTATTGAACTCATAGCCTTAACACATGTGGGGCATGTATGTGCTCTGCCACTGAGTCAGTCTCTGGCCCTCTGTGATCTTTGAGGAACTCTTTTTTATTCTGACAAATGAATATTTTTTGGTTGCAATGATAGCTGACTCAACTCACAACTCATGCTTTTGTTCACTCATTTTTTCCTTTATATAAAACAAAATGGTAAGGTAGGAAGGATATCAATTATTTCAAAACCCCTCTGTGTCCAGGTCTTTTGCACATGCCTTTCCCTGTGTTTGAGAAGTCTTTCTCTTTGAGGTCTTCACTTGACTGAGCTCATTGCAGAGGTCACGATTTAGATACTTCTTTAGCCATGCATATAAAATGCATTTAAATGAGATCCCTACTCCTTCCTCATTAGCTATTTCAACTCCAGGCTTCTTCCATCATAGGTCTTATGACAAGATCCTTTCCTCCATTTCTCTCATTTCCTCTCTTTTCTATTTAAAGTTTTTCTCCTAAACTAAATTGTAAGCTGCTGAGGATAAGAACTATATATGCATTTTCTGTCATTCGTTCTTAATGTGTTGAGTGAGTGAATAAAGAATATTTCCAGAGTGAATCTATAGAAATGCTCTAAAACATCATTTAATCAAATTCTGACCCCATGTCTAAGTAGAAAACAATGCTAGAACCAGCAGATTGCCTTAATGTTTCCAGATCATTGGTGTGTATATAAGTTCCTGATAGTACTGTAGCACTGTAGCGCTGTCCTCCAGTTGTTCATCGATTTGCTTGAGAGGGCACTCAGTAATGTCTCCATGAGACTTGTTACTGTTTTTGTCATATCGAATGCGTCATGGGTAGCTTGCCAGACTTTGCCATGCAGGTGGGATACACTTGGTAGCTTACGGGGCTATCCGAGAGGGGCAGAGGAATTGAACTTGGGTCGGCTGCGTGCAAGATGAACTCCCTACCCACTGTGCTATCCCTCCTGGGAAGTCTGATAGTACTACTGAGTTGAATCTCCAGGGCACCTAACTATTAAAAGCAAAAGAGTCTGAGAATCAATAGTGTCAGAAAACAGAGCCCATTTTACACCAGAAAAACGTCTGGAAAAATAAAAAATTAATCAATCTATAGATTTCTTCCCTAATAGATGTCAGTCTTTAAGGGGAAAGCAATTGATTAAGAATTTGAAAATGGATCTGACCGGGACCACTAACTTGACATAGATGTGGCCTGTATGGAAATCCAGATCTGATCTGTAAGTTCCGAACTCTCAGGAGAAAGAAAGTGAACAGCAAACCTCTTCCAGTAAAACAGGTAGTCCAATTCGGATGGAATTTTCAAGTATGCGTAAGAAATTACTATCTGTAAGCTTAATGATCTTTAAACCATTTTTGCTTTCCTTGTTCCTTATCCAACGGTTTGCCTGTATGAAAAAAGCATAGTTTACAGTTTAGAATTTTAGGCATAACTAGAAAGTGAAAGACTCTGTAGTCAATTAAAAAATACTGTTCCAAACTTAAAATTAAAAAATTTGGTCAACCTAGAAATTTTTTGAAAAAAAATTGAAAAAGATAAAATTAAAATGTCACTCCCAAGTGCAACTAAAAATTCCCAATATTTGGTTTCTTCCTTTGATTCGGTTCTAAATCAAGTAAAGAAAATTCAGGATTAAAAACCTAGGATTAAAATTCCAGACTTTATTCAAACTTGAATTTCCTGTTTCCACAAAGCTCTTTTCCCCAAATTCCATGTACTATAATTTTAATCTTTGGACCTAGGAATTATGTAAAAGAATTCTGTAAGTTCAGGGAAGTTTAACCTAAACTTCATCATATCATGCCTGAATTCACTTGGACTCCTCAAACCTTTTAGAAACAAAGGGTTATGAAGGAATAAAGATTTGCTCCCATGAAAATCAGAAAATCTATGTTTATTAAACATAGATTCCTCTTGGAGGGCCTGGCAAGCTACCAACATTATCTCACCCGCACGACAAAGCCTGAAAAGCTACCCGTGACGTATTTGATATTCCAAACACAGTAACAATATGTCTCACAATGGAGATGTTACTGGGCCTGCTTGAGGACCAATGGGAGGACAGTGCAGACAGTGCTATGTTTATCTAAAAATAAATCAAAATCAAGTGCATAGGTACTTAAACTTTTTACACAGAAAGCTTTCTTTTTTCTGGCCACACCAAACTTTGCTCAGGACTTACTCCTGGCTCTGTGCTCAGGAATTATTCTGGCAGTTCTCAGGGGATCATATCAGATGCTGGGATCAAACTTGGGTTGGGTACATGCAAAGCAAACACCCTACCAATGTACTATCTCTCTAACCCCACTAGAAGATCTCTAACTCCCTGCTATGTCTAACTTTCCAAGGACCTATAATTCAAAGTCCACTCTTAGAGCTTGTAATAGAAAACATAATGTTAAGAAGAGTTTATAGGCAGCTTTTTATCTGAAGTGTTTGTTACACACCTGATCTTGGGGATCAATCATCAAAGGCCACCGTCTCCCCTGAGTAACCAAAATGCCATTTTCTGTTGATATAAGGTCACGGGGCAGCCCATCAGTATTCCACTGTCGTATTTCATAGGGATCTCCAAGAATGTTTATAAGACTGAAGGAAGTATCGATTGGGATATCCAGTTCCTGACAGCCCTCGATCCAATACTCTATGAGCTGCAGAAAGAAAAGTTTGCTTGATAGACACATGAATACCCATAAACAAGGATACACAGAGAGTGTCACAGTAACAAGACTCTCTAGTCTCCTCCAGTCATTTGACTTCAGTGCAAAGGACATGGAAGTAGACTGAAAGTCAGGAGATTGGGGTCCTAGATTACACTCTCAAGGCTGAGGTGCAGGGATGTTACTCTGCTGTCTCATTCATAAATGACAAGAGCTGTCACAGTAGTTTGAAATTAGGGTGTCCCACCTCTTGGAAGGGTCTGGAAGCACCTGAAGTTTGGGATACTCACAATGATGATGGGTGTGACTCTACTCCATATAATAGATTTGGGACAGGGGGATCAAATATACTGTCCCCTTCACTGGGTGATAATTGTGTACAATAGAGAACTCTCTATTTTCCCAATGCATCACTGGTATTATTGCTCACTTGGTACCAGATAACCTGCGAGTTAATCTGTGAGTCCCATGCTGACTAGATTTCAAAACTCAACAACAAGCCCAATGTCAGGAAGAAAGAATTTTTCACAAACGGCTTGAAAAACCTCTCCCAGTAATTTAGTTTTCTGGTATTTCCCTTTGCAAAACCTTAGTTACAGTTTCAGAACACTTCATCCAGGTTAATTTTAGGTACCACTTCTGTTCACAAGGGGAGGGGAAGGGACACTCTGTGCTTTTTGTTTCCCTGGGGTTCTTGTATAAGTAAGCCATGAATTGATTCTAGAGGCAGGAAAGGAATGGGAGGAATGTGTCAAGGAAAGTTGAGGGATAAACATCGTTGACCCATAGGGGAGATGGGGTGTTGGGTGAGGTATAAATCCATTTCCTTCACAGTGGAGAGCTTCCACCTAAACTCAGAGAAATTCTCCCCACTCTATCCTACCACTTTCAGCTGCCTCTTACCACTCCTTAGAGGAAGCAAGTGAGCTCACCTTTTGCCTATACTTGGCTGTAAAGGCCCCATAGTAGGCAACACATGCTGCTGCGATGAACACATTCCCAACAATGTTCCCTATCTCCTCCTCAGATTTCTGGATGCTTTCTTCCCACCGAACTTGCTCATCTCCTAGTGCAGCTGTTAGCTTCCCAGCACGTGTTAGACGTGCTTTTGTCAGGGCCATAACCTTTGCTAAAAATGTAAAGACAGGTTAGGTATTCAATATTTTTTTTAAATGTAAGAAGTATACCAGAATTAGTATTATTTAGCTCATGTTGCCAGTATATCCTGATGAAACCTCACACTGATTAAACATTATTTTTCATATGAAAACCAAGTCCAAGTATGCTTCTTCCAAGCAAAGGGTTCACTTATTTTTTAGGTGTGTGTGTGTGTGTGTGTGTGTGTGTGTGTGTGTGTGTGTGTATGCAAGCATGTGTTTTTCTAGAAATTGAACCCAAGGCCTTGTAAAAAGCCTTATTAAGGTATAGGAATCGAATATATGCAATCCTTCTAATTTTACACTACAGGGCCAAAGTAGCGATAGCACAGCAGATAGGGTGTTTGCCTTGCATGCGGCCGACACAGCCAACCCGAGTTTGATTGCTCCGCCCCTCTCAGAGAGCCTGGAAAGCTACCCAGAGTATCTCACCTGCATGGCAAAGCCTGGCAAGCTACCTGTGACGTATTCGATATGCCAAACACAGTAACAAGTCTCACAATAGAGATGTTACTGGGCCCACTCGAGCAAATCGATGAACAATAGGAGGACAGTCCTACAGGACAGTGCTACAGGGCCAATGTAGTACACCTGACTGAAATACATATACACATTGAGTGAAAGTAAAAGTCTGATTGAAAACTCTTTCTACTTTTGAACATCAGGCATTTTCTGACCAAAGTAAAACTTGTGAGTTACTTACCCAGACTTTCTTTCTCATTCACACCTTTTTCAAATTCTTCTTGTAAAGCCTGTATCTGAAGTTCTACTTTTCTTAATAATTGTTGCTTTTCTTTCAGAGTAGCCATTGTTATATCAAGTTCTGCCTAATAAAATCAGATTAAGTGTTTAAGAGTAGGCTCCAAAGATGGTTAAGTTATCTCAATTATTAATGACTAGAAATAGTATTTACGATTCCCTTAAAGTATTTTGGGATTATATATAAAGTTAAAACTAAATAAAAATAGAGTAAAACATGAGAAAAGAAACAAACAGAATCAAACAAAATGAATTCAAACAAAATATATCATAGAAGAAATAGAGAAATAGATAGACCAAGTATTTGGGATAAATTAGTCACTATAATTGAATATTAACTTAAATGACAAAATACATGAAATGTTCATACGATAGTGAAAAATAACCTTTCCTAATCAGTTTTCTAGAGTAGAGGACTACAGTCTGGTCTTGCAGGCCAAAGATAACCTGTTTATTTTGTTTGTTTTTTGACAAAAAATGGTTTTACATTTTTAAGTGGATTAAAAAGAAGAATGCCACTTCATGATATGTACTACCTATGAAATTAGAATTTCATTGTTTATAAAGAAAGTTATACTGGAACATAACCTTGCTTATTTAGGTATGAATCATGTTTTTGTGCTGTCGAGTTGAGAAGTCAAAATAGAGATCACATAGCCAGAAAGTTTAAAACATTTATTAGCTGGGGATGTGGAGACTAGTAGAGGAGTAAAGCATTAGTCTTGCATGTAGTTGACCTTGATTTAATCCCTGGTACCAGTGAATGATCACTGATCATAGAGCTAGGAGTAAGGCCTGAGCATAACCGGGTATGATCCAAAAAAAATATTACTATATGAATTTGGGGAACGTTTAGATTTATTAAAATATTTATTTATTTAACCTGGGATCTTATATTCTTTATTTTTTAAACTTTATTTAAACACTGTAGTTTACCAAGTTGTTCATAATACAGTTTTTTTGGCATTCAATGTTCCAACACCAATCCCACCACCAGTGTGATCTTTCCTATCACTGTCCCCAGTTACCTAAATAGCTCCCAAGACCGTCCCCTCAAAAGGCACAAAATAATGTCAAAAATGTCACTATAGTTAAATGGTATTTAAATGGTGTTGACATTTATGGTCTTGGTGTACACAATTACACCATGTAGTTGCATAATTATCTGAACTTTTACAGAAAAAGTCAACCTGTCAACCCTTGCTCTCTAGCCCATGGGCCTTTCAGATTCTTGTCCTTTTAAATAATTATTCTTCACTTTTCTTGTGATCTCACACTGGAATGTGAATGAAGATGGTTTTTAGAACTTCAAACAAACCTATTAAATATGAGAGTATTTAGCCTCTGGAAATAGACATGGGCGTTAGAGCTAAAGGCATGTTAGAAACAAAAAGGTCTAATGATACAAATACAATGAGGTAGATTCTCACTTTATGTTAAAAGAGGGCTGATATTAGGAGTCATTTATAAAAAAACAAAACAAAACAAAAAAAACCTTTGCCAACTGTATTTGTGAGGAGGAATCAGAGTGGCCTCCAGCAGCAATCAGAAGCCTTGGGGGCCACTCCAGCTGTACCTGGCCTGTGATGCAGTGGTGCTCTGGTCCAGTGGTGTGGGGGCCACCAGGTCTTCATGTGGAGGTGCTGGGTAGGGACATGTGATGCTGGGAACGGAACCTGGGACTCGTGTGTGCCAGGCATGGGTGCCAGTCTTTTGAGTTGTTCCTCAAACCAGCTATTATTTTTTTATAACAAAGATTATTTATCTTTGATGTCTTTTAAATTTTGATTGCCTTTTAAAAATTAAGTTTTTAAATTGATTTATCATTGGTTTACATTATCATGGAATTTTAGGGGTTTAGTTACATACCTTTGTATATTCAGTTCTCACCACTCTAATCACCCAAAAGTTCCAGTTGCCAACCATCTCATCACCAAACAGACACCTCTGCTCATTCCTCCCACCTACCCTTCTCCTTCTCTCTGGGGACATCACAGTTGTCACGAGTCTAGAAGTTAGGTGAGTTATTTCTTGCCAGTTCACATGTCAGTTATTCATATTCCACACATGAGCAAAACAATCCAATATTGCCTTTCACTTCCTTCCTTTTTTCACTTACTGTCATCACTTCAAGATTCAGACATTTTGCCCCAAAGGCACACCTTCATCTTACAAGAACTAATTTTCAAAAGCACTGTTGCTTTAAAGGTGCCACTTGGATGATTAATGATTGTGGCTTTTAATTATATAAGATGCCACAACACAGATAAATGTACCTGGGCTGCACGGAGTTTTTGTCTCTTTGGTTCAACTTCTTTGATCACCCGTGAGTACAAATCCATTGCTCTCACCCACATACACATGGATTTACAAGCTTTGGACACTTTTTCTACCTTTTCAGGTAAAAAATCAGGATTGTTAATATACTTTTGGAGTTTTGCCAGTATTTGAGGCTTTATGTTTTCCTTATCATATTCTAAAAGTCTTCTTAGAAAATTAGAGTCACCAAGAAGTTGCTTTGCTGTTTGCCAATCAGGCCTGCAAGACAAATATGATAATATCCTGGTAAGAAAGCGATAAAAGATTGAAACAATGTATTCTTATCAAGATTTTAAATTGGTATCCTAATTCATGGGTAGTTTTAATCTTGATACTGTAATTTGAGTGAATCTAATTACATGGAAAGACAGGGAATTGGATATCCATGTTCTATACAATTAACCACTTGTTTGAGGTTGTAAGAAGAATTCTAAAACCATACAATCCTAGAAATGTGATACATTATAGAAAGAAGCCTTATGTAAAAAAAAATCCCTAAGTACTCACATTTTTTCTCATTTACATGAATTTAGATCCTTAAAGGTTCTTGCCAAGAAGCTACAATCACTTAATTGGCTTTATTTCTCTTATTCTTATTTGCTTCTTGCAAACTTTTGCAAGGTTGGCCTTTCTCATGTGGAAATCTGGTTCTCAGTTCCCTCTTGCTGGGGCTGTCTCTGTGCTAAGCAGGACCCTTACGCTGCAATGTCCCACTGAAGTGCTGGCTGGAGGTAAAGTAGGAAAGCCTAGCATGAGGGTGCCCTGGGTCCTTTATTCTCATTTTGACAAGATTTACATAGGAAAGTACCTTAGAAGTTTTATTAAAATAAAATTATATCACTAGGGCTGGAGCCACAGCACAGTGGGTAAGGTGCTTGCTTTGCATGCACTGACCTGGACTCAATCTCCAGCACTCTTTAAGGTTCCAAGAGCTCATGAGGAAAGATATTCGAGTGCAAGAGTCAGGAGTAATCCCTAAGCACCACTGGGTGTGGCCCCAAACCAAAACAAACTCCAAAAAGGTATTACTAGGAAAGTTAGAAATCAATGTATCTCTGAGCTGAAATCGGAACATTTTAGCACCAAGTTTAATATCTTAGACTGGAGAGAGAACTCAATGCGCTGAATGCAAGTAGGAGGCCTGGTCCCCTAAGCACAGAGCTGGGAGCAACCCCCAAGTACTACTTGGTTGTGGCCTGAAAGCTGGAAATATAGAACCTTTCTTGTTGCAGGAATCACCACACTCCTGCCCAGCCTGCTTCCATTCTGTAAGCATCAAAACTATGTGAACCTGCAAAGGTCCTCCTCTCATGCTAGCAGCAATGCCTCTCAAAGTCCTGCTCACACCTTCCCTGCTGAACATGGGTGCTTTTCTTGGCCATCAATACTCAGCAACTTTCACGTCTTGAAGTTATTATTTTTAATATTTACCCAGTAGACTATACATGTCTTGTGTAGAACTTTATATATTCTACAGTCTAGGATAAAATGTTGGTTAAAAAAATGTTGAGTCAATTTGTTGTAGGACCAAATGACTGGTTGAGAAAGGGAAGAGAAAGAAGGCATGGGAGTGAAGTGGGGAAAAAAATGGCTGAGAAACACCACAGGTGGTTTGGAAATGGATTCTGAATTACTTACTTGGCGTTCAGGAGAATGGAAATGGCTTCCATAACAGTCATGACCATATCTGGAGGCTTTGTAAAGACTCTGATTTCCGCTATATCTGCTTTGTCTAAGGAATCCAGAGCTTTATTGGCAGCATCGAGTGCGGGCAAAGCTTCTTCGAGGTCTCTTTGAGCGTCATCAGCTATTGCTTGGGTTTCTTCAGCTTTTACTTTTGCTGTTGCTTCATCTTCTTGTACAACACTACGGACCTAATGAGTGAAACACAGTTCTTTGTGTTGTTTCCTTATTTGAATTTTAATGTTTAAAGATAAAGTAAATAGGAATAAATCATAATATTTTTTCCTTTGGATTAGACCAGTATGAAAGATGATTAGATATATTGTATATTATGCTTTTCTTTGTTGACTTTATCTCTTGCTACTACAAGAATGAAGACATTATTTGAGCAATTATAATAAAATAAACAATTCTATTATTAAAAATAAAATTATTCTAATAAATAATAATAATTAATAAGGCTCATCATTAGACTATACTAGCTGTTTCATATTCATAGGTAGCTCTTTTCTCACAACTCTCTCTGTTCCATTCACTAGGTTCATCATTCTCAAAGAGAAAACCAGTTGGATTTATAGAAGGGAGAGTGTTTACAACTTCAGAGTATTGCTAAGTTCATCTATCACTTAATGATTTTAATAGTATATAAAATTCAAAAAAATTAATATATGTTATTGCATGTAAAGGATCAGCTGGTAATCAGTTTTCTTACCACACTGTCAAACAACGTGTCATACCTGATCTGCATTTTCTTGATCTACTGCCAGTTTATCCATCAAAGCTTCAACATCTTGTGATTTTGCCAAAAGAACAGGTTCTAAATCTGACAGATCTATTTTCATTTTGTCTACTAGTACATTTGTTTCTAATAGCTTGGTGAGACCATTCTTTACCCGATCACGTGCCTAGGTGACAATGAAAATATCTATTATAGAAGGTATCATAAACACAAATTTACTGGCATCTTTTTGTCCTGTATTTGAATTTCACATTTTAAGAATTAATTTGAGATACTTGAAATTGTGATACATAAAACTTTAAGTAAAAGTATTTTAGAATGTGAAAATGACTTTCACCATGGTGAGTTTAGGTCCATGTCCCCTGTCCCTGCCATGCGGGCAGGATACTCTCGGTAGCTTGCTGGGCTCTCCAGGATATATATATATATATATATATATATATATATATATATATATACTGTCACTGTCCTCCTGTTCATCGATTTGCTCGAGTGGACCCAGTAACATTGTGAGACTTGTTGTTACTGTGTTTGGCATATCGAATACGTCACGAGTAGCTTGCCAGGCTTTGCCGTGCAGGTGAGATACTCTCGGTAGCTTGCCGGGCTATTCAAGAGGGGCAGAGGAATCGAACTTGGGTGGACTGGGTTGGCCGCATGCAAGGCAAATGCCCTACTTGCTTTGCTATTGCTCCAGCCCTATATATATATCATATATATATATATATCTCCCTCTATGATTTGTTGTCTACTAATATTTAAATTAAGTATATAAATAATTATATGTGGCCCAATAATTTTATCCCTCATATATTTATCTTGGTTTAAGAGTTTTATAGGAATTATGTATGCGGGGATATTATCACTTGTACAAGCAAGAAGTTGAAGGTGAGCTAGGTATTTCACATAAAGTGTAGATATGTAAAGTTCATGAATCCAGGATTTCCTTAAAAAATCACAGACTGGCTTTGGGATCAATAACAGAAGTTTATCTTCTCACAGTTCTGGAGGCTAGTGGTCTTGAAATCAGGGTGTCGACAGACCTTCCTCCAAGACTCAGAGGCCGTGATGTGGGCTGTTATTCTTAGAATTGGCTCCCTCTGTGATTTACTATAGAACGGTTTCTTGCTCATTCCCAAATTGAAAGTTACTTTCAATCCTTGGCTTACATCTTTATCACTCCAATCTAGCTTTTATCAATATGGGAATTTTCTCTTACAAGAGCATCAATCATATTGGGTAGGGCCCACCATAACCTATTTTTTTCCCAAGTTGAGATAACAGTCATTTACAAGAATTTAAATGTTTAGAAGTTTTAGAGGTTTAATTTTACCACACCCACTGCAAAAGTACAAATATAAATAAAAATAAAGAAGCATAAAAAATGATATTAAACTTACTGAAATCAATTGCTTCCTTTTTTCACTCAGCATAGATAGGTAGAGCTGGATCAGTTCCAAGTAGGATGTGGGTGTTGTGTAGTATCGTCTCCGCAGCTCTGCATAATATTGATCTGCCATCACGGAGACGCTCATGTGAACATTTACACACATGAGAGAAAGCTTTTCCTTCATTTCTTCACTTACAGCCCCAATATTTGAAAAAAATGTCTGTGATACAGAAAGAAGTGCTTCTCTGGGCCACTATAAATAAAGGAATAATATGAAAATCTATTGTTCACTTTAATAACATACAATTGAGCAGTTAAGAAAAGCATATTTTTCTCTGTAACTCTATTGTGCCTTGTCCTTTTTACCTCATGAATAGTTAAACTCTTATATATGTTTATGATGCTTAGTGAACTGAATGTCTGAGTTCCTTAGATGGAGACCTGTATTTGCTGTTTCTAGCACAATGTCAGGTATGTAAAACTTGTTCCATATTACTCTATTTATTAAAATTATTGATGATGACTATATGGCAAATATAAATGCATTGCTAGGACCTCATGTCCATATTCTATTTATCAATCATTTTGGACTCCAGGTCTATTTTTTTAAATTTTTATTTTTTATTTATTTATTTTTTTATTAGTGAGACATCATGAGGTACAGTTGCAGACTTACAAATTTTTGTGCTTGGGTCTCAACCATACAATGATCAAATACCCATCCCTCCACCAGTGCCCATTTCCCACTACCACGAATCTCAGTATCCCTCCCACCCCCCCCATACCCCCCATCCCACCCTGCCTCCGTGGCAGGACATTCCCTTTTGTTCTCTCTCTCTTATTGGGTGTTGTGATTTGCAAAAGAGGCAATGGGTACAATCATGTTTGGTCTATAGTCTACTCTCAGCATGCTTCTTCCATGTTTGAAACTTTTAACAATGTTATTTACAAAGTTGTTCATAATACATTAGTTTCAGGTACTCAATGTACCAACACCAATACGACCACCAGTGTGACCTTCCTTCCATCAATATCCCCAGTTTCCCACTCACCCTCTAGCCTGCCCCCTTATCAGGCACAAAAAATTTTTACCTTATTGCCTCACAATGGTGTTACTAATGTCATTGTCTGAGGATTTACTGAGCTGGTTGGTCCTGGTTGAACCTTATGTGTCATTGTTTTTGCTCATTAAGCTTAGTGGACTTCAACGCAATTTTCTTATCTAATTTGCAGTGCTCCTACTGGGCTGTCAGCCTCATGCCTCAGGAACTGTGGAGCTGGGATGACCCAATAGCTTGGTCTCTCTTTGAGATTAGTCATGGAGCTGTGAAACTGGTCAATTTATAGGCCAGAGGATTGTCAGGTGTGGATGGGACTCTAGGTATCTCCGTAGGACTGGGACTCACCCTCCCCCCTGCCCCCCTGAGAATGCTCCAGAGATCTTAACCTGAAAAACTTACCTGGGACAATTCAGTGTGATTAGAGTCTTCATATTTACTATTATAATTACTATCCTATTTGACTCAACATCTTTGTTGCTTTTTAAAAAATTTTATAGAATCACCATGATTTACAAAGTTATTCATAGTTGAATAACTTTGAATAATGAACAACAATCCCATAATTGGTGCCAACTTCCTTCTACCAATAGTCCCAGTTTCCTTCCCACCACAGCCTGCCTCCTTGACAGACACATTTTTAAGTTCAGTTGTAGTATTTGGATCTCATGCATTCAGTTTTGTTCATTTTGTAGTTCAGATATAGAGATTCACCACAACTCTACACTGCCAATGTCTCCAAGGTCTCTTCTCCCTACCTTTTTACCTCCCTATACAATTCAAAGTGCTCTATGTATCCCCCTTTTAAATACTTTGCATTACCTTGTCCTGTTATTCTATACATTACAGATAAGTGAGAACATTCTGTATTTTTTTGCAGTCGCTTGACCCTTAGTCAAATACAACTCTGTTGTATTCAGGACAACTAGTTTCAATGAGATCCTAGTGTAGCCTAGAAATGCTCCTATATTTTCCCCAATAAATTCCTTCATACATTCCAAGATGATTATTTTATATTCAATACTATTCCTCCAACTTCTACCAAGTCCTCTTTCTTACTCATTTGCAGCTATAGAACAAACTCCCCATTTTACTAAAAAACATAGATTTTATGAAACCAAAATTTCAATGAACTCTCACTTCTTTTCCTTCCTGTCACCATGTCTGTTCATCTACTCTTCTTTCTTATTACTCTAGGTATGCTGGGTCTGTGCCTTGCCCAGGTCAGGGCCTTCACTAAAGACTCAGTCCAGTTCCTTATTGCCTGCTCAGTGCTATTGATCCAACAATGCTTAAATTGGCTGTGACAACATCAAGCTTTCCTGGATCATTCCCAACATTACAAAGGACACTGTATGTTTCCCACTAAAAAGACTTCTTTCTTGTTCTCATTAACCCCTTTAGCCACTGTTGGTGTTCCTTTGGGGTAAAACTCCTTAAAAGAGTTGCCTACACATGTATTTCTGATTCTTCACCCCTTTTCTTTCTTAAACCTTCTACGCCCCCCCCCCCCACCCCATCACTGTACTGAAGCAGGACTGTCAAGATCACTGGTAACTTCTATATTGCCCAATTGAATGAACGTCTTTCCCTTCAAAAATGGTTTTCCTTTAGTTCAATAACTGTCACTGCAATATCTTACATATGAGCAAGTTATTTGAGGACTTTAAAGCTAATGAAAGCACACTTGATTTATTCTTGGTTAGTGTGTGACCCCTTTAAAGTCAAGCAAATGCAGATACTCAAAGAAATGTCCTGTGATGTCACCCACCTGAACAAACCAATCAATAGTGCAGCAGTTCACAAGGGAGGGAAACATACGACACCGGGAGCGAAAGGCGTCCCCAACTGGGCTCATGCATAGAACAATGTGCAGATTCTGACGAACTTTGTTGATGAAGAACTGAAACACCTGGTATTAAGAAAGGTATCATTCAATTAAAAATAAGGAGGAAGCAGCAATGAAAAAGTGTTGAAAATAAGTATCTAAATCTACCAGTTTTGATAAATGAGTATCAAGAAGAATAATACCATAGAAAAAAGTTAGTGTTGCATCTTTGTCAATTTTTTGTTCTACATCTGTTCTAATACCCCTTACAAACCCTTTGTTTTATTCCATTTAAGAACTCTGTCACCGTCACTGTCCTCCCATTGTTCATCGATTTGCTCGAGCAGGCACAGTAACATTGTGAGACTTGTTACTGTGTTTGTCATATCAAATACGTCATGGGTAGCTTGTCAGGCTTTGCTGTGCGGGCAAGATACTTTCAGTAGCTTGCTGGGCTATTGCTTCAGCCCTAAAATTGGATTTTTTTTTCTTTTTGGGTCATAATCAGTGATGCTCAGGGTTAATCCAGGACAAGAACGCTATTCAGGTATCCCAAAGAGGAATGAAAGAGCTATGCTCTCCATCGACAATCAAGAATCAGGGACGCTGTTTTGTTTGCCAAGATGTCAAAAATCAGATGGGCCAGACACATAATGTGATTTAAAGATGACCGCTGGACTAGAGCTGTTACTGACTGGATTCCATGGGACGTCAAAAGGACGCATGGCCGCCCACCTACAAGATGGTCAGACTTCATCAAAAACCCGGGACAAACAATTTGAGTCTCCTCATGTTCCTGGAGCGAGCAGATGCCATTGGGATACACTATTACGCAACAGGGATGAATGGATACGTTACTGGCGCCTGTTCGAGCAAATCAATGAATAACTGATGGCAAGTGATACAAGTGATACACCCAGTGATGCTCAGGGGTAATCCTGGCTTCTCAATCAGGAATTACTCCTGGAGGTGCTGAGAGACCATATAGGATGCCAAGGATCGAACATGGGTCGGCTGCGTGCAAGGCAAATGCCCTACCCACTGTGCTATCGCTCCGGCATCTAAGAATGGAATTTTTTGGGTGTTATTGCAACCTGAGTTGTGGATGTGATGTAGGACCCCTCCCCTCATTACTACTATATTTAAAAAGATCCCTTGAGTAAAGGAGATAGAGAGGTGTTTATTTAGAAGTTTTGTTTGGAGTAAAGAATAGCTGAGGGAGAGAGCCTAGGTACAGGCTACATTTGGAGCTGCAGAACGTGGCAGCCGTGCCATGCTCTCTAATCTTGGATCCTTATTTCAGTCAGTTTCTGGCATGCAGGGATTTCATGGCTTTGGAGATGGCAGCAGAAGCAGCCATGCACTGGCACCTGGCCCTGCAGGGATTCGGTGGTAAAAGTAGTAGCTCTCTCTCTTTCTCTCTCTTTTTTTTTTTTGCTCTTTTTTGGGTCACACCTGGCTATGCACAGGTGTTACTCTTGGCTTTTCACTCAGGAATTACTCCTGGTGGTGCTCGGGGGACCATATGGGATGCTGGGAATTGAACCCAGGTCAGCTGCGTGCAAGGCAAACGCCCTACCCACTGTGCTATTGCTTCAGCACCAGCCCCAAAGTAGCAGCTCTCTTGACCACTGATGTTGAGTGTGCATTTCATACCATCCAAGGATTTGAGTCTGGAATGCCTTTCTTTGGTCTTCCAATGTATCTATGTTGCCCTAAAAGACAAGTTTTTCTTACATTTTTTTTAGCTGACGACCCTTCTGCACATATCTATAAGCCTTGGCAAACAGAAAAATTTATATATATATTATATATACATATGTGTATATATATATATATATATATATGTTACACTCAGTGGTACTCAGGGTTTACTCCTGGCTCTATGCTCAGGCATCATATCTAGTGCTGCTCAGAGGACCAGATGTAGGTTAAGGACTGAACGTGGGGTGGATGTGTGCAAGAAAAGCACCTTACCTGCTGTACTATCTCCCTGACCCAATAGCAAAAATACAGAAACAATCCAAGTGTCCAAGAACAGATGACTGGACAGAAAAATGATGGTATATACTACAAAAGAAATTAATCATATTTAAAAAATTCCACCCATGGGGATTTGTGAATTGCTAGAAAATAAGGCCAAGACATGTTTTATTTTACAAAGCCATGTTACCATTCCGACATATCCTACCTCATCTCTACTGCCCTCGGAAATTCCTATTTCTTTTGCTTTTGGTCTGGTGCCTGCTAAAACTTGCTCCAGTTCATCCTTTTCAAATAAATTAGGAACTTCACCTGAGTTCAGGATATTATTTATATCTTCTAAGAACTCTTCCACTACTATCTGTAGAGAAAGCAGAGTGATCCTTATAACTCACCCAAGATTTCAAAAAGTACTCTGAGGATGACTTAGGTAGAATTCTCCAGGATGGACCTCAGAGTTTGTAATGATTTTATTCCGAGGGAAAGATAACAAAAATGAAAGCAAATACATGGGATTACATAAAATTAAAATGCTTTTACACGACATACACAAAAAAAATTGAGCTAAAATATCTTATATGTTATACAAATTTCTCTTCTGTTTTTTGATTACCAATATTCTCACAGATTTTAATTTAATAAGCTACACTGTATTTAGGTAGAAGCCAATTAAATTGGAATTACAATGAAGCAAATTTTATCATGGAACTGAAATAAATATAATGATATTTAAAAACAGAACCACTTCAATTAGGTTTCAAAATATTTGCTTTATAGGTGGAACTCTGGAAGATAGGGGATCTGGGTGGAGGAGGCCCAGTTGTGAACCGAGCATGCTTGGAGATCTCAGCCCCGGGTCCCGCACACCTGGGTTCCTCTGCTGGTTCCTTCATGCATGAGGCTCGTCCGAGCATGAGGAGAGTGGTCTCAGCATGGCTATGGCTGGGTCCCAGAGGTCTTCAGCTGCCAGGGCTCTGCTTGGGGTGGAGAAGGAAACTCAACCCGCCCTCCTCCAAGGGGCCCTGGTGAGGACAGCCAAGTCCGGGGGCAGAAGACTGTGTTGTTCTCTTCCAGGAGCTTGGTTTTATAGTCTCTGGATACTGCCATAGATGCGGTTTCACGGCAGAGGAACCCAGGTGTACAGGACCCCGGGCTGAGATCTTCAAGCCTGCTCGGTTCAGGACTGGGTCTCCTCCACCCAGATCCCCCATCTTCCAGTAGCTAGACAGTTACACCGCCAACTGCTGTGTAATCCCATCAACAGCCAGGATCCAGAGACTATTAAACCAAGCTCCTGGAAGCACGCGGGTTGCATTTGCGGCCTCACGACCTCTTTTTCTCTAGTTCTCACTCTCAGAGAACCCGGCAGGATACTGAGAGTATCCTGTCCACGTATATGCCTGACTGAAACACCTGTAAAGGCGATTAGAGGCTGCCCCCAAAGCCTCCATCCCTCTCAAAGAGCCTGGCAAACTACCGGGAGTATCTCGCCCACACGCAGAGCCTGGCAAGCTACCTGTGGCATACTCAATATGCCAAAAACAGTAACAATGAGGGTCCTCATTCCCCTGACTCTGAAAGAGCCCTCAATATGCCGTTGGGCTACAATAGCACGTAACAGGGATGAATGGAGACGTTACTGGTGCCCGCTAGAGCAAATCAAAGAACAACGGGGTGATAGTGATGGGTGGAACTCAGAGAAATGATTAACAAAAAATATTTATAACTAATTTCAGAGCTGAGTACTGAATTTCCAATTGAGAAGTAGGTGCCAATGGCATAGTAGTTTGGAAAAAGCTCTTGTTTGATATCCCTGAGTGCAGCAAGAACAACACACAGAAGCAATCTCTGCTTGTCATAGTTGTAGGCATCGGAAGCTACTACTTCAGTACCACAGGGAAAACTGGAGGCACATCAAATTTCCTGTAACAGACATCAGCTGCTCTGCCATTTGAACAATGCTTGGCATATTGTCCTAAAGTCAGGGGGTTATGAATTTCTGATATTAGCCATATACTCATTTTAAAAGGACAAGTGGATGTCTCCCATTGCAAGATCTATACACAACTTTTGATATTCCTTTGTCATTTTTATTGATGAATACTACCATCTGGGTAGGTAAATATAAGTGGGTTTACAATGGACTGGAAGAATATTGGGTCATACTTCCAACACACTATGTCCAGGATTGCAGATTACAGTTCAGCACCATCCAAGGTGTGAAGAGTTACCTATAATAGCGCCACTATAGCTGCAGGTGCCTCTGCAGGTGCCATTAGCACAGAGACACATATAAAATATTTTTGAGAAAATCCAAAAGATGTGTTTTCCTTAGGGAATGAATTTTGGAGTCATGTAACAATCAGTCAAAGTACACAGATGATTGAACACTTGGACTTTTCTTACTCCTGGGCTATCTGATTAGGTACCTGGGTGTCTGTGAAGAGGAAAACCATATTCTTTTCTTCCACACCAGCCAGTCTGTATAATTTCCTCAGATCTTCATGAAAACTTTCATAATTATATCCGCGGCTTGGTTCAATCTGCAAGCATTTGTAACCACATATATGAGCCGCAAGTCTTGTAAGAGATTGCTTTCCCGTGCCTCCTACTCCGACGAGCAGGGCATTGCCTCTTTCCTGACGAATCATGCGAACAATCCTGTGAAAGCAAAGTGGAGAAAATTTCCCATATACAGATGTGACTTATCTTCAGAGGCCCTTCCACGGCCTGGGGACAGTGGAACATCACCTCTGGGTGTAAGGCACAGGAAAAAGGCAGAGGTTGACTGAGGGTCACAGATAAAATCATAGGCTTTGAGGGTATTTTAGGGTATTGATTGTGGTTCTGCAAATTTCTGCAAATTTAGAGGAAAGTAACAATTGTTTCCTTTTCTAAACAGTGGATGATTTTGTTAGAACCCTGGCTGATCTTGGACTGTAGTTATAATACAGGGGTTAGGTGCATGCCTTGCAGGTGGCCACCCTGGCTCTATCCCCACATTATATGGTCCCCAGAGCACTTCCAGGAGCAGACCTGATGTTCTGAAGCACTGCTAAGTTTGCACCTAGAGACCCCGTGGTACCCCTAAGGTGGCCCGTGTAATATGGAGCGAAGCAGCACCACATCCTGGGGCCCTAGCATTAAAACTCCACCTGGTTGGGTAAGAATCACAAAGAATAGCCCTGAGCCTCCAAACACCACTCAGGAGAGTCCTGAAATGTCTATTAGGAAGCCTTGCTCTCTACTGATAAGAATGAGCAAGCATTAAAAAATACGGGCCCAAGTAAAAGACACCAGCTCAGGGGCAGAGAGCAATAGGAATAATTAGTAATGGATTTACTCTGAAGATATTGATAAATTGTTAGAAATAAAAGATCAGAAACAATAGTATTGGAGAGGCTGTAGAGATAAAACAACTCCTGGTGGGAGTGTAAATTAGTACAGCTTCTATGGAAAACAGTATGGACATTCTCTTAAAAATAGAAAAACCATATGGTACAGCAATAACTATCCTTGGTAAGAAATATAGTATGAAGCCCAAAGGCTATGAAAGCACTAATTGTAAAGGACACTGGCATTCCTATGTTCACAACCATATTATTCACAACAGACAATAAATGGAATCAACCTAGATGTCCTCAATAGGTGATGGAATGAAAAAGCAGTGGTGTATCTGATGAAATAAGATCTTGCAAATAAACAGATAAAGTCAGGTCCATGGGGACAAAAAGGATGGAATTTGAGGTGACTATGCTAAGTGGAATAAGGAAGTGAAATATAATTACTAGATGATTTCATTCATATGTGGCACATGAATAGCTTAAGGAAAACGATTTGGCAGAAAACAACAAATATTAACTCCTGGACTCAAAGAAAACTCTGTTGTTATTAGAGGGAAGGAGAGGAGGAGTGGAAAGAATGAGCAAACATGGACTTTTGGTGGTGGGTTGGCACTGGAACTTCAGCGGCAGGACTGCTCAGAATTATATGTGTATAGAGGCGTGAATCTTAATTTCTAAAATTTCATAATATCCTATGAAAATTATAGTTTCATCACAAGTAAATAAAATAACCTCTAGTGACTAGCATCCTACCAAAAAGAATAGTTCAACAAGATACACATTTCTTCAAAATGGACAGTCTAGATCCACGTGTACCATGGATGTCTCAAAGGAGACTTGTGACAGTGTGGGGCTCACAAACAGATGAATTTATGACCCCTGAATTTAATAAGTTTCCAAGAAAATTGAACCTCCTTTTTCTTTAGACATGCCAACTTTGTCATATTGTCCCTGTTTCTCTGCAACCAGCTCAGACCTTCTTTTTTAGGGAGGTATTAAGACAAGATATTTAAAATAAACTTAATCTTGATTTTTAACAAAAATAGTTATTTCTGAGATTTCACAGAAAGATATTCATGCCATACTTTTTAAAAATTTATCAAAACATTTATATTGTAGCTAGATTTGCTAATAGAGCTTTGTCAGTCTAGTATTCTAGTAAATTCTGTTAACAGAATTTTGCATAAATTAACTCTTACCTTTTAGTTTAAAAAGTATGATCATTACACTATTAATAGACTATACCTTGAAACATGTTCTATAGCATCTTGAAAGAACACCAACTTTACTTCTTTGGGATTTACAAGGTTATAATCATCAAGATAGTCCTGAAGAACATTTGCAATTTTCTCTAGATCAGGCAAGTCTTCATAAATCCGATCACTCTTATCTGCTCCAAACTATAAGATAATTTATGGAAGAAGAAGCAAACTGTATCATGCTGAAATATAAATATACACACCTATGCACACTTGAGCACAAACAAATAAAATGCATCAATTTAAGGAGAAGAAATATTAATTTATATTGTTACTTAATAATTTATATGGCTTATAATAGCAGGGTTATACAAACAAGGAAATGGAAATAAAGATATTAAAAATTTCATGAATAACTAAAAAACTTCATTTAACTTCTTTTAAGTGGTATTGAACTACCAATGATTATTTTCAGTATATTCTACACTAGAATTCAGATATAGCTTAAACATTTTTCTTATTATATTATGCTCTGGTTTCACATGTTTGCTCTTAGGCCAATGATATCAAAGATAAATGTATAGAATATTGTTACATAAAAGACTTCTATGATCATAAAAGTCAAGCCAGAATTATAGACATTTTTCATACAGTAGACATATAAAATCATTGAGAATGAAATTTTGTATTGTATGATGAATATAATAATGATATATTTTAATTGCTATAAAAACTTCTTGGGGCATTTTCATGTGGAAGCTTTGATTATAATACATATAGGCAGTATAAAAGAAGAGTCCAACTGTTCATATTCTTTGCTCTATTCTCTAATAATAAAAATCAATAGCACAACTAGGCATTAATATCATATCACTAGATAATATCACTAGATATTAATGATAATAATAGTTTATGATAGTATCATTAGAAATATACAGGAAATAAACTTGCACTATCTGAAAACCAACTTTAGACTTTGCTTTTAATAATACATTTCAATAAAACCGTATTTCATATAAATTATTCACACTTTCTACTGTCAGAGGTTACCATAGTCATGAGGTATTACAGACATATATTGTTTAACAGTTTATTTAACTGGCATTGCATCAGAAAAGACTGCAGTATTCCTAATTCAGTGTAGAAAGCTGGGGACTTATGGTGAATATAACAGACATGGACTCTCCCCTCTTGGACAAAGGAGAAGCATTATACCCAAAGAGAAGAAAAGTTTGTTTAAAAATTGCATTTGTCAACATAGGCAGTATGGTTAAACGAAAGGCATTTTCTAGGCAGATCTAGAAGTAAAAATAGGGTCCATGTATATAGGTGCTACTGGAAGGGAGACAGACTTGAAGTGCTTAGTAGAAGACAAATTTTGATACTAATTAAGAACTGCCCTGAAATGAAGACGACATTACTGATATTGAACTTCTCATTAATGAAAGCATTAAGCAGAGATTGAATAGTTACACAATGAACAAGAAAAGGGATTTTAGTCCTGAGTTAAGAGAAACTTTTTTGTTTTCTTCCACATGGAGTACCCTCATTGTTCCCCAGTTCAAACTTATCAAAATGATTGTAGGAGTCAGCAATCTTTTTCACCAAAGGAGTAGTTTTAAAATATTTTAGGTGTTGTAGATCAAAGAGTCTCTGTGTGATACTATTCCACTTTGCCTTGAAATGCAAAAGAAAATGCACATCTAAACAGAACACAGTCAAATAGGTAGGTGTAGCTTAAGCTCTTAACAATCTTTGATTACAAAATAGGAATTGATTGACCTGTGCTTCATAGTTTCTGAGTACCTGACCTAGATTTTTAATATTCACAGATAAATCTTTAATATTCACAAATATAGAGTTCTTGTAGAATCTGAACCAAATCTAGAGAACAGCAAATGTGTTAATACTTCAAATGTAGTTGGGTCAATGAAATATACTTGCCTTTATGAAATCTCCAAATATGATGGGCTTATTCAAAAAATATTCCTGTCCAATTGAAATTCCAAAATGTTTATCTATTAAAAATTAATTTTAATATGATAAGTTTAATGCAGTATTTTAGGACAAAACATGAAGAATATTATCAACTATGACTTAGAAGTCTTAATTAGAATGAATAAAATGTGGATCTAGAGTGACAGTATAGTAAGTAGGGCACTTGTTTTGCGTACAGCTGACCCGGGTATGATCTCTGGCACCCCATATGGTCTCCTGAGTCCACTAGGAGTGATTCCTGAGTTCAGAGCCAGGAGTAACTTCTGAGTACCACAGGTGTGGCCAAGAACAAACAAAAAAGCCATGCTAACAAAACCATACTTTAGTTTTGTTAACAATCCCCCAGATTTTAGATGTTCTGAAAAATATTAATACGTGTCTCATTAAATATCTACTCTTAACAATAAGATAGTAACAATATCTTATAAATGGTATCTTATTAAATGTCTTATTCATACTTAAAAAAATGAAGATTTACAAAGTTGTTCCTAACAGAGTTTCAGGCATACAATGTTGTTGCCAATCCCATCACCAGTCTTCCCTTCAGCAATATTCGTCCGTTCCCCCCAAATCCTCAGTCTGCCTCCCTGGCAGGCTCAGTTTTCAGTTTGGTTACTGTAGGCTGGGTCTCATCCTTACAGTGCTGTTGGCTTTGTGGTTTAGATACATTCATATATCTCACCTCTATACCACCAACATGCCCAATATACAATATGCTGTTTCTTTTATTTTTCTAGTCTATTTAAGGTTAATACAAATTAAAATATTAACTTTTGTTGAATTTCAATAAAATATTTTTCCTTTTGGTGGTTCTTTGTGTGTGTGTGGTGTATGTGTGTGGAGACATGCTTGGCAGTACTCAGAACTTACTCCTGGTTCTGTGCTCAGATATCACTCCTGGTGGACTAGGGGGACCATATATTTTGATGGGATCAAACCTGGGTTGGCCATGTGCAAGGCAAGGATTATCTGCTGTATTATTACTCTGGCCCCAATAGCTATTTTCTTAATATTTCATATAATTTTAATCATTGAAGGAAAAATATTTTACTCATGAAAATTAAACTTCATTTTGCTTTATTCTAAATAAGCGCATTTAAATTTTCCTTTATAGAAATTAAAATTCCTGTTTGATTGAAAAAAAGAACAACTAAATAAACATGATACTTACTAGCCATTTCTGTCAGAATAACATGAAAATACTGCTTATCTTCATTGTTAATCAAACGGTCATGGAAGACTCTTTGACATTCATGGCAGAAGAGTCTAAATATCTGAATTTCTTCTCTTATTGTTCCTGAGTCACATTGGAGGATGCCTTTTTTTAAGACAAAGAAAATAGTAGAAGTCTAAAATTGTGACATATCTAGGAACAGTTAATATCTAGGAATTAAGGAAAAACCCTTAATTCCAATGTAGTGTAAAAATAACATGAGGACTTGGTCTGGATTATGCAAAGAAAGGTCACCCCCCACTTATGACATTCTATGATATATATCCATCCCTCCACCCACCTATCCATTCATACACTCATCCATCTATCCATCCATCCATCCACACATCTACCCATCCATTCAGTTTTCAGATATGGTATAAGATCAAGGAGTCCAGTGCTGAACTACACAGTGTCCTTGTAGCAACAACAACCCATTGGAAGGAAGAGAGATAAACACACACTTAAAGATGAATATCTAGGATATAATTTCAGGTAGTACTACGAATGGAACTTCTTCTATAAAGGAAAAGGTTTTACTGGGGATGTGACACATGGGCAGAAAAAGTGAGTCCTGTTTATGAGTTAGTTAAGGACATAGAAGCAGTATAAGAAACCCCTGGGCAGGCTCCTTTTTAGAAGCAGTAAGGAAATGACATCAGTAGAGGGGAAAGTGAGAGAAGGTGAGACTGGAAGACATCAGGGTTGAGATCATAAAGAGACTCAGTCTCAAGGGCAGGAGTATACTGTTGGCTGCAAAGAGGGTGAAGGTGGGTTTTAGACATTAGTGAAACAGAAGAGGGCATGGAGAAGTGAGGCAAGGGGTGGGAAAGAGAAAAAGATGAGTGGGTGGGGAGAAAAGGATAGTGGAAAGGGGAGAGGTGGAATAGGGGGCAATTGGAGAGAGAGCCTGAGAGAGAGAGAGAGAGAGAGAGAGGAGAGGGGAGGAGAGAGAGAAGAGGAGAGAGACACAGAGATAGATACTGGTGAGGGATGGTAGTGGGGCTGACTGGGAATGAATGGAGTAGTGAGAAATGGTATTTTTGGGACATACATTTTGAAGTTTATCAGAATTTTTTAATGAAATTATCCAGTAATAAGAACAATCAAGGATGCTCCAAGGGTCTTGTGCTGACAAAATAACTGCAGTCCCTTTAACTGAGGTAGGAGCATACAGACTGAGGGGAGAGATAAATTCAAGAATTTCATCCCAGATGTGCAGAATTTAAGAAGTCTAACTAGATAGCTAAGTGAGTTTGTTTAGAAGAAACTGAGTTGGGGCCAGAGTGATAGCACAGCTGATAGGGCATTTGCCTTGTACATGGGCGATCCCCGGCATCCCATATGGTCCCCCAAGTAATTCCTGAGTGCAGAGTCAGTAGTAACCCCTGAGCATCACTGGGCATGACTCAAAGAGAAAAAAAAAAAGAAGCTGGATCACCCTGGAGAGTAACACACTGAGTGGAGTTAGTCAGAAGGAGAGGGACAGATAGAGAATGAGCTTCCTCAGATGTGGGATATAAAGAAACAAAATGTAGAGACAACAAATACTCAAAGGCAACAGCACCTGAGAGTTGGTCTTTAAGAGGGAAGACTATTCTTTCAGGACTCTTAGAGGAACAGGAAGTGAGGGCGCCTGGGAGCAGCTGGGTAGAGGATTTAGGATGATTATTTTGTAAGATGGAAATTTTCTGTACTGTTAGGAAAGAGTCAATAGAAGAGAAAGCATTAATGATGCAGAGGACAAGTAGAAATTGTAAGAGCAAAACTGCGGAACAGGAAGGAAGGTGTGTGATTCAGTGCTTAACGGGGCACTAACATGTCCCTATGGGAGCAGGCAGAGCTCCATCACTTCAGTAGGAGGGGAGGAAGATGCAGGAAGTTTGAAAGATGAGACTTCTGAATCAATTATTTAAATCACTATATATAAAATTACCATAGAAACTGATAATCTACTATATGTGACAATATAATTATATTTAGACACAATATAGCATCCTAAGTATATAATTGTGTAAATATATAATAGTTATACATTTAATATATAATATAACTATTATATATAATACAGCTAATATATAACTATTATATATTAAATGTATAACACTCACATTCAGTGCAAGAAGACTCATCGTCAGGGAGTGAAAACTGGGAGAGGATCCTGGCAGTCTGAGGCAAGCTAGGAAGTGGTCAAAGAGAGGTTGGAGGGGAACTTGAATAGGAATATGGGACAGGATTTCCGGGCAACTCATAGATATCCACGTGCATATAATTCTACTGAGAGATTTGGGAATGAACTGAAATGAGGAGAAAGCAGGCCATAGAAGGAGGGCTCAGTGTGGGCTCAGTACACTACCTTGTACACATTTAGATAAATCCCTCAAGTTAAAGACATAATGGGACTTGGCTGGAGTTGGCAGAAGATCAACACTCATCCTGTTGTAAATTTCAACTGCGGCTTCTACAATGTTTGATGCCATTTGTTTTACAACTGTCGGGAAGTCACTCAGGAAGCCATTTAGGATGGCCTAGAAGCAGAAACATCATATGAGAGTGTTCCATTTCTACCCAAAACATATCATTCAAATTCTCAACTGATTATAACTTCTCTACAATAACTAGAAAGTTGAACTATTCATTCTAAGAATGGACACACTCCTATTTTTGTATCTGGCCTGTGAACTAAGCAGGATTCACGGTCCTCCCATTGTTCATCGATTTGCTCGAGCGGGCCCAGTAACATTTCCATTGTGAGACTTGTTGTTACTGTGTTTGGCATATCGAATACTCACAGGTAGCTTGCCAGGCTTTGCCGTGCAGGCGGGATACTCTCAGTAGCTTGCCAGGCTCTTCGAGAGGGGTGGAGGAATCAAACCCGCCTCTGCCGGGCCAGCTGTGCACAAGGCAAACGCTCTACCACTGTGCTATTGCTCCTGCACAAGCAGGATTATACTCTGAAATAATTTATGGGAGGCCCCGAATCAAATGGAAATGAACTGAAGTCTGCTTCTAATCTTTACGGCTGAATATGGAACAATTCTATAGACTTTCATTTTCATGCATATTGAAAGTATAAATTATCCTTCACTATGAACTCCCCCAGCAGTTTTCCTGTACCAAAGGCCTCATCCTTTGCTCAGATTAAGAATTTGAAAATCTCTTGACATCTAATTTTTCTCTCTCTCACATTCTCTTTTGGAAACAAAATGGATCTCAATACATCTGCTTCCTTGTCTGCCCTAAAAGAACCTTATCCCAGTTCCCAATCTCTGGGAACTGGGCTTCTTCACTTGCTGTCCACTTATTTATTTGTTTCCACTCGGCCGTCCCTTCCACCACCTTTGATTATGTGACTTACTCGCTGCCCTCCCTTGGCAGTCCAGCTCTGCTGCTCTGCTGCTGCCTGTTTACCTCAGTCTCCCTCTTGTCATCCCTCACTGTGTACTAGTGAAACTATCAACAACACCCGGAAAACCTGGGCATATTTTGCCCTCTCTCAGTACCTTCATCCATACTCTCTAGTTGGCAGGTTCTTTCTTTGTGTTTTTGGTTCTATGTCATCTCTTCAAAGAAGCCTTTTCTGACCACCCAATCTATAAGAGTCTTCCCATCAATCTCTTCCTGCTCCCCAATCTTCTCATATGTAATTGGCCATGGTCTATGAGAACATATTTATTGGAGAGCTTCCTGCCCCAGCTCCTTGGGAAAGTCACCATAGGTTTAAAAATAAATTTCAATCACTGTTAACCTTGCAGTTACTCAAGGGAGAAGCCAGCAGAATTCAGACCAATGCTTATCTGTGACTTTACATTTGGAGCTCATCTACGAGATATTTTGAAATAAATGGAAGTACCCACTTGTAATAAACATCCTGTTGATTGTGACTTTTAGCATTTTATGAGACTCTTTTATGCCATGCCCTTCCTAGGTCCCCAGCAAGAAATTAACATTCTCTACATGACTTGTGTTTGGAGTAAGACTATCCTCAAACATATAAATATTTGTATGTGTACTTTATATAGCACAGGAATAAAAAGGTTTTATTTTTATCATACAAAGAAATACAAATATGGTTATACCAGCCCATTCATTTGCTTATTATTTTTTTCCAAGGTAGGAGGTCCAGGAGGACAGGATTAACATCTGTCTTGTTTAAAATGATAGATCAATGTCTGGCAAACAGTAATATACAACAAATGCTGCTGGACTAAATGGAGTAACGGTTATTAAATTGGTATCCATAAATAAAAGTTAAATCATTATGACGTTTCCTGAGTGAGGGCCACATTTGGTATTCTACTTAAAGATCTTACATGACATATTTGGCAAATCTGATGAGCTCCTCCTAAGAACATGCATACAAAAGAATTAAAATTCCAGTTTGGGGGAAGGATGTCTTGGCATTATTAGTATTTTATATAGTTGATTATGATTCTCAATTACTGCTAGTTTATCTTTATAATTAGAAATAACATGTAAAATAGTGACAACTGTATCAATTAAACTTGTGTGTTGTTTAGTTATAGCTATGAATAGAATTATCTATGGTGAAGTATATTGATGTTATATATATCATAGAGCATATACTAAGGCATATTTTTTCAAAGTAACTTACTTTTTAATTACCTTTTATCTGATATATAATTGACAAATTCCAATGAGATGGTTTTATACATTGTTAAAGAACTCCCCACATTGACTTAATTAACACATTTACCACCTCACATATTTATAACCGTTATAATCTATTGGCAAGTCATCATAAATATCTTTTAAAATAAATTTTTATTGAACATCTTTTTGATATACAGATATCCTGAAACTTAAAGACAAAGATGTGTATGAGTTCTAATTCAAGGAGTTCTCACCCAAAACTAATCTTCAAATATGTGTAACTGTGACCTGTCATTAGTGGGATATTTCCTGCATGTTTGTGTGAATTAACCTGATAATTACCTGCACTGATTAATTAATCCAATTGATAAATAAAGTAAAATGATTTTATTGATTATCTTAGAACGAGATGTATTTATTATTTACTATTTAAGACTCATAGGCTTCTCTTATACATAAAAATAAATTAATTCCCATGTGTTGCTAACAATAAATTTAATTTATTTTCTTTTGCCTCAATTCCTGGTTATCCCAAAACTGTCTTCTTCCAGCACAATGACAAAGGACAAGAAAGGTAGACTAGGAACTCTTAGGTTTAGTTGGGTTGTGATTAGAAATGATTTGGGATCCATGAGATTAGAGAAAGTCCTTTATCTCTATAGGTAAAATATGCTGTCTGCTTGGTACTGAGGAATATGTTTCACTACCCCAATCCAGGCCAATGTAGTGCCCGAATCCACACAATTTCTTAGTTTTCAATGTAGTGCCTCAATCCACCCAATTTCTTAGCTTTGCCCTATTTATTTCCATTCCTTGTCTATTTCATGTACATTCCAGCTATGATGAGGTTAAAATTCAAGCTTTTAAGTTATGGTGGGTTTTGGATTGTACTAAGGGCTTACTTCTGCCTCTGTGCTCAGGGGTCACTCTTGGCAGGGCTTGGGGGACATATCTGGTGTCAGGTATAGACTTGCAAGGCAAATGCCCTACCTGTTGTGCTATCTCTGCGGCCTAAGGTGGGGTTATGTTTGAACAATACTGTATTTCCAGGACTCTGAGACACCTGGGAGGCAGTAACGCTACTGTCCACCAGCGACTGCTCCACGGCCCCTGACTTGGCCTGACTTCTGCCCAGCAAGAACAAGGATGGTTGCCTAGAGACACACAACAGGTGCTTTTCATCGTGCCTTGGAGCAAATGTTTCCTTTCTCTCGCTTGCTGAACTTGGATCCACACGCACCTGGAAAATCTGTTTCAGGCTGTGTTCCGAGGGCGTGGGCAGGCACAGCATGCTGAAGTGCCGGAGAAAGCGGGGCGTCACGGGGTTCCGGCCGCCGCCCGGAGGTGCGCACGCGGACACAATCGTTACGTCCTGCGCAGGAGAGAAATGCATGCGGGTCACCCCAGCAAAGAAGGAGATCTGCCCTTACAAACGGCAGGACTTGGAACCCCCTAGGACTCACTTATCCCAGACCTGTATCCCAGGTTCTTCTGGAGCGTTATCAGACAATCCTCACAAAAAGCCAGACGCTCACTCTTCTTACCTCTACTTTGTAGATGAGAAAGCAAGGCTCTGAGGGTTAAGCCAGCGACTCATGGTCTCTTGGCTGACGCATCTCCCTTATAGTGTACTCCTTTTTCCCTTTTTTGGGGGTCACTCCTAGCGATGCTCAGGGGTTCCTCTTGGCTCTGCACTCAGGAGTTACTCCTGGCAGTGCTCAGGGGACTATATGGGATGCCGGGGATTGAACCCGGGTTGCCTGCGTGAAAGATACATTCTGCCCGCACTACTATCGTTCTCCCTGCCCCCTTTTTTTTGCTTGTATAAATACTCTCATGGAATAATTTAATTTTTAAAAAAATGAAAGAATTTGCATCACAAGTTAAAATATATTCACCCAACAAACAGAATGTTCAATGCTTGTTATTGTGGTAACTATGGGTTTTAAAATCTGGATGGCCATGCAAAAGAGCAGTGCTCAGGGCTTACTCCTGGCTCTGCACTAAGGGATCATTCCTGGAGGTGCTCAGAGAACCATTTTTGGTTCAAGGAGTTGAACCTGGGTCATCCACGTTTGAGGCAAACGCCTGGCCTCAGTATTACTGTTTCGGCCCTGTGGCAGTTCTGCTTTTTAAAGCCACCAGGAATGTTGAAATACACATTGAACCACTGCTCTGAGAGAAGAACAAAGCTATGTTCCTGGACACCTCTGGCCACACTTTCATCAACTATTCACATATAATAATCTCATTTATCTCTGCTTTCACTTTCTTTCTAGCCCACCCCTCTTCTCCTTAGCGAAGGGGCACTTCCTACGTTTTCTTCAGAGGGTACCTCCCTTTCAATGAGAAGATAAATCCTAGTCATGGCACGATGGCTTTAGGGTTGGTCTCTGTATCTTCTGTCTCTTTGCTGCTTCTATTCCGCACCATCATGGTGTTTCACATTCACTGCTGTCCTTTCCTTCCCTTTGCCTGGGAAGCCGTATTTGGATTTTATACCTTTCCTGGAAACCTTTCTCTCATCTTCAGCTGAGTCCCACCCAGTTTCCTCCCATCTCTCTCTCTTCATCATCCTGTTCTATAAATACATGCCTGTCCACACTTTGAAGTTGGGTTCCCTGACTGGTGGGGATAATGTCTCACGAATCAAGCACAGAAAGAATTCACTGTAAATAGAAGAAACTAAATTCTACATAAAAAGCACTGAAGCCGAATATTGCAAAGAATTAAGTACTTCTTTTCTCCTGACCAATCATATGTTAAATTAATAATCCTAAGTGTCTCATATTGTAACTTTATTTGCTATCAAATGATAGTTAAGATAAAATTAGGCCACTGGCGTGGGGCCTAATCTAGAATTACTAGTGATCTTAAATGAAGTAGACAGTTATACATAGATGGGGAGACAAGAAAGGGAGAACATAATCTTCTGTAAGGCCAGGGGCGAGGTCTCAGAATAAACCAACCCTGCTGACCTTTTGCTTTTGTATTTCCAGCCTCTCGAATCATGAGCAAATAAATTTCTGTGGTTTGAGTTGCCTAGTCTATGGTACACTGTTATGGCAATCCTAGAATATACCATTTTCCTCTTGAGGTTTAGATTTAAACATTAAAAGTAATTTAACTTCTAAAGTCACCTGTATCTCTTTCCAAAAGAGTTTGCTTCTGTCATAAAATCCACGAAAATCTTGGTACTGCCGAAGTAATTCAATTGGAGGCTGAGAACCATAGCGATCCAGTCTGGGCATGTTTAAATCATCGACAAAAATTACAACTCGTTTGTTTCCAGGTGCTCCTGGAGAGATAATATAAATGAAATTTAACAATTATGACTTGCCCTTGGAAAATGTAAGATAAAACTTAGATAAGGCTTTGGGCTCAATGAATGTCCTGTTGGCCATAATGTGATACTCTTCTTTTTGTGTGTTAGACACCATCACTCAAGGAACAAAGATTAAAAAATATATGTATATATATGTGTGTGTGTGTGTGTATATATATATCACTGTATCACTATCATTCCATTGTTCATCGATTTACTCGAGTGGGTGCCAGTAACGTCTCCATTTGTCCCAGCCCTGAGATTTTAGCAGCCTCTCTTTACTTGTCTTTCCCAATGCTGCTGTATTGGAGGCTCTTTCAGGGTCAGGGGAATGGGACCCGTTTATAGTTACTGTTTTTAGCACATTGAATATGCCAAGGGTAGTTTGCCAGGCTCTGGCTTATATATGTAAATTCAAACAAACACAAAAAAGGAACAGAGATTCTCAGCGCCTTATCCAGGCTCCTGCAGAGGTCTGTGGACTGTGCCCACTTTGTCAGGAAGCCTACTTTGTCAGGTACTTTGTCCTCCTCCTTCTAGGAGTTGCAAGACTACATAGCCTTGTTGCCTTTCTAGTTCTTAACTCTTCTCTGCCAATGCCACCCTCTGGGCATGGAGCAAGGAACATCACTTTCTTAAACAGGCACACTCAGAAAAAAAGGATGCGTGATAACAGAGGAAAGTGAACAGCTTGAGAAGAAGATGGAATTCTACCCCTGCTGACCTCCACCTGACAATCCCAAGGTTAACTGAAGCAAACTTCATACCCGACTCTATCCCCTAGAATCTGGAAACCAAGTCACAAGAAAGGAGTTAGAGAGGCTCTAAAAGAATCATTCAGAGAGTGTGAATTCCCACCAGAAGAATGCTATCCATTTCTCTGCATCTACCCTAGCAGCAAAAAGAGAAGGGAGAGAGGGGCATGAAGCAGCTGGGAACCTCACAGCTCTGTGGAGCAAGTCGTGATAGATGATGGGAGGAAGACTTGGGGGAGGACCATGAGTTGAGACCTGAAGATGCTTCCTAATGTACTGTGGAACTGTGGGACTAAATGGAGGGAGAAACCCTGATTCCCAACATCTAGAGAACTTTCAAGGGGGGATGCCAATGCTTTATCTGTGAATATCTCTTTTGGGAGAAATTCAGAGCCTGTTCGTGGAAGCTTGCCACACAGAAAGCATTCAGCCTCAGAGAGCAGGGACAATCTGTACAGAGGCCTATTTTATGCCAATAGGAGGAAGACAAATGCCCTTTCCTTCTCTTCCTCCACCCTAACATATCAGTGTCATTTAGAGTGAAGAGAGAGAGAGTGCTCAGAGATTCCTTCTTTACCTCCATCATCCCAAGCCACAAGACTGACTTTATAATGGAGGAAAGAGCTTTAAGTTGGGATTTTTATATTGGACCAAACTAAAAATAACTGCAAGTGTCTAGAAAATTAAACTAAGCATCTAAATAGTTAATAAGGGCAGTGACTGAGATCCTATAAAGACTAACTGAAAGCATTGCCCAAAGAGTTTCAGGCTTGTTACCTACTGGATGAAACCAGAGTATTCAGGCTGAGTGAAGTTAGTGAGGAGAGAGACAAGCACAGAATGGTCTCACTCATACATGGGGTATGAGGAAACATAGTAAGGGAATAACAAAGGTCCAAAGGCAACAACTGGAGATGGTCTATGGAATAGAGTATACCAAGGGTGGGGAAGGTTGGGGGAGCTGGATAATGCGAGGCCTTGGGACACTGGTGGAGGGGAAAAGGGACTCTGGTAGTGGATGTGGTGAAATGTCATATTCACAAAGCTATCATTAACAGCACTGTAAATCACAGTGCATCAATAAAAATTGGGAAAAAATAAAGGGACACTATGTATAATTTTTTTAAAATGAGGAGGTTTATTATTATTAAACAAAGGAAAGGCAATGCAGATTTGAAAGAGCAGAGAGAAAAAGCCATGAAGAGGTGGAGACTGAAGATGCTCTGAATTTAAGGTGGTGATAGAAACAAATGGTTTATTTGCTAATAGTGAACTATTTAGACACATAGCCTAGGAAAGAGTCCCATCAGCAGGACCATCTTAAAAGATTGGATTAGCAAAGGAAATATGCAATTTTAATTTTATTACATGCAATGTCAGGTGACTTTAAAGTTTAAACTAATAATCTACGAGACAACTCAAATGATTGTTCTTACCTAGAATATTTTTTCTTTTCCTTTCCAGTTTGGATTCAATGATTTCCTGTGTTCTCATTGATGATGTTTGAGCAGAAAAATTTAGGTAAACAGGAACATAGCCAGATGATTCTTGAATTCTATTTAGCAATCCTTTTGCAATGACAGTCTTTAAATTAAAAATACTAATTGATTCCACATTCACTATAATATTTTCCCATCTGTATTAATAATAATGCCACAGAGTGAGGAAGAAAGAGGATGAAGAGAGAAAGGATAAAGCCAGATCAAGTGTCTGCCTATCTCTTCCTGCAGATTCTGCTTAATTATGTTTATCAGAAATAATTGATCAACTTTATCATGACAAGCTTACTTTAGTTTCATACCAAAATTCATGTTGGTTATTACTCAAGTCAGTTTGATTGCAAGAACTGCAGAAGGATCCAAATTTCTTTTGAAAACAATTTTAGAAGATAATGAATTTACATTTATATATAAGACCAAACAAACAGAATTTCTCCCACCAGACTATACTTTTTATCCAACACCACTGCCATATCAGCTAGAGATAAATGTGCTGGAGGAAAAGATTCACTGTTATCAATAGTCCATTGGGAATACAATCTACTCTGACCAATAGCTACCCTAGTCTGTGTAGTGACAGGCTCACAAAGTCCCCAGGGATACAACATAAAACCTCCTAATATTGGTCTACAGGGTCCTCTGATTTATTCACACCAAGTAGATATTAAGAAACCATAAAACTTGAGAAGTTCGAGAGACAGTACAGTGGGTAGGGTGCTTGCTTTGCACATGGCCAATCCTGGTTTGATTCCTGGTAACCCATATGGTACCTGGAATCCACCAGGAGTGATCCCTGATGGGAGAGTCAGGAGTTAGCCCTGACCACCTACAGGTATGGCCCAAAAACAAAGAAAAATAAAGGAAACACTGGATTTCTCCAGATTTATATATTCAGCATCATTACATGAATTCTCATATATTATATATGACATATATATCATATATGAATATATGATAGATATATTCAACACACATGTGATATATAACACATATATGATATATATGGTATATATCATATATGACTATATGATCTATATATTCAACATAGTTATATTCCTCCTGCAAAATATGGTTATGATGCAAAGTAAGTATTTCTGGAAATAATGTATTATTTGTGGAACTTAATATTCTTCAATGAACCATGCCGTTGTCAGTGGACAGATGTAGGTCTCCTACCTTACCAACTCCAGTTGTTCCAGTAAACAATACTGAATGTTTGACTGCCAGTAGTTTTTCCATTAGATAGCCAAAGCGCACTGTGTCAGTTGTGGGGACAAGCATTTCAAAAAAGGGAACATCTCTGTTGTACTTGAAGGTGGGTATGATTCGTTCCCAGGGATCCAGCCGTTTGGTATCAAAGTCCATGTGAACGCTCCACAGATCACCAGAATTGGGAAACTGAAAAATGAAATGAAAAATCACTTTCAATAGGACTGACACATCTCAATAGAGATAGTCACCAAGAAACAAAGGAAATCAGAGAACATGAATGAATTTAGATTTTTATTTTGTAGGAGAACAACTTCTATTTTTATTTTTTAATTTTTTGTTTGTTTTGGGGCCACACTCCTGGATTTACACCCAAGATTTACTCCTGGGTGGAATAATTGTCTCAGGGAACCATATAGGATGCCAGCGATCTAACCCTGGTCAGTTTCATGCAAAGCAAGCATCCTACCCACTGTACTATCACTCTGTCCCTCAAGAAGCAGCTTTAAAAAATCTGTCACTGTCTATACAAAGTACTGGTTGAACTCCACAAGAAGAAAACATCCAACCCCAATAAAAAATGGGGCGACGAAATGAACAGAAACTTTCTCAAAGAAGAAATCTGAATGGCAAAAAAGGCACATGAGAAAACGCTCTACATCATTAATCATCAGGGAAATGTAGATCAAAACAACAATGAGATATCATTTCACACCACAGAGACTGGCCCACATTCAAAAGAACAAAAGCAACTGGTGTTGGCACGGATGTGGTGAGAAAGGGACCTTCCTTCACTGATGGTGGGAATGCCGACTGGTTCAGCCCTTTTGGAAAACAGTATGGACGATTCTCAAAAAATTAGAAATTGAGCTCCCATTTGATCCAGCAATACCACTCCTGGCAATATATCCCAGATAGGCAAAAAAAAAGTATAGTCGAAGTGGCATCTGAACTTGTTTGTTCATTGCAGCACTGTTTACAATAGCCAGAATCTGGGAAAAACCTGAGTGCCCGAGAACAGATGACTGGTTAAAGAAACTTTGGTACATCTACATAATGAAGTGCTATGTAGCTGTTAGAAAAGATGAAGTTATGAAATTTACATACAAGTGGTACTACGTGGAAAGTATCATGCTAAGCAAAATGAGTCAGAAAGAGAGGGACAGACATAGAAATATTGCATTCAGTTGGAGAACATAAAGTAACAAAATAGGAGACTAACACCCAGGAATAGCTGAGAAAAGTACCAGGAGGTTTACTCCATGGCTTGGAGGCCAGCCATACATGATAGGGGAAAAGGTAGCTCAGATATAGAAGGGAGCACCAAATAAAGGGTGTTAGGAGGATCCTCCTAGGATAGGAGATGCATGCTGAACGTAGACTATAGACTGAACATGATTGCCACTCAATACCTCTTTTGCAAACCACAACACCCAATAGGAGAGAGAGAGAACAAAAGGGAATGCCCTGCCACAGATGCAGGGTGGGATAAAGGGATGGGGGTGTGTGGGAGAGATTGATACTGGGATCAGTGGTGGTGGAGAATGGGCACTGGTGGAGGATGGGTACTCGATCATTATATAACTGAAACCCAAGCACCAAAATTTGTAAGTCTACAGCTGTACCTCATGGTGTTTCACTAATAAAAATTTAAAAAAATCTGTCACTGTCACTGTCCTCCTGTTGTTCATCAATTTGTGGAGTGGGCACCAATAATGTCTCACAAAAAATTGTGAGACTTGTTGTTACTGTTTTTGGCATGTGGAATACGTCATGGGTAGATTGCCAGGCTTTGCCGTGCAGGCGAGATATTCTGGGTTGCTTGCAGGGCTCTCTGAGAGGGGCAGAAGAATTGAACCTGGGTCGGCCACATGCAAGGCAGATGGTCTACCCACTGTGTTATTGCTCCAGCTTTTAAAAATCTATTTAAATAGGATTCTGCAATACAGCAAATGAAAACACTTAAGCAATTTAAACTAAAATTTCTTGTTAGAATTGTTCAGCATTTTCGATTCATTTCATATTCAGATTCTTACTCCATGCCAAATATCATACTCGATGCTAAGGAAAAAGTGCTGAATGAGACCTGGCTCTGCCGTGAGTGACCTGGTAGGTCCATATAGGAGATATGAGCACACCAGTTAGTATCAGTGAGAAATACAGATTATATAGAGTCTAAGACCTTCATGAAGGGCATGGCTCATTTTTTCCCCTTTGCATGCTTGTGTTTTTTATTTTTGTTTATTTGTACAAAGCTGTTCAGAATAGTTCATTTGTTTTTGCAGGGAGGTTACAGTGGTGTCTGGTGCTTCAGGAAGGCTTCCAAGGGATGGGCATGGTATTGCTCAGACTTGAAGTACAAACAGAAAATAGTTGGGCAAAGAGAGACTTGACATAAAAGGAAATGGCCCTGGTGCTATCCTGCTAACTATTCTCTGTTCATGATCTCATGATCCAGTGGTAGTTTTTCATATACTCAAGTGAAAGGGCCAAGCTTCTTATATTGACACTGTAACATCTGCCACTCGCTATCTATCTACTCTCATTTCTTATAACAGTTCCACTAGGTCTTTCCTTTATGAACTTCCCTTGCTATTTCTCAAAACAGCAACCAAATTACTTATCAAGTCAAGGCTATCAATTTTACTTCTTTTTCTGACTGGAATTATTTCCTTCGAAACAACCTTTCACTCCTTGACTGTCTGAGGGCTCTGTACAAATACAGATATGACCTTATCAGCAAAGTTTTCCTGCTACTACATACAGCACAGTTCACCACTGTACCCTGGTTTTCTCCATCATCCTTACTCTGCTTGCTCTTTCATCATTGTAATTATTACCAACTGATGTTTTGTGTATTTGCTTATTGTTAACTTTTTCAGTATAATCTGAGATTTGTGAGGATAGGGACTTTTGTTACTTCCTTTGGCCACAGCATGCAAAATGGTACCTACCAAGATGTAACAGATTTTCAATGAATATTTTTGAGTTGAATGCTGAATACTTGTTCTGGACTCTCTTCTACTTTACTTTAGTGGTACCAGTCATTTTTTCCTGACCCAGATATGTCTTTTTTGTCTCAAAATATAAGTAGTTCTTAATTTGGCCAACCATGTTCAATTATGATATAATAAAAGTAAAGGGTCAGTGGTGTTTAATATCTACTAGATGATTCTATTTCATAGGACTCAGAGTTTTGGATTCTTTATCTTCATAGCTTAAGAAATTATTTTCTCTTGGCAAATTTTAACTTTAGTGCAATTTAATGCAGAGCATGAAAAGAATAGTACAAAGAACTCCCAAATATTTTTTATCTAGATAGCTTACATTTTACCCTCCTGTGATTTGTTATTATTATTTTCCTCTATGAGAGACAGTGCCTATAAATACTTGGGTATATTTTTCTTAAAGAATGATGATATTTTCTTATATAACTACAGTACAATGATAAAACTCCAGGAAAATGAGCAGTGATGTTATTATCCTATGTACTTTCCACACTCCAATACTGCCAGTAGTTTTTATAATGTCATTTATAGCTATTTTTTTTCTCATCTGGTATCCAATCTAGGATAAATCTTTATATTTGGTTATAGCTGTTTAATCTCTTTATCTTGGGAAAGTTCTTCAACTTTATTTGCCATCACTGACATTTTTGGAGAAAATAATCAAGTTTATTTTATAGAATGCTCGTCACTTTGGGTATTCCAGAAATATTATCTTATTCAGAATTAGGCTTCAGAAAGGAACACAGTGGAAATAACACTGTGCCCTTCTCAATATGCCATCTTAGGAGGAATAGTTTTTTCTCAACCACTGATGATAAACAGATCTCTTAACTAAGGCAGAGTCTCTAGTTTTCTTTATAATGATGCAATTAAGTTTTTCTCTTTGCAATTAATCAGTAATTTGTAGGAAGTATGATAAAATTATGTAAATAGTTTCTCATCAAACCTTACTTGCTAGTTTTATTCTTCCTTAAATTAATTGTTATTATAATGCCTGCAAAGTAATAATTTTTTAACTCTTACCATTTTCCTTTTCAGATTAGTATGTATCTTACAATAGGACAAATTCTTCCTTCTCTCCATATTCATTTATAATTCAATCATATGTAATCTTATTACAAGTATAAATTCACACGATTTTAGTTTGTCCAAGGTCTTGATGAATAATCTGTCCTTTATTTTGATACACAAACCTGCTTAAATTTGTCTAGTGAGAATCCTTTCAAACTTGCTCCAGTGTTCTTTTGATATGTTCCTTCATTCTTTGTGCTCTTCTTTGTATCTGACATAGATATAGTAGGCTAAGCTTGTACTTTTCCTTCTGGGATCAACTATTTACTAAGGAGACTTGGTTCCTTTTTCATGGAGAATTAGCATAGCAGACACACTTACTGTTATTGAGTATCATTGCACATAGAACTGAGAAATTTGTGTATTATGAATATATATTTATGAATAAAATATGCATGTTATGTATGTTCCATATTATATTGAAAATAAATACATAGTTTAGGGTCTAGGGAGGTAAGGGGTTAGGGCACTTGGTCTGCATGTGTCTGATTCTGGTTTGATCCCTAGGACCACATGGCCTCTGAGCTTCACTGTGTGTAGCTCTGAAGGTCCTCAATCACCACAAGAGTGACCTAGGTGGTTTCTGGGGAGCATCTTGGGGACCAAGTATCACTCCATCCTTGAACTCTCATGTTGAAGCACAAGTCTCTTTGGCCAGGAATCACTGCGAGTGACCTCAGGATTCAAGCACAGCTTGTGAGCTCTCCCAATTACATATTTTAATAAAATTAGATTTGGCTCTTACCCTGGAATCAGGATTATCATCAAATTGTGTTCTAATAAATGTATCAAAAGAATCCCAGTAACTTTCAATTAGATTTCCACCTAAAGACCATAAATAAGAGAATACAAAAGTCTGACAGAGTATAGTATTCAGTTTTGATGATTCCTGAAAAGAACACAAAACAAATTTCAGTGTTTCATGTTATTTATCTTATATTAGAATATTATGTTATTTATCTAAAATAAGAATCATAAATTGCAAACTTTAAAGTCTATTTTCTATTATTTAGATTCATGCACTTATAAAAGGGCTTCATGTTATTATATTTTATTCAATAGCTCAGATAAAGTTTAATAGTAGCAATATTTAAATACTCTTAGAAAATGAATGGGAAGGAGTATAAGGGGAAAAAAATCTCAAGATATCCTTTGAATTGACTGTTATAATTCTTTTTGCCTGTTTTCAGGTATTTTAGCAATAACTAGACAGATATAAGAAGACATAAGAGGCTGGAAGGAACTTTAAATATTTAGAAAAGAGTAAACTATAGGTTCCCAAAAACCCCTTTCAACTTTGAGATTTTGTGAATTTATTCAGTCATTAGTTACTAGAAAATCAAATGATTACATTACATAAAAATGATTTCTTTTCAAAGTGTCTAGACATTTTTATTTTCCCATATTATGCCAGTAAGAAAAGCTTTAGCACCATTGCCAGATTAACTCCATCTTTTGAAAATATCAAAGACTCCATTAAGCAACAGAGGGTAGTAACTTTGCTGATGTCCACTTGTGGAATTGCTTGAACACATTTTTTGTTAACAAAATGTAAGCCATCATCAACATAACGCTGGAATAGTTTTAATATATATTCTTGAGTTTCATCATTAAGCTGAAAATAAAACAAATAACATTCTTTTTTTAATTAGTGAAACACCTTGAGGTACAGTTATAGACTTACAAATTTTTGTCCTTGGGTTTCAGTTATACAATGATCAAGTACCCGTCCCTCCACCAGCGCCCATCCTCCACCACCACGGGTCCCAGCAAAACAAATAACATTCTTAACAAGACCAAATAAAATATGTAATGAAATTTATAAATGGGTTGGTTCAAATCTGTAGATTACAATCTCCTTTGACTTTTAAAGAGTGCAAGCAGCCTAAAATATAAGACACGGACTGGGGCTATACCTTAATGGTAAAGCGCTTGCCTTGCATGTTTTAGACCCTGGGTTTGGTCCCCTGGCAACACAAAACACAAGACACATCATTCACTGATTTTTGCTGTGGTGGTGGTGGTGGAAATTGAACTAAGAGCTTCTCATAGCAAAGCACAAGCTTTACAATTGAACCACATTTTTGCCCTAGAAAAAATTGAACTTTAAAAATTTTCTGCAACTCAGAAAATACACTTAGAGAAAATTTCCCTCAGTGATGTCTCCCATAGTTAAGAACACTGAAAAAAAGAAGCCAAGCATGACACATTAAAAATCTATATAAGTAAAACAAATAATTCCCCCCAACTTTAAAAGAAATGCTGCTTCATAACTCCTATCAGCAACTTACTGGAAGATCAAGGTAATGCGACAGACAGTAAAATAATGTTTTATACATATATTGGATATTAGTCTTTAATCCAACATGTGATGGGTGAATATTTTATCCCTATCAGTGGTATCTACATTAGGCCTCATTTCTTTCTCAATGCAGAAGCTCTTTAGTCTAATTTAGTTCCATTTGTTTATTTCTGCTTTTTCCCCCCTATTAGAATCTGATTCTGAAAATTTCTGCTCACGTTTCCTCACTGTATTTATAGATGCAAGTTTGATATCAAGGCCTTCAAATACATTTTGAATTAACCTTTGTGATTGTTCATTGCAGCATTGTTTACAATAGCCAAGATTTGAAAACAACCCAAGAGCCCAATAACAGATGAGTCAACAAAAAGGTTGTGGTATGTATCCACAACGAAATACTATGCACCTATGACAAAAGAAAACTTCGATGGACTTAGAGGGAGATAGACTAGGCAAAGTGAGATAGAAAAAGATCAATGAACATCTGATAATCTCACTCATTTGTGGAATATAAGGACTTAGTAAGGGTTTAGACAACTCTTGATTGGAACCACTCTGAGATATGATCAATAGACTTGTGATGTAAGGTGTCATGAGTATGGGAGCAGGGATGGGGGTAATGGTGGAGGAATCCAGGTATTCTGGTGGTGGATGTGGTGCAGTAGCACTGCAGGTGTTAAAACAATGATGGTTCTCAAAGGTGTAAGGTGATACTAAAATCTAAAAGAAAACAATTAGCTTTTAATGAAGTTAAATGGTCTTTTCTTTCTTTGTGTCATTCATTAAAACAAGTCTTCTGTAGAGTCTGTCTGTCTGTCTGTTTCTCTCTCTCTCTCTCTCTCTGTCTTCCCCCACACTCCCCCAGTCTATTCTAGCTGTGTTTGGGGAAACTCAGGGGAGCAGAACACATTTGGGCAGTGCTGGGTAGTATAAGCAGGAACCAAAGTGATTAGGCAAACAGGCAGATGTCAGACAGGACAGAGCTGGGGAGCATCCAAACTTTTCTGGAAGAGTTCAAGAACTCTTAAGAAGAGGGTTCAGGCACAATGATCAATGACCTGAATGACTTTGAGCCCTTAACCTATTACTGCTTGCATACTCAAGGCTGCCTGAGCCCCGACAGAAGGAGACACTGAGGAGAAGTATGTGGTTGTGCTTACTTTTAAAAAAATATTGGGGCCACACCCAGTGACCCTCAGTGATAATTCCTGGCTCTGCACTCAGGGATCAGTACTGGCAGTGCAAAGAGGACCATATAGGATGCCAGGGGTCAAACCTGAGTCACCTGTTTGTAAGGCAACCATCCTACTTGCTGTACTATTACTCTAGCATCTGTGCTTACTTTTTTAGAAATTCTGTTCATCCAGGTTTTAACATAAGGCATCCATTTCAGCTCCTCAGGATCCACGAACACCATTCCACATCGACTGACTGTTGCAGGGGAAGCGACCTTTAAATCTTGCACCTAAAATAAATATGAACAGGAAATGCTAATGTGGTACTTCTCTAGATCTGTAACTTCAATGTTAATGAATAGCACATTTAAAGCTTTAATACTGAAAAGTTTTATGAGGGAGAGCTAGAAATAATTAGAACTGTAGAAGAAAAGTTAGATGAGGAACAAAATAAAAAAATAAATAAACCAAATATCCAAGAAACCAAAACACAGCAAGACACTCATAAACACACACTAATCTAGCAGGACACTGTCAAATCCTTAGTAGGAAAGAATAATTATTTTTTTTTGGTTTTCCATTCTTGCATTGAATATCTATCTTGATACATACTACACAGTAGCATGCAATCAATGTTTAATGAATAACTAGGTTGGGAATGGCATTTTCCTTAATGTTTTTTGTATCATGGATTCTACATTCTTTAACCATCCCTTCATAAAATATTCATATCACAGGATAATTTATTCAATTCAAAATAACAAAATGCATTTAAAAAACATTTCAAGTCATATAAAGTCATCAGCATAGGCATTTACTATCTCCAGTGAGAAAGAAACAAGTGCTGGGAAAGTAAAATATTATATTTCTTATTTATAGAAAGACAGGAACATTTGAGAGATTTTTCTCAGGATGTTTTTCTATTACATCATGATAGACAATTTATTATTAGAGGACAATCTAAAAGGTATTTTTATATAATTAACCAATGTATTATTTAAAGAGCAAATAACATTAGTGTAAAAAAGTTATGAGATGGCAGGAAGTAATTAACATTTTATTACATAGTAAAGTACATTCTTACCTCAAAAAGCATATGGATTTGAGGTGTGAGTTTAATCCTCTCACTGTTGGCTAGGCAAAGCATTTTATTATCATCCAACACTGTATTCATATTTTCGATCCAAAGAGCATCCACTGGTCCATCACTGATGATCCATTTATGGTCTTCTGAAGTATCATTCACAGCTGCTCGGACACTTAGTGCCATCAGACCATCCTTCCATTCCAAGGTTAAGTTATTAACTTCCCCATATAGTTCGCCCATTGTAATTGATTTGGGATTAAGAACGTATGTTTTAACTGGTTGGTAAAAAGGATATTCTATTCCAAGTTTTTTTAAATTCCCTAAAGTTTGTGCTAGAATTTGGTAGACTGTGGTCTTGCCCCCTCCTGTTGGACCCACTAACATAACACCATGCCTCACTAGCATCGTTTCATATAACTGTATCACCTTTTTCACCATACACAATTCAGGTTGAAGATTTTGTCCAACCATGGTATCCATAATTGTTGATTGAAATATTCCATAATTGTGTTCTGGAATATGAACTCCAGGAAAAAGATCCGATATAATTCCACTGAAAAAATAAAATAAAAATTATGAATATTAATCATAATATTTCCTGGTATTTGTCACAATTTTATAATATAAACTAGCAAAAATTATCAAAAATTAAAATTGAGTTGTTGCTTTTTAAAATGATAAAAGCATCATGAGTAATAATTTTTAAAATGTGTGATCTAGACAGATTTTATATTATGATGCAGGAATACAATAATCAATATAGAAGGTTTCCTGGAAGGTAAGTCTGAACCTTAGTGACTTTACAATGCAATAAAAGAATTAACAGATTATTCATATTACACTACTGACATTTGTGAAATGAGAAAATTCAATTTGTTGAGATCCTGAAATGAATATATGTTGAGGTCCTTAAGTGAACAAACGAAATAAAATTATTTATTGGCCTAAAAGTGAATTTTGAAACATTTACTGGAGTATTCCTTTTTCATTGTTTTTTTGAGCCACACCCAGTTGTGCTAAACCCAGCAATAGCATTCCTGGGAATATACCCTGGATAGGCAAAAAAATATAGTCAAAGTGACATCTGCACTTGTTTGTTCATTGTAGCACTGTTTACAATAGCTAGAATCTGGGAAAAACCTGAGTGCCCGAGAACAGATGACTGGTTAAAGAAACTTTGGTACATATACACAATGAAGTACAATGTAGCTGTTAGAAAAGATGAAGTAATGAAATTTACATAAGGTGGTACTATATGGAAAGTATCATGCTAAGTGAAATGAGTCATAGAAAGATTGCATTCATCTGGGGAACATAAAGTAACAAAATAGGAGACTAACACCCAAGAATAGCCGAGATAAATATCAGGAGGTTTACTCCATGGCTTAGAGGCCAGACGCACATTCTAGGGATAAAGGCAGCTCAGATTGAGAAGGGAGCACCAAATAAAGCGTGTTGGGAGGATCCTCCCAGGATGGGAGATGATGCTGAAAGTAGACTATAGACCGAACATGATTGCCACTCAATTCCTCTTTTGCAAACCACAGCACCCAAAAGGAGAGAGAACAAAAGGGAGTGCTCTGCCACAGAGGCAGGGTGGGATGGGGGTTTTGGGGGTGGGAGTGATACTGGGATTAGTGGTGCTGGAGAATGGGCACTGGTGGAGGGATGGGTACTCGATCATTGGATAACTGAAACCCAAGCATAAAAATTTGTAAGTCTACGACCCGAGTTTGATTCCTCTGCCCCTCTCAGAGAGCCTGGCAAGCTACTGAGAGTATCTCGCCCACACGGCAAAGTCTGGTAAAGCTACCTGTGACGTATTCGATATGCCAAACACAGTAACAAGTCTCACAATGGAGACATTACTGGTTCCGCTTGAGCAAATCGATGAACAACGGGAGGACAGTGACAGTGACAACTGTACCTCATGATGTTTCACTAATAAAAATTTTTTTAAAAAGTTTATCATTAAAAAAAAAGAGGCTCAGGGTACCCAAGGCTGTGCTAGTGATCAAAATGGAGTAGGCTACATATGATGCAAGCAAGCACCTCCCTCCCCATACTATCTCTCCAGCTTGCATATAGTATCCTGGGGTCAGGAGTGATACCTGAGTGCAGAGTCAGGAATAATCCCTGAGTACATCTGGATGTGACCCAAAAAATGAAGGAAGGAAGGAAGGAAGGAAGGAAGGAAGGAAGGAAGGAAGGAAGCTAAAAAAAGAAAATTACCTGAACAGAACAGCATCATCTGTTAGAAATTTTGGCAAGTTGGAGTCTCGCAAAGCTCTTATCAACACCACGTCTTCACTTAAGTCTGGGTGCTCTCTCTTTAAAGACCTAAACTCAAAGAAATAATTCAGATGATCTCAGGAGAACAGAATATTAAACATTATTTTCAAGATTTGTGGATCAGGGTTTCTGCTTACAAAAACAGGCACCTCTCTGCAGATTCCTGCTAGGTAATATCCTTGCATATATTACAACCAGCCCCATCAGAGCTCATGAATAAGTCAGACCCTGGCTGGCTAGACTTGAGGAGAAAGTCAAAGGCATTTTCTCAACACCACCCCTCTTGGTGTCCTCTGTCTATTAGATCCAGACTTTAACATGAATTTAGACTTCCCTGAATGCATCTTGATGATTCATTTTTTTCCTCTTGACCCAGAATGTCCTGCTTTGCTCTTTTATTAACAAGTCCATTTTATTCCCTCTTCTGGAAAGTTTGCCTAGTGAATCTTATTTTTTTTCTTTTTGTGTCACACCTGGTGATGCTCAGGCATTACTCCTGGATCTGCATTCAGGAATTACTCCTGGCAGTGCTTGGAGGACCATATGGGACCAACCTGCGAATCAAACCCAGGTTGGCCTCGTGCAAGGCAAACGCCCTACCTGCTGTGCTATCACTCCAGCCCCTCCCTAGTGAATCTTGTCACAGTCCCTTAATTGTTTTCTCCACATCATACCCTAGATGAATGTTCAGGTGTTTGTCTCACTCACTGGGCTGCACTAGTGTTTGTTGAGTGTAGGTGTATCTGAACTCCTTAGCAACCCTAGTCTTAAATGACAATCCTGTAATGAGGAGAATTTGGGAAATGAAGACAATAACTGAAAATAAAGGATGTGGCCTGTTGGGTGAAGCAAGAGACACAGGATCCAGGTAGAAGGGGCTCTGATGTCAGAGTCTGAGGCAGTCAGTTGAAAGATCAGAAAAGAAATTTCCTCAGAGATTCTGGACAAGTCGGGGATCCTAGAGGTAGGAGTTTTAAGATATAACTAAGCTAGAAGCTGGGGATTACAAAAAGAAAAGACTCTTGCTTATTAGAAACTAGAAAGAGCCCCAGTCTAGAACCATACTGTAAAGACAGAGGAGAAAACTAGAACATAAACCTTAACTGAAAATGAAATAAAAAACCCTGAAGTTTCTCTTAATAACTGATAACTTCACTGTATATACACAATGTATTGTTTAAGTAGCTTATCTTGTACTAGTAAAGGCTTCTGTATATTAACAACCAGTACATGGAATGAGTTCAGAAGAAATGGAGTTTGGGCAAATTTTTTTTAAGACTCAGCTTGGCAGTGACCATGTTGGGCTTGTGAAGAACTGTCCTGAGAGGAAGACAGACACCCCATACATTGTGGCTTGGGCAACAGCAGCAGCTAACATTCACTTATCACATATATGTCACTTAAGAACCATCTGTATGTTTTTCACTTAGTGAACTTGATCCCCACTCTTGGCTATTTTGGCTTCTTACCCGGCCATGACCAGCACAGACTTGACAGCTCTCATGCCAAAGTCATAGTGATCCTGTTGAGAGAGCTGTTCACTGCAGAGCTTATACATCTGAGTCATTTTTCTTGCTAATATTTTACTGGATTCAAATCCTTCAGAATATAGAATTACCTAGGAGAGAAAAGCATAATGTATTATGTATGAGATTTGATCTAATATTGAAAATAACACATTGACATGGTACCAATAAAGTCACAGCTTGAAGCATTACATCTCTCAACATTGTTACGTTGCTTCAACAAAGAAATATAAAGAATGAAGTGAAGTGAAAAAGTAATTTGCGACACAAAAATGTAGTAGGTGAGTAATTAATGGGGATGCTGGAGAACAGATTCTACTTCCTTCCCAGAGACAGTGATATGGCTGAGGTGATATCTCACTCAAGAACCAACAGTCCATTACTTGGAAGTATGTATATTACAGAGGTTGTATGGAGTTATGAGTCAGTACAAATGCAAAAATTGAGCATTTCCCCTCTGTCAGGGTGAGTGATATTAGGTGCTTCTTTTGGCTCCATGGTTATGATGACAAAGATTTGCAGTCTATATAGCTACTTTGCTTCTGACAAGTTTATACGGCCTTTTCAAATATATCAATAACAATAATGGAGGTGGACAGGGGACAGTGGTCATTGAAAACTTCCTCTAATCTAGTCTTTCCTAAACTCAGCAACGTTGCCCCTGGGAGATGCTGCAATATCCTGAGGGGACTTCAATGAATTGTGAGGGGGAAACTTTTTGTCGTTTGCTTACAAAGACATTCCCAAGGGTATGCCAAGTGTCTTTTTTTTTTGTAGGCCAAATAAACTTGGGAACCTCTGCTCTAAGTCATAATCTTCTGGAATCACAGCAACTGGTTTCTAACTCAAGATTTGGAATGCTGCAGAGATTTCTGACTGATGTCTTTTGTTCATTGTCCTACCAACTGTCCATTAGCACAGTGCTGCATGTCGCAGAGGAATAATAATATTTATTGGGGGGTGAAGTGGACACTCTGATAGGGAAGCTGGAACACTGTATGCATGGAACTATCATTAACAGCATTGTGAATCATGGTGCCTTAATAAAAATTGGGAAAAATATTCACAAAAAACAGACCCTGGCCATTTATTCTGTGATAATAGGAATAGTTCTGATTGGACTTTTTAATTTCTATAGTTACTTGAGTGATATAAAAATAGGTGAAGCATGAAATGTGAACAAAATTTGGAATGAGTTCTTCCAGGCTTTTCTTGCTTACAGTGTTAGACAATGAACAAGTCATTTATTGTCCCTGCCCAAACAGCATCAGCATTATACTGATAAAAGTTATTTTTCTAAAGGTAGGCCTACTTTATTCTCCTTTTTATTCCATATAGAATATTTTAAAGTATGATTTATATACAGAATATGAAACATTAAAATCTAAACATCTTTTAAATAGTCCTATTATTATAGAACTTCCGCTGTGCGGGGTAGGGCATTTGGCTTGCATGCAGCCAACCCGGGTTCAATTCTTCCGTCCCTCTTGAAGAGCCCAGCAAACTACCAAGAGTATCATGCCCGCATGGGAGAGCCTGGTAGAGCCTGGCAGGCTCCCTGTGGTGTATTCGATATGCCAAACACAGTAACAAGTCTCACAATGGAGACATTACTGGTGCCCGCTTGAGCAAATCGATGAACAACGGGAGGACAGTGCTACAGTGCTATCGAAGAACTTTATTACTCATGGGAATAAGTGTTGCTTTCTGAGAAATTTCATTCTAAAAGGGGTATTGTACCTTGCTGTGAAATGCAGAACTGAGTATGCTACATTTTTTTTGAGACATGAAATTATCCTATATGTGAACATTAATGATCACACAAACACCTGTGTACAAACCTACGAAGTTATACTTTGTGACTTATGCAGTTTATTACTTATAAGTAGACCTTAGCAAAAGTAACAAAAAGTATATGCAAAATTTAAAAGCACTGGTTCTCAGCTAGTATGAAAGAAAAAAAAACAGTTCCTTGGGCTTAAACCAAATTAAATATATTATTAGCTATATAAAGGGCAAATGTAATAACTAACTACTTTTCAACTGCAGACATCCAGGCTAATCCTCACCCTCCATTGCAATTAGTATTGCTTATGTTCAATATCCCTTGAATTTAGTCCTGTCCTGTCCTGTCCTCCCGTTAGAAAAAAAATAGATGAGTGGTAATATTTTTTCATAACAAATCCATACATTTTAATTCCTAGAGATGAGCTGATAATCTCTAATATATTGTCTAATTAAAATAATTGATTCATTCCTCTATAGGGGCCTACTATATTTCACATACCACTCAGCATTAGGGATATAACAGTTACAAACACATACACAAATGGACACAGATATACTAAAACAATCTAAGTGATAAAAGTTATGTCTACATTTAGCAAACATTAATGTTTAGCCTTTTCAAGGCAGCAGCCAGGAAGGTACTTTCTACCCCAATAGAATCAGATGGTAAATAAAAGAAACAAGTTGACATTTTGGGTTGCACTGTGAGGCTCACCTCTGCAATTAAGGCATAATTTGGAACCATCATGGCAAAGGGTCTAAAAAGGGATTTCAAATTATCCGGTAATTCCGTTCTGCCTGCATATCCAGGATTCATTGTGATGAACGCAGCACAAGTCATAACCAACTTTATTTCCCGCCCTTCAAACATAAACCTGGAGAGCTGTTTAAAGGAGAGAGAAAGTATACATGAACGCTTCTGCCGACATCTGTGATCCTTTCCCATGGGACCTCAGTGCAGAACTTGTGTCATGTTTTAAAAGATGACAGGTGAATCCTGGGGTGGGACATCAGGAAGTATTTTTCCTGATTCTGTCCACTGGGCTCAGGATTTCCCACTCTGCTTACCTGGTCCTGCCTTGCCCAAATTATCCATTTCCTGGCCCAGTCCCGCAGTCAGCAAGACTGCAATGATCTCTGGCACAGTAAGGGCCATTAAGCTTTCTCTTCCACTACTTTTTTTTGTATTTGCTAAGGAATTCTAACTGATCTTAGTCTTTGGATGGTTGAGGACCCACTGTTACTATTGTTGGAACTATCCCTTCTTTCACTGAAAAGTAAACATGTGCTGAGAGTCCATTCAGATGAGATGATGAGTTAGTGAGGCCAAAAGGCAAAAGAAACTTTTCCTGAGCTCTCAGGAAGCTCCTTGTTTTACTATATGAAGTAGTATCTGGAAAGCATGACCTTAACTGTTCAACAGTGGAGGAGTGTGTGAAACCTATTGGGAGCAATGCCCTAGCATTAGAAAAATGAGTTTGAGACCTGAAGGATGGAGGATTTCATGTAGATAACCGTATGAGTTCAAGGGAGCAGGAAGAAGAAATGGTACTTCAAACAATGATCGCTTATTCCTTTCGCTAAAGGCAACATGTAAGTCAGGCCAGAGTTCATGGGTCAGAATTTTGCATGCTAGGTTAAGGAATTTAGATTATGTTTCTTGAATGGGGAAAAGCATTGTTGTAAGAGTGACAGAATCAAAAATGACAGTGAAGAAGTTGAACTAATTACAAATAAGGGGCCCAGTAAGGAATCATTAGAAGTGATAAGAGCCCGAATTAGGGAGTTATTGCTAGAGGGAGACACCCAACAGATAAAATGAAAAGTACTTGGAAATAGCTTATGGAGGGAAGTTGACAGTAACAGGAAGAATAAAAAGGAATTCTAGATTTCTAGTTGGCTCACCATTAACAGACGTAATGGGGGCAGAGAGGGACAGACCAGGATGGAGCTGAGATGCTCCGGAGCCATGAGAAGTTAAAGGACAATACAACCAGACACCAGTTCTGCTACTACACGTGCTTGTTTGCATTCTTCAAATACAAACTTTTGTGCTTTAGTCTCTTTGTTTATTCCCAGGTATATGCTCTATGTCAGCCACCTACATGGTCAGTGCCCAAAGTGAGTATGAGCCTCAGTTACCTCCAGATGACCTCCTCCCTTCCTTTCACCTCATGTGGTTGTCCTCCAGTTGGAAATGCTTCAGTCTGTGTTCATTTTCTGTGCCTGTCTACCTTATTACCCACGCTTTGATCTCAGCTAATTGCTCAGGAAAGGGATATTGCATCATGAATGTTGCCATATCTGGAGTTCCCTGCATTTAACACATTCTTCCCTGGAGTATGTAGAAAAGAGGAGGGCAGTAATGTGTGGCTGAAGCCATATGTAGCTGAAGTATGTTGGAGTTGGAGTATGTAGTTGAAGCAGCTCAGACTTTTAGGGTCATAGAGAATTAGGTATGTATCTTGGTTCTCTGATGTCCCCAGAATGTTATTTTGTGATTCTGGGGATTGAGCCCAAAGCCTTACACAGCTAAGGCATGTGCACACGTCTCCATATCTCTTACCTCAGAAGTAATTTAACTCTGAACATTTACCACCCCTGTACCTTGGGAAAATGCCATCGTCTTACTTCATATAGGTATAGTGATATAAGTATGATGAAAGTACAGTGTGAGTTGCACAATTTAGCAGCTCACTGAAATCCAACTTCTGCTTTAAAAATTATTTTACACAGGTGTGAAATAAAATATTTAACAATGATGCTAAATATTTAACATAGTAGGGACCTTTCAATAAGAATAATCTCTGTTCGAGTACCAGGTTTTAAGTACCAGGAGGTTTACTCCATGGCTTGGAGGCCAGCTGCACATGCTGGGGGAAAAGGCAGCTCAGATAGAGAAGGGAGGACCAAATAAAGGGTGTTGGGAGGATCCTCCCGGCATGGGAGATGCGTGCTGAGAGTAGACTATAGACCAAACATGATTTCCACTCAATGCCTCTTTTGCAAACCACAGCACCCAAAAGGAGAGAGAGAACAAGGGGGAATGCCCTGCCACAGATGCAGGGTGGGATGGGGGGGACAGGAGGTGGGAGGGATACTGGTATCAGTGGTGGTGGAGAATGGGCACTGGTGGAGGGATGGGTATTTGATCATTGTATAACTGAAACCCAAGCACCAAAAATTGTAAATCTACAACTGTACCTCATGGTGTTTCACTAATAAAAATCTAAATTAAAAAAAAAAGAATGATCTCTGTTCTTAAATCTAGAGCTGTATTCATTGTCCCCCTTTGCTATTCCCCTTATGCCAAGGTCCTGAGGAAATCTGGAGACCTGTGGCAGTTAGTTATCAAATTAGCAGTAATTAATTACTACTTACTAATTATTAGTAATTAATTAATTACTATGAGGGGCATTCCAGAGGCAGGGTAGGGACTATTAGCAACTGGAGATAATCTTATCTTGTACAGGCTGAACATTACTTTATCCTTTGTCTCATAACTACATATATACCATGGTTGGGACGGGGTTCTCTGGTTCCCTGCCATCACCTTCCAAATACCAATTCCTTACCCCAAACTTGCAAGTGGGGACTAAAACAAATCTTAAGCAATGGGATCACTTTAGTATCTATTTGGTTTTATAGCCCAGTGAGATTTTGAGAACCAGGTTCCTCTTGTTCTCCCCAGAACTTCTCTCTGGTTTTTCCCATTAGCTGTAGGCTGAGCCTGGAGCCAATGAGAGACAATGGAATCTATAAGAAGCAGCATTAGGAAACTTATCAGCCACCATCAAAACAAAAAAGATGAAGAGAAGATGGAGAAGAGAGGATATGATATATGAGAGAGAGAGGAGAAAAAGAGGAGAGAGGGAGGAGAGGAAGGGGAGAGAGGAGAGAGAGAGACAGAGTGAGAGGAGAGAGAGCGAGAGCTAGAGAGAGAGGATTCCTTGCATGCAAGGACTGAGTTTCCCATCTCTCTCTCTCTCTCTGTTCCAGTTCCCAACACAGTTTCATAGCTATTTCCCTGTGTTGCTTAAGTGAGAAATGAATTTCTCTAAGTCCTACTGTGTGTATGACTCACCAGTTCCACAGGAAACATGGGATAGACAGGCTAGATTTAGTATTGTCCTTCCTAACATTGCAAATTCATTGCAAACTTAAAAAATGCTGCCCCCCCCCCCCCCGCCCCCAGGACAACTGCCTGGTATAGTACCTTGGCGGCTTTGGCATTCCTGATAGTGATGAGCTGCTGGGCGATGACTGACAGAACTTCAATATCAATGCGATTAAATTCATCAAAGCAGCACCAGGCCCCCGATTGTGCCAGACCACTGAAGAAGCGTCCCATCATCTGAAATTTAAACACTACTAGTTAGTTTTGTACTGCAGAGTAGATAGAACCCCTTAAAAAGTTCAATTCTGAGATTATTTTTTTTAAAGAGGGGAATATCCACAATTAAGCGACAGTTTTATGCAAGTACGGGGCTCTGACAGAATTCAGCACTTTTTTTATTTCACTTTTTGAAATTGACTTATCATTGGTTTCAGAAACAGAGTGGAACGCCTCTTTATCCAACAGGACTCACTGCACAAACCATCAGCAAAAGGACAGTAGCATTGTCCTGTTGTTCATCGATTTGCTCGAGTGGGCACCAGTATTGTCTCCATTGTGAGACTTGTTTTTGTTTTTGGCATATCGAATATGCCATGGGTAGCTTGCCAGGCTCTGCTGTGCAGGCAGGATACTCTCGGTAGCTTGCCAGGATCTCTGAGGAATGGAGCAATCGAACCCTGGTCAGCCACATGCAAGGCAAATGCCCTACCCGCTGTGCTATCACTCCAGCCAGAAAGAATAGTAGGCAGGTTTATTATAGGAAATTTTAGAGAGCGGCTCAATGAAGCAGGTTTGGTCTGTATGTTAGCATCCCAGGGCTGCTATTAGAAAAAAACACAATCTGGATGGCTTCAAACACCATCATTTATTAATTTATCGTTGCATAGTTCTGGAGTCTGAGAGTCTGAGATGAAGGTGCAGGGAGAACCATATTCCAAAGGATGACTGACAGCTGACAGCAGTGCAGGGCTATCTCGCACCTCTGGACCCCACCAGCAAGCAATAACATCTATGTCATTTATTTCTACCATTTAAATTTTGGAACTTTATACTAAAATTTTTTGTTTTCTGGAAAATTTTATTCTATTTTATTTATTTATTTATTTATTTATTTACTTTTTATTAGTGAAACACCAGGAGGTACAGTTGTAGACTTAGAAATTTTTGTGCTTGGGTTTCAATTATAAATGATTGAGTACCCATCCCTCCACCAGTGCCCATTCTCCACCACCAATTATTCCAGTATCCTTCCCACCCCCCCCCCCCACCTCCCCATCCCACCCTGCCTCTGTGGCAGGGCATTCGCTTTTGTTCTCTTTCTCCTATTGAATGCTGTGGTTTGCAAGAGAGGCATTGAGTGGCAATCATGTTCGGTCTATAGTCTGCTTTCAGCATGCTTCTCCCATCCTGGGAGGATCCTCCCAACACCCTTTATTTGGTGCTCTCTTCTCTGAGCTCCCTTTTCCCCCCAGCATGCGCGGCTGGCCTCAAAGCCATGGAGTAAACCTCCTGGTACTTATCTCGGCTATTCTTGGGTGTTAGTCTCCTATTTTGTTACTTTATGTTCCCCAGGTGAATGCAATCTTTCTATGTCCATTCCTTTCTTTCTGACTCATTTCGCTTAACATGATACTTTGCATGTAGTACCACTTGAAAGTAAATTTCATGACTTCATCTTTTCTAACAGCTACATAGTACTCCATTGTGTAGATGTACCAAAGTTTCTTTAACCAGTCATCTGTTCTTGGGCACTCAGGTTTTTTTCCAGATTCTGGCTATTGTAAACAGTGTTGCAATGAACAAACAAGTGCAGATGTGACTTCACTATACTTTTTTGCCTGTCTGGGATATATTCCCAGGAGTGGTATTGCTGGGTCAAATGGGATCTCAATTTCTAATTTTTTGAGAATCGTCCAAACTGTTTTTCTGAAAAAGTTTAATCATGCACAAGAGATGAAAGATGATACAGAGCACTCAGCTTAAACATTACCAAGATCTTACTGTTTTAAAAATACTTTACCACTTTTTGAGGTTGCAAGACATCTAAATAAGTCCTTACCATCCTGTGGTATTAGTACATGTTCAATTTTCCACAATAGCCCTAAAATTGACCTTGTTGGTTTGCTTCAATTAAGACTCAGGTTTTAAACATTGCACTTGGATTTTTTTGGCTTTCGTTTTTTGTTTGTGTTTGCTTTGGGGGCCACACCCCACAATGCTCAGGGGTTACTCAGTAATCACTTCTGGTGGTGCTCGGGGGACCTTATAGTACAGCAGGGATTGAACCTGGTTTGGCTGCGTGAAAGGCAAGTGCTCACTGTACTATCAATTCAGACCCTTAGTTTTGTTTTTCATTTTTTTTTTGGTGGGGGCGGGGGTGAAGTGTGGGGGCGGGGTGCGTGTGTGTGTGTGTGTGGCAAACTACCCATACCTGGTGGTGCTTGGAGCCAGGGGTAGCTCCGGACTATGCACTCAGAAATTACTCCTGGCGGTGGTCGGGAGACCATATGGGATGCTGGAAATCGAACCTGGGTTGGCCGCGTGCAAGGCAAATGCTGTACCACTGTGCTATCGCCCCAGCCCAGCAATTCTTCCCTAACAAAATCATCCTCATTAATTCTATTATTACCCAGAAACTAAAGGAAAGGTGAAAAAATACTTTCCGCCTTCCCCATCCACTTTCAGGATAATAAATTTGAGTTCCAGGGGTCTTCCATGGACATAATGAATTTTTGTGTAAAATGAAGTCTTTAATCTATTTAACTATTATTATTATTCTCTCACATTGTCCCATTTTTGACCAATGGAAGATTCTGCTTCTTACTAATTAGATCATAGTTATTTCGAACATTGTTTTGCATTGAGTGAAAACAAGATATTTCAGGATCATTTTATACATTTCCTAAACCTTGTGTCAGCTCCAGTTACTTTTATTAGGGAATATTTGAGAACAGAACTGGGTACTAAATGTGCTCACTTATCACTGGACTACCAATGCTTCTAAGCTTCTTTACAAACAAAACTAAGAAATAATATCTGTCTAGAGAAATGGCATCTCACCACATCCTCCTCATTACTAGTAAGTTTGAGCATCTTTATCAAAACCTGAGCTGCCAGGGTCTGATCCACGAAATTGTTCTATTTTCTCTTGACTTCTCTTTGTGTTGTTTTTAAAATTTTTTTGTGTAGTCTAAACTGTTCACTTGCCGTTATTCTCTCAGGATGGCATTATTTATTTTACTTTGGATCTTTCTGTGCAGCTTGAATTCGCCCACATGTAGCTATTTCTTGACTGAGGTGGGGATAGCTGAGCACCTTCTTCCCCTAATGAGAATTTGTGCTCCTGCAGAGTGTTTGACTGGGTGGCCTTTCTCTTTTTCTGAAGATCCTCTAAGCCACGGATTCTTAAACTTTTCCACTTGTGGCCCCTTTTCCCTGAGCAATGTGTATACAACCGCAGGTCATAGGTATGTAACATAGCTAGCAAGTATTTATGGATCAGCATTATAAGGAAATTTATTTTATGTGGCCCTCACACTTATGGCCTCATGTGGGTCCTGACATTCGAAAGGTGAGGGTCGAGACGTATTAAAGGCGTCTCAGTTTTCAAATTAGGGCTAAAATTTGATGCTAAAACAGCAGCTCTCAAGCAGTCCCCTGGGGATACTTGCAAGGTGAGAATTTCTTTCAGTGGACTTGCAAGGTGAAAGTGATTTTTGATTGGTTTGTTTCTTTATTTGGGGGCCACACCCGGTTATGCCCAGGGCTTACTCCTCATTCTGCACTCCCAAGATCATTGATAGTAGGGCTTGGGGGACTCTATGGGGTACTAGGAATGAACCCGGGTGTGCTGTGTGTGAGGCCAGTGCCCTCCCAGTTGTACTATCTCTGACTCTGAAAGTGATTTTATAATATCACAATGTCATTTGCCTTATTTATTCCCATTCTCTCAGGAGAAAAAGTTCTTCATATGGCTTCAGTTTCTATATCTTGTGAAACTGCTTCTTGTGAAGTTTTAACATAACTTTAAGGAAGAACATTGAAAATTATCTATAAAAAGTCTTGAAATATAGTGCCCTGACTTTAGAGTTTATATTTATTTAAGACTATATTTCTTTTCTGGTACTTCAAGTAAGATAACATGCTAACTGGAAACGAAAGTACACATTTAACATCTGGCTGGCTTCTAGTATAATAAACATTAGAGAGTTTTAAAATTAGTCAATGCTATTATTCTTTCTAAATATTTTTGTTCAGGAAAGTAGTTATTTTCTTCATAAAAATCTCTTTGTGTTAATATGTAAGAAATTTTTTAGTGGTATTTCAAAGAAGATTTAAAATTTAACAGTTTGGGGGCCAGCAAGATAGTACAGCAGGTAGGCATTTGCCTGGCATGTGGCTGACCCGGGTTTGGTCCCTCGGTCTGCCAGGAGTGATTCTTGAATGCAGTGTCAAGAGTAAGCCCTGACCACTACTGGGGGTGGCCCCAAATCAAACAAAACATAAATAGATAAATGTAACAATTATAATTTCAAACATGGCAAATGTCAACAAATACATCTTACATATAGGAACAAGATATTTTTGGCAGTCCCTATAAGGTATAAAGGGTCCAGTGACCAAACGCCTTGTAACCACTGTAGTGAAAAGTCTTACCATGATTTCTCTGCTATATATTTCATCTTCAATACACAACTTTGAATTGCTCATTTCTTATTATAAATGTAGTCTTAGTTTCTAAATTTTGCTGCTATTCTATTTAAAATTTTTTTATAATGTAAGTAAAAAATATTTTTGTTTTAAACTTACAGACATAATAAGATAAAAAAAAATTTTGAGAACCCAAATCCATCAGAGATTAGGGTTTACTCCTGGCTCTCTGCTCAAGGATCACTCTTGGAGGGGTTTGGGGGACCATAAGTGGTGCTGGGGATCAAATCGAGGTTGGCTACATGCAAAGCAAGCACCTTATCTACTGTACTATCATCCCGGTGCCCAGATTTTTAATTTTATCGCCATTTGATACATCCTCCCCTGGTCCCCTGGTCTTGGTCCTTACCTGGATCACTCAGACTACCTTTGTGTTGCCTTTTCTTCATTTTAACCGGCCTCGACCCATTCTCTCTTTTTTTTTAGCATCATGGTGTAAGTAAAGAAAGCCACACAACACTCTTATTGACATTAGTGTTCAGAAGCTAGGGTTGTACCTTGTAGTCCAAACCATCAGAGCAATTGAAGACCACACACTGGATAGCAAGAGCTTTTGCCAGGTCTTTGGTTGTCTCGGTTTTCCCTGTGCCTGCAGGACCAGCTGGTGCGCCTCCCAGGTCAAGCTGCAAAGCTCCCATGAGACAAAGGTAGCAGCGGTCCTAAAGGAATTCAGTCATTACAAAGAGAACTGACATTAGCTACAGATGCCTTAGTTCTTTCCTTTCCATAGTCAGAGGAAGGGGTAACTGTTTTCTATGAAAGATATTCTAGAAATTGAATACACACAAATATCCAGGCACATGATTAAAGAATGTGAATCTCTTCTTCACAAATGATCACAATCCTTTCAAGAGTTAATGTTAGAAAAAAAAAAGAGTTAATGTTAGATAAAACTTTCCAAGACTATTTTAAGTAAAAGTAAAAAGAAAGAGTCTTGTGTTGACATTAATTGAAGTGATGAGTAACTTACTGTGAGAGGAGTAATAACTAATCTTGGGCATGCACCCAAATATTCATAACCATATGTATACTGAGAGAGTGCCATTCTAGCCACACAATTATCTAGGTCTATATCCCAATAATAGCGTAGTTGTCTCTGCCAGCCAAAGGAGTCGACTTCTTCTACCTATATGTAATAAAATTGATATATTTGATGAACAATTTTTCCCCACTGTATTTAAACACCATTATTTACAAGTTGTTCATGATGCATTTGTTACAGGCATTAAACATTCCAACATCAATCCCACCACCATCTAAAGAACAAACTTAAGAAAGAAATAATAATTTGACTTAAATGAAACAGTTACCTTGTCATGAATAAGTTCAGTGACTATGTCTCTTGCATGTACATCAATAGTAATTAAAGCAGTTATGATGTTTCTATGTAATCTAGGAAGACTGCCTCGAACTAATCCAGCAAGGGCATTTAATCTCTACAAATAAAAAAAAAGACATTTATTTCCCCAAATATGCTTGTGTGTGTGTGTGTGTGTGTGTGTGTGTATCTTTTTACTATCAAATTTGGAGTAGGCATTTGCCCAAATGATCCAAGTATTTTAGAACATATATAATTCTATGAACCATGGGACACAAATTGAACTAACTAATTCCTACAAGATTTCTATAAAGTATATACTATATATGTACATGTATATATAATATATAATACACATATATATACATATATATGTATATGTACATGTATATATAATATATAATACACATATATATACATATATATGTATATGTATATAATGTGTGTATTATATATTATATATACACTATATATATGGCTCTTGGCTTTTGGGCTACACCTAGAGGTGCTCAGGGCTCACTCCTGGTGGGGATCAGAGGGCCATATTGGATGCTAGGGATTGAAACTGAGTCAGTTATGTGCTAGGCATATGTCCTTTCTGCTGTGCTGTTGCTCCGGCCCTAGTACATACTATCTTGACCCCATTTACATGAGAGGAAACATGGTCAGAGAAGGCGACTTGTTGGCAGCCATGTAAGTATGACATGGGGGAAAAGGAGACTTGAGGAGACATCTGCCTGGGGGCTACCAAGTGCTGAAGTCTCCAGAAGATGGTTCTTAAAAATTAAACATAAGAGAGATAGGAGAGCAGGAGAGGCACTTGTCTGCATGTGGCCAATACAGGTTTGATCGCCTGAACCATCTATGGTTCCCTGAGCTCTGCCAGGAGTGATCCCTGGAAAGCCAAAAGTAACTCTTGAGCACAGCTGGGTGTGACCGCCCAAAAACAAACAAAAAATTAAATGCAATTAAGTCAGCACTTCATTTTCTGGGGTAGTTTTTCCTTAGAGAATTAGAAAAGCTAAACATTTAAACCAAGTTAATAATTCGTGAAAAGAATTTTTTCTTGTTTTAGACTGAACTTTTGAATTTCGCTTGAACAGCTAAATATTTTTCTGAGAAGAGTATTGTCTCTGAATTGCTGCGTTGAATTTTATTTTTCCTCCCTCCCTCCCTCCCTTCCTCCTTCCCTCTCTCCCTCCCTTCCTCCCTCCTTCCCTCCTTCCCTCCTTCCCACTTCCTTCCTTCGTTCCCTCCCTTTTCTCCCTCCCTCCCTCCTTTCTCCCTCCCTCCCTCCCTCCCTCCCTCCCTCCCTCCTTCTCTCCTTTCTTCCTTCCTTCCTTCCTTCCTTCCTTCCTTCCTTCCTTCCTTCCTCCCTCCCTCCCTCCCTCCCTCCCTCCCACCCTCCTCCCTCCCTCCCTCCCTCCCTTCCTTCCTTCCGTCCTCCCTCCCTTTCCCCTTCCTTCCTTCCCTCCCTCCCTCCCTCCCTCCCTCCCTCCCTCCCTTCCTTCCTTCCTTCCTTCCTTCCTTCCTTCCTTCCTTCCTTCCTTCCTTGTGAAGCAAGATACGTATTTTTCAGATTTATTTAGAAAGATGTGGGGGGCAGGGGAAGGGAGAAGTACACGTTTGAGAGTAAACACAGGCTTTTCCAGAGTGGAAAGAAGCAAGCAAAGAGACATCGAGATAAGCAAGTGAGATAATGGTTCAAGGGAGAGCACGGACTTGAAGAGCAAGTCCCTGCGTTGAATTTTCACTTTGATCCTGGTCATGTACTAGTGACCTTGAAGCAAACAGGACATTCTTTACTGAGTCCCCACCCCCACCCCTGTCACTAGTAATGTTTTAAAAAATTTTTATTAGTGAGACACCATGAGGTACAGTTGTAGACTTACAAAGTTTTGTGCTTGGGTTTCAATTATACAATGATCAAATACCCATCCCTCCACCAGTGCCCATTTCCTACCACCAAGAATCCCAGTATCCCTCCCACCCCCCATCCCCCCATCCCACCCTGCCTCTGTGGCAGGGCATTCCCCTCTGTTCTCTCTCTCCTTTTAGACATTGTGGTTTGCAAAAGAGGCATTGAGTGGCAATCATGTTTGGTCTATAGTCTACTTTCAGCATGCTCCTCCCATCCTGGGAGGATCCTCCCATCACCCTTTATTTGGTGCTCTCTTCTCTATCTGAGCTCCCTTTTCCCCTAGCATGTGTGGCTGGCCTCCAAGCCATGGAGCAAAATTCCTGCTACTAATCTCGGCCATTCTTGGGTGTTAGTCTTCTATTTTGTTACTTTATGTTCCCCAGATGAATGCAATCTTTCTATGTCTATTCCTCTCTTTCTGACTCATTTAGCTTAACATGATACTTTCCATGTAGTACCACTTGTATGTAAATTTCATGACTTCATCTTTTCTAACAGCTACATAGTACTCCACTGTGTAAATTTTAGAGATGAAATTATATTGAGGAACTTCATGAGAGGTTTTTCTTTTCTCCTTATTTCAAAAACGGTTTCTGCTCTATTTCCTGTTTTGAGGGCAATTGAGGGCAATTCTTTAAAAATACAATGTTGTTTGGATGTAGAATTGAACTCTGAGTTAAGGATTAGATATAGCAATAAGATGGAATTTTGCAACTGTAGGTTAAAATTTTTCATAGAGTAGCATTAAGATGAAAACCTGTTGTTTTACTGATACCTGACTGAGATACCTTAAAATAACCAAAGAACCTAAAACCAGAAATGGCGGGGAAAAAATTTCTTCTGGATTGAATAAACTTCTGAGATATATCCAGATCCCAGTTACTATCATTTCTTTTTAAATGTTACAAATCATTATAACACTAAGATTTTCATCTTGAATGTTTTTCTTTCTATTTTATAAGGATTCACATAAATAATGTAAAAATGCCTGGCAGCATCCTTAAGAAAACTTGTATACATCAGCACTTTTAGTGAGAGCTAAACTTTTACCCCAAAGCTTGATAAGTCATATCAGAGCATCAAACACTGGAATACAGTGAATTTGCAATCAGACCAATAAACATCACAAATACCATTTTTTCACAACAATGTGTTGTTGCCTTGTTAAATAACCAACCTCAAAGTTTATTTTTTCAAAATGTTCCAGGGTTTCTAGATGATTAGCATCTTCTATTTCCAAGCACTCAGTCAAATCGCGGCACCACATGATTTGGGAAACAGTCAGGACCACCTGCGTGGAAATATCTTCTTTAAGTATGAGACACAATAACCAAAAAAGAGAGGGCTCCAGGATAAGAATTAGAGAGTGTAAGTCACCTGAGAGGGGTGGCCAGCAACCACCCACTCTGTCCTCGGTTTCCCCTGGTAGTCGGCGATGGCAGCCTTGCTCAGGCGGCGCAGAGACGTGAACATAGCTTCCTCCACTTTACCGAGCCACTCCTCCACGTTGCCCCTGGCTTTCAGGCCTTTCCCCAAGCTAACCTAGAAGATCATGAGAGCAGCGATAACATGGCTTCTGTGGGACTTGTAGCCTTAGACTTGTACTCCGTACTGAAGCCTACCAAAATGGTCAACTTTCTACTGATAGCTGATAGTCCAACTATACATCTCTCTTACCTGTGCTGCCAATTCCCTGAAAGAGGCATCTACACATACTACATGAATTAATTTTCTTATCTTACTAGCCACTCTCTTATTTTTGGCACCAATCACCCTTCTGCATCTGTTTTTTCTTCTTTTTTCTTTTTGGGTCACACCCAGCAATGCTCAGAGGTCACTCCTGACTTTGCACTCAGGAATCACTCCTGGCAGTGCTCTGGGGACCATATGGGATAGTGGGAATCGAACCCAGGTCGACCGTATGCAAGGCAAACACCCTACCCGCTGTGCTATCGCTCCAGCCCCTACATTTGTTCTAAGATTGCCAATATCTTCAATTGTCAGGGACAACATTTTTAGGCTTTCATACTTTTTTCTTAGATGTTCAGTGACCTGACTATCCATTTTGCCTTGCTTTCCTGAGCCTGTTCTTCTAACCTCCCTTTACATTCCAGGCTTTCCTTGAATGTAAGTCTTGGTCCTCCCCATTTCTCTTCTCTACTAGTGAGCAAATTTTTCTTTGGGACTAGAGAAATGTTTATGAGCTCTTGCCATTCCCATATAGACCACTGTGTGCAACAATTGGACTAAGACCCTTGACATCTCCCTCCCCACTTCCAGAATATTCTTTATACCATGTTTCCTGTCCATTTTCCTTATTTTTTCTCTTTCCTCTCTCTCTCTCTCTCTCTCTCTCTCTCCCCCCCCCCCGTGTAATTCTCCTATATGAAGTTACTTAATTCCCACAGTTTTTAGGGACAATGTGTTTACTTGGTTGGTGTTCACCATATGCCAGGCACTGTTAAATGTCCTGGAGTTCAGAATTCATAATCTCAACCAGCCCACTTTAGTTCCAACTGTGAAATGTTAAGAAAGATAAGACTTAAATTCTCTCTGTGTTGTTTGAAAGACAGAGCACAAGTTTCTCATTACATTTATTGTGCTGCTCTTCAATAATTCTCTTGACCATATGCCCACTAGATATTGACCTTATTTATTTATTTATTTATTTATTTATTTATTTATTGCTTTTTGGGTCACACCCGGCAAATCTCAAGGGTTACTCCTGGCTCTGCACTCAGGAATCACTCCTGGCGGTGCTGGGGCGGGGGGGGGGGGGGGTGGGGAACATATGAGATGCTGGGAATCGAACTTGAGTCGGCCGCATGCAAAGCAAATGTCCTACCCGCTATGCTATTGCTTAAGCCCCCATATTGAGCTCTTCGAGAGCAAGAATCTTAGGGTGCCTTTGGGGTGCCTTTGAAACTGCTGAACCTGAGGAGAATCTGTATAGAGAAGCATTTACTGAATCCTTAATAGTGATGATGAACCTTTAGTCTGAATACTAGAAGAGTAACAGAACTTCCCTATAAAACACTGTCAACAAAAGGCACCTCACCCTTTCTCCTTCCGGTGACAGCATTGCTAAAATATCATTTGTAAAAACCTTCTCTGGTTCTCCTTCAAGTCCTGGAATTCTCCCTTCAGTAGAAATCATGACAGCAAATTCAAGCTTTGAAATGGAGTCGAAGCATTTCCTTAAGTGTGGCTGTACAGCTTGAGGATTTCGTGTCTGGGCCAAAATCTCAAGGAGTTCATCATTTGATAAGAAATAAAATCTGGATTAAAGAAAATACTTAAAGTACATTTGAAATCAAAGCAAAGTCTTTTACAGATAGGAAAGAAAATTCTTAACAGCATCTGCCTCCCCATCTGCTGGTTTCTTGGAGTGCCAATCTACTAGTGCTGGATTTTGAGGAAGGCTACATGTCTCTAAGTATTATTGTTGTCAAGATAAGTGCAGATGCATCAAAACACCTAGAATTAGTACCTGGTACATAAAAGATAGTGGTCATAAAAATGAAAAAAAGAAGTTCTGGTATACTAATTTGTTTACTTGTCTGTATTACTTGATTCTGAGGTCCTAAAGTGAACAGACCTTATATTTCCCCCTGCCCTAGAATATATCCCAGAACTTCACATATAACTGATATTAAAAGTATAATTTGTTGTGGCCTCTAGAGAGAGTTTGGTGGGTAAGGCTTCTGCCTTGCATGCAGCTGATCCAGGTTTGATCCCTGATGTCCTATATGGTCCCCTGTGTACAGCCAGGAGTGATTCCTGAGTGCATGAGCCAGGAGTAACCCCTGAGTGTATAATCAGGAGTAACCATTCCTGAGCATCACTGGGTGTCACCCTCAAACAAACAAAAACCCCAAACAAACCAAAAAATATAATTTGTTGAATAAGTGCATGGGTAACTGCAGAAACTTTTTTGGTTCTGTGAATATATACATGATGGATTCTATGAATATGTAATAAGTTTTCCCCAAACAAAAGATCAGGTCAAATGGTTTTACTAGTAGTAGTTCTATAAAACCTTCATAGATGGCCTACTACCTATCCTTTTCTCATCCTTCTTCAAAAAAGTGAATAGATGAGAATTTATTCAGTTTCTGAAGTGGAGTCAAAGGCAGAGACACCACAAAAAGAAAACTATAAAATAATAGGCCCTCCAGATTATTGGGTACTTGTTATTCTCCCTTGGAATGAATTTTAGTCAACATTATGCCCTCTAGTTCCATTCAAGTTGCAGCAAATTGTAAGATTTCATCCATCTTATAGTTGCATAATATTCTGATATATTAGCATAATTTCTTATTCCATCTGTCATTGGATATTTGCACTGTTTCCATTTCCTGGCCATTGCATTTAATGCTACAAATAAACATAGGTGTTCACATATCTTTTGAAATTACTATTTTTGTATTCTTGGGAGAGTGGTCTCAGCATGGTTGTGGCTGGGTCTAGAGGTCTTCAGCTGCCAGAACTCTGCTCAGGGTGGGGAGGGAAACTCAACCCTCCCTCCTCCAAGGGACCCCAGCGAGGACAGCCAGGCATGGGGGCAGGAGACTCTGCGCTGTTCTCTTCCTGGAGTTGTTCTCTTCCGGGAGCTCAGTTTTATAGTCTCTGGGTCTTGGCCATTGATGGGATTACACGGCACTGGGGGGCGAGGGGCACGTTGGTGGGTGTGACCCTTGCCTACTGGAAGATGGAGGATCTGGGTGGAGGATGCTCAGCCCTGATCCAAGCAGGCTTGGAGATCTCAGCCCCGGGACCTGCATGGTTTTGTTCCTCTGCCGGTACCTTCATGTGTGTGCAGAGTGGTCTCAGCATGGTTGTGGCTGGTTCTGGAGGTCTTCAGCTGCCGGTACCGGCAGAGGACTAAAGCATATGGGTCCTGGGGCTGAGATCTCCAAACCTGCTTGGATCGGGGCTGAGCATCCTCCACCCAGATCCTCCATCTTCCAGTAGGCAGGGATCACACCCACCAACGCCCCCACCCCCACCCCGTGCCGTGTAATCCCATCAACAGCCAAGACCCAGAGACTATAAAACCCACCTCCTGGAAGTGTGCAGCCGCAAATGTGGCCACGTGACATCTTATTATCTCACTCTTACTTTGGACAACCTGGCAGGCTACCGAATGTAACCTGCCCACATGGCAGAGTCTGGCAAACTCCCCATGGTGTACCCAATATGCCAAATACCAGTAACAATGATGACTCTCATTCTCCTAACCCTGAAAGAACCTTGAATATGGCACTTTTTAAAATCTCAGGGCTAGGGCAAAGGAGATGTTACTAGTGCCTGCTTGAGGCAATCGACGAACAACAGGATGATCGTGATCGTGATCGTGATTGTGTTCTTGGGATAGATCCAAGAAGTGGTGGTTTCCTTGGTTTTCTCTTGTTTTAAAATTATGGTTTGATTTTAAGCACAGCCTATTAAAATAATGCATAATGTTAACTACTTAAAAATACCATAGGTTGTTTTTATAAACTTACCTTGGAAAGATGACTCTTTTTGATTCTAAATGTGCCTCTAGACACTTTTGGATTTGGTCAAGTAATGCGTTGTTATTTTGAAAAGTCTCCAGAAGTCCTGTAAATTGAAAAACAGGTAAAATTGATTGTGAACAAATATTGGATAAAATATTTAAGTGACAGTAAAACAGATATAGCACTTTCAAATCTTCAGCTTTATTTTATAATTATAAAAAATATTTAAGATTAATAGGAAAAAGATAAAAAGTAACATACAAATACACTTCTATCATGATTTCATTGGATTTCCAGAAAAAAACCTATGTGTTATAAAAGAGTTTAATGGCATACTGTCAATGCCAAAAGAGAAAGTTCTCAGCCAAGATACTTCATCCTGCTAAATCATATTATTCCACATGATGGAGATAAAGACTTCTTCAGATAAAGAAAAACTAATATAATTTTATCACTCCCAAAACTGCTTTATAAGAAATGTCAAAAGGACTAATTCAAAAGGACATATGCACACCTATGATCATTGCAGTGCTTAATACAACAGCTAAGATACAGAAACAATAGAGAGGTCCAACTATGCATGAAAGGATGTGGAAGTTGTGTTATATATACACACCAGAATACTATGTAGTTTAAGAAAGGACAAAATCATGCAGTCTGACTCACAAAATTCAACAACAATGACTCTCCCCAAATCACATAAAAATGGAAAGGAGATGTTTCCTCGAGGAAAATATACAGATAGTCAAAAGGCATATGAAAAATTATTTAGCATCGGGGCTGGTGCGATAGCACAGCGGGTCGGGCATTTGCCTTGCACGCAGCCAACATGGCCGACCCAGGTTCGATTCCCAGCATCCCATATGGTCCCCCGAGCACCGCCAGGAGTAATTCCTGAGTGCATGAGCCAGGAGTAACGAGTAACCCGTGAGCATCGCCGGGTGTGACCCAAAAAAAAGCAAAATAAAATAAATTTTAAAAAATTATTTAGCATCATTCATTTCAGGGAAACGCAAATAACAGTGACAATGAAATGTCACTTCATGCCATTGAGAACAGAAAATACCAAAATAGTCTGGAAATGACCAGTGCCGTCAGGAATGTGGTGAAAAAGAAATCCTTTTTCACAAGTAGTGGGACTGTTATCTGGTTCACTCTCTATGGAAAACAGTATAGACATTCCTTAAAAAATTAAACATAGTGTTCCCATATGATTTGGTGATCTCACTCCTTGGCTTGGCTTCTATTCCCAAATACAGAAACATTCATCCCAAAAGATATTTGCACAATTATGTTCAGTGCAGTGCTATGTACAATAGCTAACATCTGGAAACAATTCAAGTGTAAAACCACAGATGAGGGGGTAAAAAAAATGGTGTATATAAACATATAATAGAATACTACTCAGTTGTAAGAAAAGATGAAGTCTCATTTCACTACTACTTAGATGGAACTACAAGATTTCTTTTTTGTTTTGTTTTAAATTAAGAATTAGATAGGAGCAATTAGGTTGTGGTGAACCTTAATCACGAATCATGAGAACTCCAGTCATGTTCTATCTTCCCTCTGAACAGAGGAACAGGTAAGGATTATCCTACCCGATGATCTATAGGGTGTCATCTTAAATGAAATGAGTCAGAAGGAGAAAGACAAAAATCTAGTGATGGAGTATAAAGAAACAAAGTGAGGGAATAGACAGTGTTCAGTGATTCTAAACCCCAAGACTCTTCCAACAGAACTGAATCTGCTAAACAGAGGAGAGTGTGAGAAGAGACCTAGGAACTGAGGAAGAGGGATCCTGGCTGGTGGGTGTGGTGGAGTAATTTGTATGACTAAAAGATTAATATTAATGTTATGATTAACATCCATATTAATAATGTCATATTAATAATGTTAACATTAGATTTATATCAATATTGTATATCATAGTATCTTAAAAAATGCAATTTTTGAACACAAATTGGGGCAGCCTCTATGCAAAAGGACATAGAGAGTCCTTTTAAAAAAAAGAAATTAGATATGATCCCTCAATACTACTTATAGGTATTTATTCAAAGTATATGTTTTTGGGATTTTTTGGGGGGCCACACCTGGTGGTGCTCAGGGCTTACTCCTGTCTCTGTCAGGGATCACTCCTGGTGGGGCTTGGAGGACCACATGTAGCACTGGGGATTCAGCCTGGGTTGGCAACATGCAAAGCAAGTGCCTTATATTAAAAAAATATGAAAACACTAATCTGAAAGGATTTCATTCCTATTATTCACAACAGCCAAAACATGAAATCAACCTAAATGCCCATTAACAAATAACTAGATAAGGAAGCTGTGTACTATTTCTAATCTCTATCTCTTCAATGCAATATGAATCTTTAGAAAAGATGAAAGGAGAGATGGTAGAGGGAGCAAGGCTGCCTTGCATGCAGCCAACCTGGGTTCAATCCCCAACATTGCATATGGTCCTCTGAGCCCCGCCAGGAGTGATCCCTGAGCACAGAAACAGGAGTAAGCCCTGAACACTGCTGGGTGTGGCTTCAAAACAGAATGTAAACATATTATAGGGTTAAAATTGTGAGTACATTGATACACTCTTTGGAAGCACCCCAAATTAGTGAAAGAGAAAAAAATGCATCAGATTCTCAAAAGTGCCAAAGCTATGAACCAGCTGAGAGATAATGATAAGTACAAACAACAAGATGGTGTTTACTTCACGTTGCTTAGCAAGAATGTCAAATGTGCTACAAATTTTCCTGGTTGTCAATACAGACTCCAAACAAGGGTCTGGATGTATGATGTGATATTCTAATCTTGTAAGTGCTGAAAAATTTTACAGTTGCAAAGTTTTTGGTCTTGAAACCTCTGCTTCATACCTGGTTGCGTAGCTGCTCGGAGGGCATTCGGCAACCGATTCACCTTTCTCATGATTTCTTTCCATGATTTATCCACTTGAAGGAACATCTTGGCCTCGGCAGGTAATTGTCTCTGAATATCTGGTGCATTGAAAATGCTTTCTAGATAGAGCCAGTTTCTCTGGCAAGTAAGCCACTCTTCCTGGGAGAAAATAGACACATGAAAATTCAAACCCCAAACCGAAAACATACAGCTACCTTGAAAATAATTCCAGGGAGACTCACAAAACTTTTTCCTTTTAGGGAGTGTCTCACAGGTCCTTCATGAAACAAGGCTTCATGCTGGTAAGCCCGCAAGGACTGTGGGCAGAACAGAGTCAGTGAGGATGACCTTCAGCCGAGAGCCAGCTAGAAATTGAAGGCCTTGCTCACAAAGGGAACTGCTTCTGTCAACATTCCTAAGTGAGCTTAGAAGTGGATCCTTTCTTAGTTGAACTTGGAGATCAGTAGTATCCACTTCTTTACTACCATTGCACAACTAATGGAAATTAAGTTAAAGCCATGCCTGAAGTCCCAAGTCACAGAAACAGTGGAATAATAAACTACACATTTTGTGCTTCTTTCTGAGGTATTTTGTTTCTCAGAAATAATAATACAAAGGTGATGATAATAATTTTAAATTATATTGTCATGTGTCAGAAAGCTTAACATATTCATATTTTTCTTACATTTGGGGCATATTAACAATTAAACCTTACATCTAAATTATGATATTTAAGTGGTTGAATAAATTCTTTCTTTTTTTTTGTAGGAGTACTGCTATTTATTCAGCCACTGATTAGCTGATTGAATTGGACATGAACTCCACCTTAATTTTTTAATTTTTTAATTTTTATATTTATGTATTGAATCACTGTGGGAAAAGTTACTAAGCTTTCAGGTTTAAGTCTCGGTCATACAATGATCAAACACCTTTCCCTTCACCAGTACTCATTTTTCACCACCAAGAACCCTAGTATACGCCCCCTCCACTTCTCCAAATGCCTGTGAGGCAGATTATTTCTACTTAACTCTTCTCTACATTGATTACATTCAATATTTCGACAAAAGATGCACCATTATTGTTTAGAATTCCCCACACAATCAGAATTGCTGGAAAGGCATTGTGAAATATTTTGTTTTCTATAGCTGGTTATGAGAATCATATAATGTCACGTGGCCACGATTTTGGATTTCTGAAAAGAGTCTTATAATTATGAGATTGGTTTCTGTGTGTCTGGTGTTATGGCTGTGCCAGAGAGCCACTCATGGGGTGTAACTCGTGACCTCAGTAGGGTGTGAAGGATGAGCCAGTACTGCCCCCCTTCCCATGAGACTGCAGTTGCCCCATCACCACCAGCTCGTACCTGGCTTTCCTATAAACTCTGAGGCAGCGGCCACCTTGCTGCTAAAGGGGGAAAAGGTGGAAGGGAGCAACTCCCTTTCCCTCCCGGGGAGGCATGGCACCATAGTTTAACACATGGTCCATTCACTTTTCTGCCACAAGCTTCCGGGATCTGGACTAAGTCCTTTTGCTGCTGGAGCCATGGCCGTGCCAGAGAGCCGCTTGTGGGGGGCAACTTGTGACCTCGAGAGGGTGTGAAGGATGAGCTGTACTGCCCCCTTCCCATGAGACTGCAGTTGCCCCATCACTGACGGCTCATACCTGGCTTTCTAATAAGCTCTGAGCCGGCGGCCACCTTGTATGCAGTCCAGATGCATTTCTGCCAAAAGCTGCTGGGTTCTGAGATTTGTTTCTGAGTCTCTGGGATCATGGCTATTAATCAGCTTGATCAGGAGCCAGAGAGGCCATTTGTAGGCGGCGACTCGGGGTCTTGTTGGGGAGAAAGAGTCGGCTCCACCCCCATGTGGTGAGGCCCCGTGTATCTTGTCACTGCAGGCCCAGACCTGACTGTCCAGTGGCCTCTGGAGGATGGTGGTCACCAGGCCGCCAGGGGAAACAGGCCAAGGCACGAAACCTATTTCCACCTGGAGTGGCCGAACACCAGTAACATACTGCAGGAACAGGACGCATTTCTGCCAAAAGCCTTTGGGTTCCGAGATTTGTTTCTGAGACTCAGGGATCATGGCCATTAAGCAGTTCGATCAGGAACCAGAGAGACCATGCCTCCAATTATATAGCTGAGCCAGAGGTGGTTTGTGGGTGTGTTTCCCACATGCCTAACTTTTGGCCATTTACTTTCTTGGTAAACTTTGCCCCAAGTTTTTGGGGTCTGTCCAAAGGCACAGCAGCAATTTTGGGGTATCTGGAAGTCTGACGTTGCCATCAGGCTGCTGATGCACTCACCTCACAGGTACAAATTGGCCTGCTGGTGACACCATACCCCCTGAATAAATTATTTCTAAGGTCCTGTGATTCTTTAATTCTGAGTCCAAAAACTGGAATAATCTTCACTCACCAGAGTTTGATTGAATAAAGCAAGTTGTTTCTGCCATTCGTCCACTCGGGGTTTTAGTGGACCAACATAACGTGATGAGGAAATGGTTGCAATGTTAATGGTACTATCATCAAGAAGGACCTTTAAAGGAGGAAAAGAAAGTTCATACAATATTATGCACTTGTGCTCACAAAGACAATTATAAATGTTAGACCTCAAGGGTCCAACTTTTTGAAAGAGTGTCTTAGACCTACTGTTTTCTACTCATCCATTTTCATTTCTTATCCCCTTTCCTATGACCTACAGCTCATTATAATGCTGTCTTAAAACCCCCAAATGTGCTTCTGATTGGCAAATTTTAGTTGTACTATAATAATGATTTCATAGTATATATTTGTTTTGACACACCTCTTTGTAAAAATTTGTAAAATTAGCTACTTTTTCTATGTAAAGAAACAACTTTCCCTCAATTATTTTGAGTAAGATGGAAGTTGAACACATTTACAGTAAGCTCTGAATGATAACTACAGATTTCCTTCTTAATTTCCATCCCTTTCCCATACACTAGTGACCCTCAGAGAACACATGCATTTAAAAAATAATGTGCCTGTTAATAGAAATTATTTTAGTTATCCTATGTAATTTATAATATTTATTAGAACAGAAATGATATGACGTGGCGTAATGACATCACTTGCCCTCACACCTGTGACTTTAAACCATTGCTCAGAGTGATTGTCTAATCTTGTTCTTCGAACTTACACCTGCAGAGTTCTTTCAGCTCCATTTTAGTTTAGATACATGATAACAGACTAGAGATTTGCTTTGTAAGACCTAGGTCTCTGCTAAACAAGTACCTTTGGGTTCTAAGACACTAAGTCTATTCCAAATGCATAGGGTAGGTTTATCGTTTTTGTTGTTCAAAATGCATGACCATCGTCCTATACTCAAAAACTTAAAGTGAATTTAGCTTTCTTGTATAGTCTAAATCTAAATCTGAAATGAAAATTATTTAAATGGTTGGGAATACCCTTCACTTTCACTATGCCTTTCAAATTTCATCTGTCCTTTTAAGCTCAGCATGTCTTTATTGGTCTAGAAAGGATTCTTTGATTAGTTATTTTTTTCCTTTTAAAAAATCCCCCTACACTTACTAACTACATATAGATGTACTTTTATTGCTTTGCTAATTATTTTATGTTTAAGTGGTCATGTAAATTATTCCTACTCCTGCCTTGCCTTCCCAATTATGATGAGAATTAAAGAAGAAAAGACTTTTTTCTTTAATTTTAATCATAATTTCCCATAGAAGACTTTGGACAGTATTGCCAGAACCTTTCCATTAAAGTTCAATAGCCCAGTTACTCACCTGTATATCATCTGTGCCACCTAGGATAAATACATCTTTCGAGTCACGGTGAGGAAGAACAACAAATTCAGTTGATTTCCAAGAATCTTCCACCTTGGAAATTATTAAAATCTTAGGTTAACCGAGTGTATTTGTTTAGGCATTAAAAAATGCATGCAGAATGAAAAAGGCATAAAATCGACAATGATCTCACTACTCTATTTAGAGCCTTTAACGTTCTTAAGATCCTCTTCTTGCTTATTTAAAATTATTTGTTTTACTGACTAACATTAATACATGCAGATAAAATCATAGTTTAGTGTATATTACTACAGATTTATAATTTAATGAAGAGGAAAATTATTTTAATAATTTGTAGTTGTGTGTGTGTAATTCTAAGATAAAAATGTTGAAGTCTTCTTAATGTCTTTTGAAACATTTCACATCTTCACCAGTAGTTTGAAAGATAATGTGGTTTATTATTAAAGATACTCCTTGGTGTGCTTTTCTTAATATTTGCAAATTTCGAAACTTGTTGCTATGATTTCTCTTAGTCTATAATCTAAGTAGAAAGAGGATATTCACAGTGATGGAACAACAGTACAACTGAAAATGAGAATAAAAATCACACTGTTGAAAAATTTATGCAGATAAATAAATGACAACATTTACAATGAATATAAAAACCTATAAAATGATCTTCAAAATATATATTTTTCAGATGTACCTTTTTAAGAATTGTTTCTAAGGCAGCTTCTCCAGAAGCTTGTCCAGAAATGTCCTGGATTTCTTGACCAAACTCAAAAACATGCAACTCAGAGAGTTTTTCCAAGGTTAATGGGACATCAAGGTCCACTAGCACAGCATCGACTGCTTGTTCAATAGCTGCCCAATGTCTGGTCTTCAAAGTTGGGTTTCTCAAGTCAATAATTACTGGAAGCTGAAAAATCGACACTTTTAGAGACTTATTTAAACATAAAAAAATTTAAGGAGGGTATAAGAAATGACCAAAGGCAAAAGAAAGGAGAAGTGAGCTCAAAATTATTTACCAAGGGGTTGAGGTGAGGTGGGTGGCAGGGACCATGGGACATTGGTGTAAGGATGTTAACACTGGTGATGGGTGCAGTATTAGAATATTGTATGCATGAAACAGTACATACTAGCATTATAAATCATTATAAAAAACTACGAGGAAAGACACATGTCCAAGGCTTCTGGCTTTAATTTGGAAATATAGAGAACTCTGAAGAATGTCACGTAGAGGGCCCTGAGTGATCGTACAGAGAATAGGGTATTTGTCTTGACATGGCTGACTCAGGTACAATCCCCAACACCCCGCATGTCCCCTGAATGCATCAGGGGTGATGCCTGAGCACAGAGCCAGAAGTAAGCCCTGAGAACTATTGGGTGTGGTGCCCAAACAAAAATAAAACAAGACAAACAAAAAGAATGTTACTTACACTCCTCGCAACAAAGGGAAAACCTTGAAAACCTAGACAGACTGCAAATTTATTACTTGTGTTAAATTTCTAGCAAAGTGAGGTTTCAGGAAGCTAACTAACTCAAAACCTGACGAAAGACAAGTCTTCACAGGTTCTATACAGCAAAAAATGGGGCTTGAGAATTTGATTAAGTGGGACAAACTTGGCTTTATTTTCTCCTTTTTTTTTCCCTTTATTGTATTTTATTTTTTTTTAAAGTTGTAGATTTACAATTTTTTGTGCTTTGGTTTCAATTATACAATGATCAGATACCCATCCCTCCACCAGTGCCCATTTTCCACCACCATGGATAATATCCCTCCCACCCCCATCCCCCCATCCCCCCATCCCCCCTGTCTCTGTGGCAGGGCAATCCCCTGTGTTCTCTCTCTCCTTTTGGGTGTTGTGGTCTGCAAAAGAGGCATTGAGTGGCAAACATGTTCAGTCCATAGTCTACTTTCGACATGCATCTCCCCTCCTGGGAGGATCCTCCAAACATCCTTTATTTGGTGCTCCCTTCTCTATCTGAACTGCCCTTTCCTCTAGGATACCTGGCTGGCCTCTAAGTTATGGAGTAATCCTCCTGGTGCTGATCTCAGCTATTCTTGGGTATTAATCTCATACTTTGTTACTTTATATCCCCCAGATGAATGCAATCTTTCTATGTCTATCCCTCTCTTTCTGACTCATTTCGCTTAGCATGATACTTTCCATATTGTACCACTTGTATGTAAATTTCATGACTTCATCTTTTCTAAGAGCTACATAGTACTCCATTGTGTAGATGTACCAAAGTTTCTTTAACCAGTCATCTGTTCTTGGGCACTCAGGTTTCTTCCAGTTTCTGGCTATTGTAAAGAGTGCTGCAATGAACAAACAAGTGCAGATGTCACTTCGACTATACATTTTTGCCTCTCTGGGATATATTCCCAGGAGTGGTATTGCTGGGTCAAATGGGAGCTCAATTTCTAATTTTTTGAGAATCGTCCATACTGTTTTCCAGAAGGGCTGAACCAGTGGACATTCCCACCAACAGTGAAGGAGTGTCCCTTTCTCGCCACATCCACGCCAGCATCGGTTGCTTTTGTTCTTTTGAATGTGGGCTAGTCTCTGAGGTGTGAGATGGTATCTCATTGTGGTTTTGATCTGCATCTCCCTGATGATTAATGATGTAGAGCATTTTCTCATGTGCTTTTTTGCCATTCGGATTTCTTCTTTGAGAAAGTTTCTGTTCATTTCATTGCTCCATTTTTGGATGGGGTTGGATGTTTTCTTCTTGTGGAGTTTAACCAGTATTTTGTATATCCTGGATATCAACCCCTTGTCAGATGTGTATTCGGCGAATATCCTTTCCCATTCTGTAGACTGTCTTTGTATTTTGGTCACTGTTTCTTTGGAGGTGCAGAAGCTTCTTAGTTTAAGATAGTCCCATTTATCTACCTCTGTTTTCACTTGCTCAGCCAGTGGCGTGGCATCTTTGAAGATACCATTAGCTTCAATGTCATGGAGGGTTTTGCCAACTTTATCTTCAATGTACCTTATGGTTTCTGGTCTGATGTTGAGGTCTTTAATCCATTTTGATCTTACTTTTGTACATGGTGTTAGGCAGAGTTCTGAGCCTATTTTTTTGCATGTAGCCGTCCAGTGATGCCAACACAATTTATTAAAGAGGCTTTCCTTACTCCACTTCACATTACTTGCACCTTTATCAAAGATTAGATGAGCATATGATTGAGGAGAGATGTCAGTGTATTCAACCCTGTTCCATTGGTCTGCAGTTCTGCCTTTGTTCCAGTACCATGCTGTTTTAATTATTACTGCTTTGTAGTACAGTTTGAAGTTCGGGAGGTTGATTCCTCCCATTTTCTTTTTCCCAAGAATTGCTTTAGCTATTCGTGGGGGCTTATTGTTCCATATAAATTTCAGGAGTGTTTGCTCCATTTCTTTGAAGAATGTCATGGGTATCCTTATAGGGATTGCATTGAATTTATACAATGCTTTTGGTAGTATTGCCATTTTGACAATGTTAAGTCTCCCGACCCATGAGCAGGGATATCTTTCCATTTCCTCATGTCCTCTTTTATTTCCTGAAGTAGCGTTTTGTAGTTTTCTTTGTACAGGTCCTTTACTTCCTTAGTTAAGCTGATTCCTAGGTACTTGATTTTCTGGGGCACAATTGTGAACGGGATTGTTTTTTTCATGTTGCTTTCTTCTCTCTCACTGTTTGCGTATAGGAAAGCCATGGACTTTAGGGTATTGATTTTATAACCTGCAACTTTACTATACGAGTCTATTGTTTCTAGGAGTTTTTTGGTGGAAGTTATTGGGTTCTCTAAGTAGAGTATCATATCATCTGCGAATAGTGAGAGCTTGATTTCTTCCTTTCCTACCTGAATGCCCTTAATATCTTTTTCCTGCCTAATCGCTATTGCAAGTACTTCCAGTACTATATTGAACAGCAGTGGAGAGAGTGGGCATCCCTGTCTCGTCCCTGATCTTAGAGGGAAGGCTCTCAGTTTTTCCCCATTGAGGATGATGCTTGCTGTAGGCTTGTGGTAGATGGCTTTAATTATGTTGAGGAAGGTCCCCTCTATACCCATTTTGGCTAGGGTTTTCATCATAAAGGGGTGCTGGATCTTATCAAATGCTTTCTCTGCATCTATTGATATGATCATATGCTTTTTATCTTTTCTTTTGTTGATATGGTGGATTATGTTGATTGATTTCCGAATGTTAAACCATCCTTGCATCCCTGGGATGAATCCTACTTGGTCATGGTGTATGATCTTTTTGATGAGTAGTTGGATTCTATTTGCTAGTAGTTTGTTGAGGATCTTTGCATCTGTGTTCATCAGGGATATTGGCCTGTAATCTCTTTCTTTGTGATATCTCTGTCTGCTTTTGGTATCAGTGTGATATTTGCTTCGTAGAAACTGTTCGGAAGTGTTTTTGATATTTCAATTTCGTGGAAAAGCTTAAAGAGCATCGGGAGTAAGTCCTCTTTAAAGATTTGGAAGAATTCACTAGTGAATCCATCCGGACCAGGACTTTTGTGCTTGGGGAGACTTTTTATTACCATTTCAATTTCCTTGATGGTGATAGGTCTGTTCAGGTATTCCAGGTCTTCTTGGTTCAGCCTTGGGAGTCTGTAGGAGTCTAGGAATTTATCCATTTCCTCGAGGTTTTGATGTTCCGTGGCATAAAGCTTTTCAAAGTACTCCCTGAGGATCCTCTGAATTTCTGTGGTTTCTGTTGTAATGACCCCCTTTTCATTTCTGATTCGGTTTATTAGGGTTTTCTCTCTCCCTTTCTTTGTGAGTTTTGCTAGAGGCTTATCGATCTTGTTAATTTTCTCGAAGAACCAGCTTTTGGTTTCATTGATCTTTCGGATTGTTTTTTGGGTTTCCATCTCGTTAATCTCTGCTCTGAGTTTTATTATTTCCTTTCTCCTGTTCGGGTTGTGCTCCTTTTTTTGGTCCTTCTCCAAGCTCTTAAGCTGTGAAGTTAGGTTACTTATGTGTGCTCGCTCCTCCTTCCTGAGGAATGCTTGTAGAGCTATAAACTTTCCTTTCCCAGCAAGACTCTCATTCATAATAGAAGGAACAACACACAGTTTCACAGACAAACAACAGCTCAGGAACTTCATAGACTCAAAACCATGGTTACAAGAACAACTAAATGGGCTACTTTAAGGCAAGAAAGGCCCCTCAAATACACCAAATTTTAACAGAACAATGGGACAAAATCCCATAACAATAATCTCTCTCAATGTCAATGGGCTAAACGCACCAATTAAAAGACATAGAGTGGCAGGATGGATTAGAAAATTGAACCCAACATTCTGTTGCCTTTTCTCCTTTTTTCTTTGGCTACTCCCAGCAGTTTTCAGGACTCACTCCTGTCTCCACACTCAGGGATCATTCCAGGTGGGGATTGAGAGATCATATGGGGTGCCATCCCTCAGACCCAGATTGGCTCCGTGCAAGACAAGCCCCTAATCCACTGCACTCACTCACCAGCCACTTGGGATTCTTTTCAAGCAAGAAGATTCTGCTAGCGGACAACAACAACAACAACAACAACAACAACAACAACAACAACAACAACAACAAACCCCATCAAATTGCTAAATTCTGAACATAGGCATGAACATGAATATGACAGAGTGAAGTTTCTGGGTGCTAGAAGTATAGTAATTCACAGGGCAGTGTGGAAGAATCCTAAGAACTCCTACTTCATGGTGCTGGCTGGTAGAAGGGGCAGGCAGTGACTGTTGTTGAGTCTAACCCACAAAGTTTCCCCGGGCTTTCTATGGATCAAAAGACTTTCAAGTTACTTATTTGAAAATGAATTTTCAACACCATTGTTTATTATGTAACACTATCAGTCATTGGTCACCATCATTATCAGACACTACAACACAGCACCCAAAGGGAGAGATAGAAGAAAAGGGAATGCC